TAGTTCGTGTGGTTTGGAGTGTAATAAATCTTGATGAAAATGACATTTCCCTCGTCTTCTGCTCAAATATAGGATCGAGGCTAACTTTGCTTTCTCCCGAGTTCTTTACTACTTTTTCCATATAAAATAATATCATCATCTTTAAAATACTTAAACCCCAATTTACTCCGTGGTGGAGGGAATAAAGATCTCTCTTCCTGGACTCAATCTCTAAGCTTCTCTGCTGCTGCTGGACTGCTCGTCTCCTACTTTCTACTTATTTTGTTCTGTGATAAATGTTGTGAAAGTAACGAAATGGCTTCACATTCTTCTTCTTTCCTGCTTATTGTGTCAGTCAGTGAGTCAGTTAGAGAGAAATGTGCAACAATTTAATACAACTTTTTCCACCTTTAATATATTTACATGGTAAACTTTTTATCATGACACGAGTAAAATTTAAATAATTTGTTTCCCCCATATTTTTGGAGGACGACAAACTTTCTTCAATTTATTTATTTTCTATTTTTCCCGAAAACGGAGAAAGTATCGCGTAAAAAAGCATGGATTTCTGCCTTTCTTTCTCTCTCTGGGAGAAAGTACTCGTCGTCTGTAGCTACATATCCCGTCGAGTAACAAGTCTTTATCTGGAGGTGATTAGTGGGTTGTCACATTGATTTTATTTTTATTGTCCGCCATTACATCTGTGTGGAGGCCATTTATTGCTTATTTTGCCCTCATCCCATTGTCTGATCCGTACTGGAGGACTGCCTGCCATCCGAGCAGCATGACACTTACTCCACTTGAGAGAGAGAAAGCAATCAAACATGGTTCGGCTGATACTTGTTTGCAAAAAGGACGATTGTTCCGTACTCTTTTATTCGGTGATTAGTTGGGTCAAAAAAAGAGCAGGATAACATTGACCAAGTCAAAATGTTGTCAAGTGTCTCTGCAGGAGGGGAGGGGACGATTCATAAAATATCTCCGAACAATTGTACAACTTTCTCCATGGGGTGAAAGTATGAAATTTGTTATGGAGAAAGTTGTCTCCTGTGACGATTTTGGACCGAGATATCCCTTCCAAACTCTGCCTCATTCTCCGTCAAAATCAATGCCTCGAATTAATTATTTTGTTCCACTTTACCCCATAGAAAGTGTCGTCACAATCGAAACTTTCCTGCTGATAATATACTTTTGTTCTTGTTTTTTCCTTAAAAACTTTCCCTCTTTTGCGCAGTGTAAACAGGATTGGATTGGATTCTGTTTTCCTTCGCTTTTATTCCCCTCAACGGATCCATCCTCTCTTTTTCCCTGCACACAAAGTGATGATTACAATCAACTTCCTTCCTCCCTTTTCTTCTGGGTAAATGAATGACTACACTTTCTTTAATGGGTGGCCTTTTCTTTTCTACGAGGAAAACACACAGTATGACGACGACGAGGACGGCAACGAGTACGAGGACATTTTTGTATTGCAGTACAATAAATGGGGCGAAGGGTCATTTCGGTCCTCCCAGGCTAATCGTGGCCCAATGTAGAAATAATTCCGACTTCCCCGCCATTACGTACGCGTGTATTTATTTTCCTGTCTGGAGGCGGAAAAAGTGGGAGGAATGTGGATAACCTAGATAAGTTTAGCCTAGATTTGTAAGTATTTCATGTATGAGTTTTTCTTATCGTTAGCCTTATTCTCAAAAATTTCTGAAATTTATTTTTGTTGTTTGGAACGGTGTTGATTGAGAACATTTTATTATTTTGCAAGCTTTCGAATATACATATATTTTTTCTTTATCAGACAAATTACCTGAAATTTCACAAAAAATTACAAAGTTTCTGAAATTTAGCCAGTTTCCCTTTTGTTTTCTCCTATCTGTAAACTTTTTCATAATCAATTATTTGATTGGGAACTTTGACCCGAAATAAGTTCAGTTAGCTGGTGCCAATTCTAATTATACTTTTTCCCTGCTTCCTTCTCCGCAAAATTTTAGTTTATAACTAATCCACTCAAAAATATGGCACATGGTTTCCACCAAATCATTCTTCAGAATATCTCATTTCACAAACTTTCTCCCTTCCCTTCTTCCTGTTTTGGGTTGAACCTATTTGTTCTCATCATTCGAGTATTAGTCGCGGAGCAGATCTGGAGTGAAAGTCATTGGCAGAGTCCAAGCAAGCATTAGAATCTCATTCATTCTCGAATTGAGCAGGGTGAAAACTGAGAAGGGAAAGTTGCCCGTACGAAAATAGAAGAATATACTCCTCCTTTTGGATAGGACGGAGTAGCGTCTGACCAGAATTGATCCCCTTTGTTCACAAGTTTGGGAAAGTCCCATCAGCCCTGAGACGACTATACTCTGTGCCATTTGAAGACCCAGCCAGAAAGTCAAAGAAAGGGAACAAACGTGACAAATCCGGACCCAAGGAGAGAAAGGCGAAGAAGAACAATATGATCAGAGTCAAGGAAATCTCTCCTACTTCAATTCCTTCGTCGTCACCACTTTACTTTCTCTTTTCCAGAGGCCAACGTATCAAGGAACGTGTTACTTTCTCCCTGCTCCGCCAATCTACAATCTGGCCTGGGTTGGGTGGTACTGCATAGTGTGGACACTTTGATACGAGGAGGGATTCCAGAAATGTGCAGCGAATGGAGTGAGTGGTGTGTTGCTCGCTGCCAAGTTTAAACTAAATTTTATTCCGTCAAAAAAAGAATGGTCTGGCCAAATCAAAGTGGAGCGAAGTCGACGGGAGTGTGCATCTATCCGATGGGAGAAATGTGGATGCATCAGGGTCAAAAAGAGAAAAAATTACTCAATGTTTAAATAAGTTAACAAATTGTAGCAGATATTATTTGGCAATTTAAAATTTGAAAGCGATTGATTTGTCCAGGACAATCAAAAATATAAATTTTTGAAATACGTGTCAAACTCATAAGCCAAAATTTTATTTTAATATTTTCATCAAATCTAATTACACATAGGTTTAGTGGCTTCAACAATAATTTTATCGCAGTTACCCATGATTTGCCTAAAATCCTGTAAAATACAATGCACATTTGAAATTTTTTCTCAATTTAGCACACCCTTTGATGCCAAAAAGGAGCCCTTTTTCATCCTCTTCCCAACTTGGTGGTGCATGTTGATAACACATTTGATGGGAGAGAAAGAGAGAGACAACGTTGTGTAAGAGGGGACGACTGGAGAAAGCTCAATCCAAACTGTCATGCCTGCCATGCAGGAAGTCAGAGTCGAAGAGACAACAAGCTTGCCGGGCAATTTGCCAGCCAGCCACACATCTAACTTTACTCGCAATAAAATGGAGAGAAAGCAAAGCTGTACTGAAAATAGAATGGATGGAAGCTGCAAAAGCTAAAGCTGAAGCAAGCAGCTTCAGCGAGTGTCCAATCGTCCACGAACAAAATCGTCCAAAACTGGTCTGAAATTCTTTCTCTTTTTCATTTCAGTTTACTATTGAGTTTTTTGTGCCTACTCCTTCACAAGTTGAACCCCATGAAAGAAGCTTTTACTACATACGGGATACGACTAACCAGCCAGCCGAAAATGTGTGCGTTCAAATGCCAAAAAATCCACCAAATTAAAGTCTTGAAATTCCTGTGTCTCTCACCATCACGATAACGACAATGGATGGCGATGATGAGTAAAAGTTTGGAGGGGAAGAGAACAGAACCGCACCCACCACAACAAGAAATTCAATCCAATTCTTCTATCAAAGGGAGAAATGAATTGAAAGTTGCAGCGTTACTGATTTTTGAGTGAGAATTTTTAAATTTCAAAGAACGGGTCTAATTATGCAGTATAAGGAGTAGTACTTTCATGTTCGTTCATAAAATGTCGCATTTGTTGTACAAATATAATTTTACACTTATTAATATTTTTTCGAATTGAATAAATATTTAGACTGGTTGAATTTGACTATATTTTTGCTGACTCTATATTCATTCATTTATAAATTTTGGACAGTTTTGATAGCTCGAATAGAGAGTTAATGTTATGCAAAGCATGAATTTTAAATCTCAATCATCAAATTGAACACGTAGATATTAGAATTATCGATGAATAAACTTTGATATTTACCCACCATTAGAATTATTTTTTTAATATCTTTTGAAAAAATCGAAATCAAAATGTCAAAAGAGTTTGAAATTGGATATGAGAAAGAGTTATATTCATCGGTGAATGTAATGGTGCAAGAATTTTAAAAATCTGTGAAAAATTGGGCTATTCTTTAAAAGTCCTTCTATTGCGATTTAATCCAAAAATTTCATATTTTGTGAAACAAAAATGCCGAATTAGAAAATATTCAAAATGGAAAAATTAGTACTGATATTGAGGTACCATACGAGTCCAGAGGCTTTCTCTCTCCAACTCCATTTCATTTGTACAACCTCAGTTACGTGCATTTAGACCTTTATAATTTAATGTGCCACATTTTGAGACCAGAATGACCGTTGTAGCATCAGTGGTTAATGAGCTAACGTTTTTTTAATGAAACAAAATGCAGTTCAGTTAGAATATTGTTACACAGAGGCAAAAACTTTTTGCATCCCGGGTTTAATTTTGATAAAATTATGGAGTAAATTTGCTATAAGTTTTATCTTACTAAAAAATGAGGCATTGCTCAGAAAATTCACTAGAACATATATAGGACAGTTGCTAATCCTAAATTTCGTGATTTCTAAATTTTGTAACCAAAATTATAAAATACAAAAAACATGCCCATTTACGCAACAAAAAAAACCTGTATTAAAAACCCAAACTGATCCAACAATGCTGGCAAATTTATAAATCCAGCAATTATTTAGTCACATCTAACAATAATTTACAACAAATTTGTATCCGTTAACTTTTGCCTGCGTTTTATTAGTTCCCACAAGCATGCACAAATTCCAAGTACTTTTAATACATTTTTGACTCACTTTAATCCCAAAATTTCAAATACTCCGCAACAACCTCCGCGACCAATTTAAATTTAGCAATTACCCCAAAAATAAATTAGACTTTTTTTACCTGGACATGGTAGAAGGAAGAAGAGGATCAAAATCGAGAGTTGAATCCACAACGAGTCCTTTCTCTTTCTTGTCCGGACGTAAAAAATGTCTCTTTCATTACTCGGCGGATGGTACACGTCCATTTTACAAAGGAAGAATGGGTAGTCGTCGTCCCGGTAACTTTTCCGGTTTGGATGATCACACCTTGACATGTTCAGATTAAAATTCTTCCGGTGAAAGTTCCCCTTTAAATTTAATCCGTTCGTTGCTTGAATCGAAAGTCGTGTCTCAGTTTGTGTCGCAGTGGGGCTGCTTTCCTCTCTCACGTTATTATTGGCAGAGTGCAGTTTGCCGGGTGAATTTTTAGTATGCCGACAGTTTCTTTTCTTATGGGGGACCCGACTACTTGAGGGGGTCGAATTTGTGTAATTTTTACAATACAAATTCCTACCGGTTAAGTCGTCCATTTTATTGCTGCAGTATTATGTATGTAGTCCGATAAAGGAGAAATAGTTAAAAATCGTCTCTAAATGTGTCTACACTTTCACTACTTTTCTATTTTTATGTTTTTCTTCCCCCTCACGCGTAAGATTTAGAATCCTTACGCACCAGAACGACGCAAGATTATTGCGAACATGACGATTAACACAAATTACGTACGTCACGTGCCTTGACCCTGCTTCAATCCTACGCTTTCACAACGTCACATCATAAAGTGAAAGTAAACGCGTCTTTAGACGAAGCACATAACATAATTTTGTTCCAAGTACGATCCAATAATTTCCACGAGTACAGAAGTATTACATAAATCGCGAAAAATTTTGTCCCAGAGCCAAAAATTCTCATCAAGTCGTACACTTTCGCTGATATGTAAGCATATCGTGTTCATCCAACTTTTCTCACTATACCCATACGCACTTGGGTCGAGATATCTCGGATTTTAGTTCCGTATAACGAGACGTGCAAACGGATTAAGAAGATGACACCGAAATAGCGCTGTAGACTAGCCCACTATGGCTTTCTTCACTTTACAACTTTCTCTCTCCCGCAGTTTGAATGTGATGTCTCTTTACAACAAGTCAGACCGGAACGTATCGCAGGAGGAGGAAGAAGGATAAAGATAGAAATGACTTTATTTTATCTTCTTCCACTTTCTCCCCAGTTCGTAAGAAAAGCGAGAGCGAAAGGATTATTCCAATTCCTTCATTTTCTGTGGAATGATCCCATTCGAATTCTTCTCAAATTCCCGATTTACATACAAAATGGTCACTCAGAGTTCAAATGGAGAAAGTCGTCAATGTATTTGAAATCGGGGAGGGAGAAGGCGATGCGATGTGTTCTTTGGTTGAGTGGATTTTCTTTCTTCTTCTTCTTCTTGTTCCGATTTATGTAATGTAATGTGTGGCTGGCCGCCTTATTGTTATTTTTATGGGAAACTTAGACGAAGAAGAGATCTTCGTTGGTTGTGTTCTTTCCACACCAAAAAGTGTAGGAGGAGGAGGAGGAAGGAGAACACTCAATTTTGTATCCTGTCCCACTTCAAGAATTACTCTTTATTTTAAACATAAATGGAAACAGATAGAGAAGAAGAAATATGCTGACTTTCTCCGAAAATGACTTTTCGCTTCATATACACAGGGAATCAGCTTTCTCTCGTACTTCCTGAAAATACAAAACATTTATCTTTATTCCTTAATTCCTCAATTTATTAGGAAAGGGATCCGATATAGATGTGAGCAAGAAAATTTAAGATTGTGTAACTTTCTCCCTTCTTCTCCTCGTTCAGTTCAACTTATGCTTTCACTTCTCTAGTAAAATTGATCTGTTGTTGTTTCGCGGCGTCCTAGCTTGGCAGTAAAGTGGGAGAAAGTACGTTTTTCGTCTACTTATCATTTATTTATACCAACTTTTACTTTCCTTTCTGCACGTCGGCTTTATTTTGTTGTTCAACTTTTCAGCCCTGGTATTTTGGACAGGATGATGTGAAGTCAGTCAACCCAAGGAAAGCAACCCATCTCACAAAACCATCTTTACAAGACCAAACTAAACATTCAAATTCCACACTATTCCACTTTTGCCTCCCATTGCGAAACATTGTGCAGCAGTAAAATGTATGTACGTACGAAGATTTTTCTGTGCCCAGATTTCCGAAAAAGGGAAAGTAGAAATTTAACAGAGAAGCGACTCGATACAGAAATTTCCCTATCTCTCTCTCCTCTGTCCGTCCATCCGTCACGGGGAATGCATCCGTCCATCCATTCACTTGTCTCAATCTTTCACGAAAAAAAGAACAAGTCAACTTTCTCCTCGAGAAAAGTCAAGACAAAGAATACATTTTGATTAAAAAATGCAGCTGCGGAAACAGGAAAAGTATAAAAGTATATAAAATGTGTAAATTCATCTCGTCACACACTGCGTCCATCCATGCCTTACTTTCTATCAAACAACAAGGAACAATAAAGTGAGTGAAAGTGCCACCACCACCACCCCGGCTTTGAGATCATCATCATCATCATCGTCATCATCAACACTATCCGAGAGGATCATCACTCAGATAAAGAATTGGAGACGACGACGAGAAGAATAAAGGGCAAAGAGAACAAAGAATGGGGAAAAAAGTACATAAAGGAAGAGAATAAACCTATTTATTTATGGCGTGAGAGATGGGATGACTTATGAATTTTTGGGTGTATAGCTTATTCATTGTTGGATTATATTTCTTTTCATTTCCTTCTTTTTTTACAGAGCTCACTTCATTTTGCTTACTTTAGTTATTTTCTCGTCCACAGTGCAGATTTTAATATTACTAGAGACGAAGAAAGTGTGGGGAAGGATGAGCAAGGGAGAAATAGCGGAATAGAAATGTGATGCCACTTTTTCCTTTGAGGGACACACACATGCAACATTTATTTCTGACTTTCTCTCCCACTTGACACTTTATCATCGTGCGGATACAGGATTGTGTCAAGCGTTGAGAAGATGATGACTTTCACTCGTTAAGGAAATGACTTTTATCTATTATTTTAATGTTTTTAGGGGATAGGGAGGATCATGGAAAGCGGGAGTTTGACGTGTAGTTTTTTCATTCTTGCTAAATATTATGGATGGTAGTTTCTTTAGGGGGGATTTTTTAAAGTTTTTTTTACACATTTTAGGAATTTTGTGCAGTGAAGTCGCAAAATGTTTAACATTTTGAAAGAAAGTAGAATTAAATATTGAACTTTCTCTGGTCCATTTATTTTTTGATTGTTCCCAATTTACCAAGGTTTCTATCAAGTCATGTCATCTGTCAAAAATTCATCATTTCAAACTTTATAGATAAAAACCACATCTGTAAATATTTCTCTTTTTTCCATCCCACTGCCACAAGCAGACAGACACGAACTGGCAGCAGCCAATTTTGACATATTTTCCTCCTCAGAACAATCAACAAATCAACCAAAGTCACAGACGCATGACCAACCAACCAATGTCAAACCACAAAAGGCATTGCCGGCCTGTGTCCAGCAACATATTTCATAAATATGTGTATGAACGGCTGCTCTGGCCCCGTCTACTACCCGGGTATCACCCTAGCTGGACTTGCCATCTTTCAGCGACATCACCCCGAAAGAAAATGACAGAGAGATGTCCCACTCTCAAAGATCGATCCTACACACGACACCAACCGTATCAAGCAGATGTGGCTTGACTTTTTCTTTCTTCTTCTTTTGGTCCAATTTTTATCCCCATGAAGAAGAAAAAAAATCTTCAAGAATCTCATCTTCAGACGACTTTTATGATCATGTCATCTCCCAAACCCGTCATCCAGTCTGACGACAAGTGGTGGCGCAACCACAGACAAATGAATGACTCGCCGAAAAAGGAAAGTGACGAGGCTGCATGTCTCCTCCTTTCAATGAGCTTTCACCACATTCCTTTCATTCAAGGCACAACAAGTACAAAAATTCTTGAAAATCCTGACTTAAACGAGAAACCACCACCACTTTCTCTTTTGGTCTCGTATGACGCAACTTTTTCCCAATTAATTTAATGCGCAGTAAATAAAGATCAATTTATAAATGTAAAATTGGAACAAATTACTCTCCTCTGGGAACAAGGCTCGATCAAATTTTGAATGAAGTTTCCCAAAAAAAATAATCTCTGGGTGTGTAACCGCCTCAACACATTTTTCTCTGAGCAAAAGTGAAGTAACTTTCTCTCAATAGTTTCTCTTTCTCTCTGGAAAGTATATACGCTGAGTCAGTACTCGAGACAAAATGTGACCCCAGCAGACACAGATTACATCACAAAACTTTCACCAGCCCACCCACCACCCAAACATTACCCTAGGACACGACACGACTCACTAGTCAAACTTTCTCCGCCTTGAGAAGTTGAGCAAGAAGGAATCACAGAATCTTGCAGAAAAAAGAGAGAAACGAAAGAACACACACACGGAATTCCTTCAAGTAACAAATGATGATACATCTGAAGCAAGGATGGAATTCGCACACCAAATTTTGCAAATTCCCATCCCATCAAGAAGAAGAAACAACTTGTACAATCAGGTCGTGCCTGGGCAAACCACACCCATCGAATTACAAACTTAAATAAGTAATGAATTCTTTGAGGCGGACAATTGGATGGGATTAGTTTGCCCGTGAATGCTTCACAAATAGGTGTATTTCTAGTACATTAGTAATAAAATTCAATTCATGATACAGAATATGTATTATTTCAAAATCAAAGCCACATAAACTAACTTTATGTATGTATCTTTTGCTCGAGGCTACTTTCAACCTATCCGTCCAACTGTTTGTTTGTTTATTTGCTACATGGCCTCCTCAAATTTCGTGTTTTGTTTGTTGTTCTACTTTCACCGTGAAATTCAAATATTTAATATTGCCCGATTCTCCATTGTCTCGATGTTCGTTCACGAATCACTAAACAAGCAAAATAATATTCAATATGGTGGAAAATTTTTAAAATCAACAAAATTTAAAAGTATATAATTTCCCATTAATTTCCCGATATTTACTTTCACTCCGCAATTTCATGCCACATCTCACCCACACAATCGAATCAGATTTAATAAAGGATACCATGAAATTGAAAGGGGTAAAAGTAATTAAATTGAGTATAGCCAGCAACAATGTGACTCTTCAACTGTGTGCATATTGGACACATTGAATAGTACAAAACAATGAAACAAATAAAGGATCGACGACGACGGGGCAGCCGCAGCCAGCCAGTGGAAATCTCATCCTTGAAATAGAACCACCTAATTCTACCACCGCATCAGTACAAACATTGAAAATTTTAGTGGTGCGACTTGTAACTTTCACCGACTGACTGACTAGATATTCCAGTTGCCGTGGTGGTTTAGGTTCTGGTTTGGTCGGGTGGTTTAGTTTGGCTGGATTTATTCGAATACCACATAACTCCACGCTGGCTTTCTCCACCACCTCGAAATCAAACCAGTGACGCAATATGGGGAGAAATTCGGTAGAAAGTGGAGTCAAATATAATCTAGAATTCAACCGAATCGAAATGTGTCCAAATTTAACTTATTCCTCGTCCACCTCAGACAGACAGAACAATATGATGAGTTACGTATGCATGTATGGACGAGGTGAGAAACCTGTGAGTGAGGAGTGAAGTTGGGTAATAATGTAGTTATGTACCTATGTAGGTGGAATATGTCAGTAATGAAAGTTTCATTGGTTCTGGCAGGGTGTGGATTTCCCTTTTTGTTCGTTACAAAATCAGCACAAAATGGAGAGAAGTGAGGATAGAAATGAAATAGACGAACTAACAAAACTTGGCTGGAGGCGATTTTATTTGGGTTTCATCATCATCAAGCTAACTGAAGAATAATGCAGAATATGGGATATTTAAGAGGAACAATTTTTAATTTTCGTATAAATTCTATTGTTCTGCTGAGAAAAATTCTTCCTGGAAATCGAGCAACGCCTTAAATCATGTCCTATTATCAACTGCTTTCTTTTCCCGTGGGACAACTTTCACCAGTAAAAAACACAACAATAGCCCAACCGGAAGGAAGTAGCGCATAGGTATACAGTTGGTCACTCTTTGCCTCAACTTTCACCAAATTTAGCCATCCATTCTCCCTCGCCACCTTCCTTTCCCAGCCGGATTTCCTGGAAAAGTCGTCAAAATGTCCCAAATCCTAACCAACCAGCTAAAAGTAAATAAACAGGCCGAGTTTCCCTTTTTTTCAAGGTAAAAGTACACCAACTGACGTGACAACGTCCACCGGACAATAGGTGTAATCGTATAAATACAAAAAATAAATACGAACGGCACAGCAAACAAAAGACGAGGAAATTTAGGAAAAGTGTAGAAAATCAGGCCAAAAGTTAGACCACCGCTTGGTTGCTCTCTCTCTCTCCCAGCGTTCCAAATCCGTTGGGAATTTCACCACGAGGAAAAATGTGGATCCTTAGCAGAGCGGATGCCTATATATTTATTTACGTTGGTTGTTATTCCGTCCTCACCTGAGTCCTGAAACTGGAGAATGAGCGACAAAATAATTCAAAGGTGCGGAATGCCCCGGTTCAACTTGTCTCGAATTTTCGCGATTATTTCCAAAGTGAAAGGGCACACAGACCTCGAGTCACTTCACTTCACCGACTGGATCCATCCATCCACTCGAAAAGAAAGTAAAGTGCGTGAGTGAGTGAGTGAGTGAGTGAACAAGTGGCATGTAAATAGTCGACCAATTGTCAGGCAGGTGAGCAGCTATACAATTGACATACTTTCACCAGACGAAAAAGGTCGTCTTTGTTGCTTTCACTTTGTGACGGAGTAAATAAACAGGCATTTGTCGAACCTTGCTAATTTTTGGAAGGCCATCCCTGATTTTTGCACAGGGCACAAGTGTCTAATTATGTAAATAAAACTTGACCTATTTAATTTATAAAATCACGATTTTTCGAACATTTCGAGAAGCAATGAGTAAGAAATGTTTGACTAAATAAGTGACTCCTTTCACTCCAACCCTTTGAAGACCAATTTTAATTAAAATGGTGATCACTCATCGTTCAACTCTTATATACAGAAATAAATTAAATTGCTAAAAGTGGCAGTAAAGTTAAAGGGTGAATTCATATTACATAATCAACAAATCCCATGCCAAATCTAGATAATCTAATCATTACCTAAAATCTGAATTCTATACCGGCACGTCATCACTTTTCTCTTTTTAAACGTGCTTACATAACCCAATCATTTCGAGTAAAGTAACTTTTCTGGCTAAACACTTGAAGGAAATGCTTATGTAAATCTATCAGATTTTAATGTGTCAAAGGAACATAAGTAAAGATTAGGAGACCTTCATTGCCACCTCGTTCTCATCGCTTTTATAATTCTACTCCACTTAAACTTATTAATTTCTTCCATTCGTTAAAACCTTTCTTGCTGTCCTGTCACTTTCACCCGTTCCCCACGAGCAGCAGAACCCACCATAAATCATAATTTCTCATTTTTTCCTAGACTTATGCATTCATTTTCTTGTTCAATTACACTAATCGAATTACGTAAGCAGGAGAAAGACATGAATTAATTGAGCCGTTTGATTTCTGAATGCAGTTAATTTTCATGAAGAGTAAAATCTATCCTTCTGATGGTACTTTCTTCTCAAGGGGAATTGGTAAGCAAGTGTAATTGAGCGTATAGATTGGATCTGAGTTTAAAGGAAAGAAAGCTCTAAATAAAGCAACCAATACTTCAAAAACAGAAGAATGCTCGAGAAAGTAACAAATACTGTCTGGCAAAAGTGTATAGAGAAAGTTTATAAAAAGTGGAAATTTTGTATCGTGCAATTCTGATTAAAAATTTGTATATCTTATCGGTACCAAATGATTATTGTGTGTCTAAATTGCAATTAAATTGCAAATGATCTTATGCACCCTAATTTAGGAGATTTTCTTCATCCTTTACAAATCAGTAAGCATTCATTTTCACCATTCGGACGTTAATTTTCTCTGTATTCTAACTTTGCCTGTTTTGGTATTCCGTGTCCAACTCTCACTCACTTACTTCCGGACGAGAAAGTAACTTTCTTTTCCCTCTGTGAGCCAAAAAACCAATCCACCACGAGATACGATGCCACCAGCGAAATGCTTACTTTCTCCCATTCCATCCATCCATCTATCTATCCAACACACGTTTCATCTCCGTCTTCAGTTCAGTCCAGTTCATAACATTCTTTGCAGAGTGAAAGTTTTCCACTTTCTTAACATACATACTCTGACCGACAGCGATCTCTCGACGTAACCGCCGCCATGCAGTACTAGAAAAAAAGAGGGGAAAGTAGTTGTTTGGTTGCTAGCTTTGGTGTTGTTAATTTGTCCGAATTGTTGAAGTATTACTTTCCACCCCCAGGGATGAATGGTGGATTGGCTTGGATTAGATTGGATTCTGAATCAAGAAGGAAAAACTGACGGATTTTCTTTTTTTCACCCAATCTTCTAATCGAGACAAGGTTTTGTTGCTGGGTTTCCTCGCAAGTTAGTTTTGCCACCAACCAACACTTTCTCATTCTTTCCCCTTTTTTCGGGTATAACTTGTTCACAATCAACAGTCAACGGAGCAACAATAATCCGTCATTCCTCGAAAAACCCTAGTTTCCTGAAGGATGAGGGAATGTTTTTGGGTGTCAGGCACCGGATTATTGCAAGCATGAAATTTATAATATTGACTTATTTATAGTTGAAGCAAGTATTTATTTATGGAAAATTACGAGGGTAGCACATATCTTAATAAAATGATTTCAGTGTATTGTTTTTCAGAAATATCCGGCGTTTAATTACAAACTTGAGTTAAAATAAATTTTGTTGAGAAAACTGTAAAATTGCTGACAATGCTTAAAAAATGGTCTTATTTTTCCCACATTTTTTAGTTGGAAGCTTTTCTAAAACTAAATTTGCAGCTTTAAATCGTATTAAATTCGACACACTCTGAGACCAATTCGATGCTTGACAGCTAAAAACGTTCCCTCGTGAGTTGGCCTGACTCGTACTAAATTCTTTCCTTCTGTCTCGTTTTTTGATACAGTACAAATAAAGGGAAAGTTTGTTTCTGACTCGAGTCAACTTTTTTTAGACAAAAGATCGCGGCAGTGTTAAGCTAGGACTTAACACAAAACGAAGAGGAGTTAAACTAGTTCGAGTAAGGATTAAGGTGAAACATTTGGATGGGGTTTTGGAAGTTATAAGTAAGTAATGACAAGATTAAGGTATTTCTTTTGCGAACAAATTACTCAATTTTTACCTGTTAAGATTTCTTAATTGCGGAAATTCTTACCTGTTATTTGACCCAGTTTTTTTGCAGCAGAATATTTTTGCACACAGAAAATGTCACAACTTTATAAAGAATAATTTTTTAAATGTTGTTGTAAATGTTTTTTTAAAAATTGTGTTTTAAAAATAAAACATATTTTTGATGAATTGTCCAATTTTAATAGGAAGTGCTACTACTTTAATTGCAATTAAATATAATTACTGTTTAATTTAAACTTGACTAAAACTCGTCACCACTTGTCCATTACTTCACAAAGAGAAAGTTGAGATATTCCAAAGTCCTAAAAATAGTGTGAGCAGCACCATTTGAGAAAGAAAGAGCTCCAATCCAGGCGATGTTATCAACACGAGACTCCAACCCAAACTGGGAGAAAAGTCTTAAAATTCGTTTCCTCTTGTAGCCCACAAACCCATCCCTCCCATTTCACCGTGTGTCATCAACTCTACTTTCTCCTCTGCAGCCCGGTTAAGCGTAGTCGAGTGTGTAAACTAAAATAATAAATTAGTGAATCCTGCCCATGGTTGATTTTTGATTGAAGTTTTACACACATTTCATCCCCACTTGAATAAAATGTGGGACGCATGAAGAATGATGAGATCAAGCAGGCATCAGGGTCGAGTAGCAGCCTGGCTGGACTTCCTGTCCTCTATTTTATGACGCGAAATGTCGCCTATACTTCCGGAAGAGAGGAATACAATTTATTATACGCGATACTACGTCTCCTTTTGACTTTCTCTTACCGACCGACACACTTTAACCGGAAATGCTTAACTGCACCAGTCAGGACAAAAACAGAATCCATCCCATTCCATATACTATTACTCACAGGACTGCATCTGTTTTCTCCACTATATAACCACAAAACCGACAAAAACAGAGTTTAATGCCCATTTTATCCCCCACTTTCTCCGTATCATTACTCATTAATTGTTTCCCATTCCGACGACCAAGAAGGAAGAAAAAGAAACCTTGTCTGGCTGGCTGGCTGGCTGCTTGCTTTCTTCTGCACGTGGAAAGTTTATTGTTTTCGTGGTGGAGAAAAAGCTCAGCCGGAAGAAAAAGAATGGTATAGAAGAAAACGACGACATAAAATTTCCCTCTACTTTCTCCTGATGGGCCATATTAACCACACGTGTGTGAATATTAAACCGCGTGTGCCGGAAAGAGAAAGTTGTGTGTGGGTGGATGGGTAGTTAGTTGGAGGAGGAAAATTGTAGGAGGGGTGGCTGATTGGATGAAATGATTATGGCAGCAATTATGTTCAGATCCTTTGGGTAATTAAAATCAACTGGGTGCATGGGATCGGGAATGATCTACTCGTTTGCTTGAGCAGCTTCCATTCTATTCATCCATCCATTCTCTCCGCCTCGCCCGCTAGAGACCTTTCACTTAACTTTGCTCACTTTAAATGGACGGATGAAGGGATGCGGTCCAAGTTCAAATTAGCTTTTGGCTTGACCTTTTCAATCAGACGGGGATGTGTAGTTTGCTGTAAAAGTAATGTAGTGGCTGAATTAGCATGCAGGTCGGTATTGAGAACGGGCTAAAATTAGACTATAATTCTGTGTGGTAAAAACAATTGCAAAATTTTGGAAAATTTTGTTTTTAATTTCGATCCTTTTCAATCAGACTTTGTTGTAAAAGTAATCTAGTGTGCGAATTAGTATTCAAGTCCGTATTGAGAATACGCTAAAATTAGACTAAAATTCTGTAGTGAAAGTAAAATTCTGAAAATTTTGCAAAATTTCTTTCTAAATTTCTATTTATCTACATTTTTTTCTGTCCCAACAACACTTCATCCTCTTTGGTCCCCCATCATTCATCATCTCCTTCGTTCTCTGTCTCTTTGTACTTTTGCTTTCAAAATGTAATCCAGACATCAGAATATTTTAGCATTCCGTGTGTGACTCTGGTTTCACATCGTTGTTACCTTCTCCACTTCCTTCCTACTTGTTCACTCACACCACACGTCGCACACACTAAGCAAGAAGCAGACAGACTTTTACCAAAGCAAAATACATAAACCAAACCAAACCACAAACAAATATAAATAAATATTTGATCCGTCAAACAGACACGACAAGACTTGACCAGAACGGGAAGAGACCACTTTCTCCTCCATCGTCAGTCAGTCGGTATCTGTATGCTCGACTTTCTCTGCACCAAATCCCACATCTTGTATCGAGATCAACCATTTCGTAGCCTTTTTGCCTTCGCTAATGTTAAGAAGAGAGAGAGAGCGAGATGTTGTTTCACATCTTGCGGTATCCAGTCGAGAATACTAATGGGGCTGCGTGTGCATGGGCTCCACTCCATTCCATAAATATTTGTTTATTCCTTTCGACATGGAGGGGAAGAGGGTGTGTCATATTTTTGCTCAATAAGAACTCAACCAAAACTATCTATGTGTGTATGTAGCAATAAAAAATATTGGTATACAAATTACTCCGTCATGTTGTACAACAAGGAATGCGTGTGTTCATTCTTGTTTTGCTGTACTTTACAAGTTTGTGAAATAGACCAAAAGTTTGTTTAAATTAAGAAATAATGCATATTTGTGATTGATTACCCATAAAATGTTATAGGCAGTTAGCAAATCTACGTTTTTAAGATTTCCCTAATTTTTCCTATCTCTTGTGTTGAGTTAATATTTCTGGAGCCGATCTTGAAATCGCCCTATAGCGTCGTCTGAATGTTTTTCATATTGTGGAAATTTCGACTCCACTGAAGATAGTAAAAATTACGGAAATTTCAAGAGCGTAGATTTACTAACTGCATAATTATACATGTCCCTTACCAACAATAATTAAGGCTGTGAAACACCTAAACAGGATTATTTTTTCACCTGCAGTTTTATTTTTAACCACAATTATTTGTTATCAGGCAAGTTTGTCACTAAACCATCAATGTTAGTAACAATAATGGGATTTATGTGATGCAAAAATGTATGTTACATAAAAGAGAGTAACCTTTATAAACAGCATATTTTGTTGGTTTTGAAAGTTTACAAAAATACGAAAGCCATTATTACACTAAACATTAAACCCTAAATTAAGTAACAATTTACTCTCCGAAAGAGTTACAATTGTTTTAAACTGTTAATTAATAAGTATTAATCAATATAATAATAGTAGGAAATGTAGAATTGAAATATTTGTCGTTTGTGCAATTTTTTGTTGATTTATCGACTTCATACTCGATGAAATCATGAAGGTATGACAAAGAAACATTTTGAGACTGCTTTGGCTGTTTCATGGATCAAACGAAAACAATCCATGCAAATTTGCTGGAAATTTTCTCTCGAAAAACAGTTTGGGCGCGGGCCGTTTTGGCGCTTGATAGCCCAACATCAGCTCAAACAATCGGTCAATGAAAACTTTTCGTTTCTCGAGATTTTCGGGAGGATTTTCAGTCTGCAACTCTTTCTTAAGGGTAGTTTGCTCTGCTTGAATCCAAAGTTTTATTTTGTCAACGTCCACCAATTTCTTTGGCCATTGGAAATGTTCCATCGCGGTCAAAACATCCTAAAAAATATTTTAAAAAAACATTCAATCAAGATTCCAGGCTAACAATGTATTTGCAATCAATTTACCTCTAAAGAAAATACAGTCTCGCCAAAGCCTGCACATTTTTCCCAGACTTCCAGCGTCTCTTCCTTGTCTCCTTTCATGAAGTGAGCAATTCCAAGCAAGAAGAGAAAATCCATCATTTCATAGTCATTCCAACCATCTGAGATGGAAGTATCTTCAAGTGTCGTCTCCATCATGATAGCCACATCGGGATATTCGTTGATTTTACCGAGAAGAGTTTTATAATATTCGATCGTCGCTTTGAAGTTGGTGGGGTCGAGTTGAATCGCTCTTGACAGCCAGATCAGCGAATCGTCTAAGTTTCCGAAAGACATTCGGTACAAGATTCCAAAACTATTAATTTGTGAGGAAATGAACAAGTTTAAATATTTAAAACTTGAAGAACTTATTTCAGAACAGGGCTAACCGATGGGCAGTCTTTGGATTTGACGGATTCAGCGCATTTGCAGATTGCAAAAGATTAAGGGAACGCTCTGCATCGAAGAACAAGTGTGGGACGTAGCGTGCAAAATAATCCGAAATGGTTGAAAGGATGGTGACATTGTCGGGAAAATCCGTAGTTAGTTTCCTAAGAAAATGGAAACATTACAATGTCCAATATTGATAACGTTTAAGGTATACTTACCAACTATGATCAATCAAATATTTCATCGAATCGTCCAAATTATCCAGATGTATGTCTCCACAAGTAAATCGGCCGCTGGAGTCACGCACACTCCCAATAATCGTATCCAACACGGCGAGACGGGCAAATAGATTATCTGGCGAGATGGACACTGCTTTCTGCAGGTTTGTAATTTCTTCCGCATTCGGCCATTTATTTCGAGCACTGGCCTCACGGCGACGAAGCCGCATAATCTCCGCGAGAGCGAGGCACCACTCGGCAGAGCTGTTCTCAAATTGGACCACCTGCAAAGAGTACGATTAATTATATCGGGCACAAGTAAATAAGTTACCCAAAGTAAGAGATAGAAAAAAAAATTTCACCCGTTGCATCCTCCTAATTTTCTCCAGCGGCTTGAATTTAAACAATTTAATGAAAATGCAGCTCAATCCATGTACTGTGAACTGGCAATTGGTTACCAAGTCGTCGAAATGTGTGGTCATCATAGTATAGTCATGGTGGGGTGCCACATTAACGATGTCTTGGTATTCTTCATCCACGTCGGCCAGGACGACGTACAACTGGCGGAAAACGCCAAATAGAAAAGTGTACGCACTTTTGGCCAAAACATCCCGAGCTATGCGGACATCCTCCAAAATTGCGGCAAAGTTTCTAAGTTCTTCCAAAAATAGAGGTGGATTTGGGAGGACCAACAAAATGAAGAGTTGTGACACCTTGTTCGCGACAAGTTCGGCCGGTTTGTAATCATATAGATCATTCAGGTCGGATTGTCCCGCCGTCATTTTGAAAGTCAGAGAGAGTTGGAAGTAGAGTCGGTTCAAATAGGCAGGATTTGTGTAGATGAGATTGATGTCCCAGATGAAATGGCACAATGACTGGAGTAAAGAGACCGGTACGTCCCCACGTGACCTCATGGCCAACGGCTTACCCAATTTTGCATTGGCTTCAAGAATTGATTTTTTCAGAGGGGCGAGAAACTTTCGCACAGCATCTTCAATCACTTCGTGTTCAGAGATATAATCGTCGTGGGGCACGTCAATTGTGTTGTTCCCGTTGGGCGACGAAGGTTTAGAAGTTGATTGGTCAACTTCTTCTAATTCTTCATCCTTCTCGTTTATTCGATCCATTATAACTTTTAAAGTTTCAAATGAAGTTAGTGAAACCACCTGTAACAATTAATGAAAGGGTTAATTTAATTATATTCACCGAGTAGCAGATTTGTCAAATGTCATCAAATTACAATTACTGAATTACATAAATAAATTAAAAATCTGGAATCGTCATTATTTTTTGAAGTTAAGTTACCTTCTAACAAGTCGTAGTACCACCTTGGTTTTTATGATGTGTGACTCAACAATACTACTTATCGCTGTACGCATCAATTAGGAACCTTCGGATAATAGCTTATCATCAAGAAATTAACAGTAAACTTTTAATCAACACAAATTGTCCGATTAAAATGGAGCGAGAGCACGCGACAGTCCACTTGAGCAGACTGAAGCAAGCAGAGAAGCGGAGAAAGTGTGGCTCGTGGGGCTGGGAAAAACGAGAAATTTTACCTCCATGCCTCGACGTTTGAATTGTCACGAGCCCAAATAATTTTTTAGCAAGTCCGGTTTTGCTTTGACTGTATTTTCCAAATATTTAAAGTTTTTGACAAATTTTGAAAATTATTCGAGTGGTAATAATAAATTGTAATACGTCTGTGAAAGGTGGAACTGATCTAATTTGAGGTAAGTGTCATTCGCCAATAGATAAATGAGTTTTACTTTATAGAAATTAATTTTTAATTTCAAATTTTCACAAAGTGTACAATTAGTACAATATTGTTTTGAAAGTATGTTATGAAAGTAAATTAATATGTTCAAGTCGTGATAATTTTGACTATATTTGTACGTTTCAGAAGCAGAATCTTTTGTCAATACGAAAATGTAGAGAGAAAGTAAACCCGAGTCACAAGCTTCAAAAATTTTGGCGAAGCTAAATTGTTGGAAGGTCATCACCATGATTCGTCTAGTCACCTGTCAGCTATGCAATACCAATGTGGCGATGAAGGCTTTCTCGTCATCGTCGTCTTCAGTTTGGACAACACCAGTGCGAGCTTTTTCTCTAGGGAAGGTGGGTAATACCCACTGGGTATCAGATCGATTTATTTCAATCAGAATATTTGTGGCGACAAAGTTAAAACAATGTAATTAATTGGCAGATTCGTTGGAGAAAACCTGCTACTGCTGCGAGAGAAGAAATAGACCAAGATCCAATTATTTCTAACAAAATTGAAAGTCGACCAGTCGATGTAGCATCGCCAGTTTCAGCGCCTATTACCTCCTCGCCACCACCACACGTACTCCCCTCCACGTCCCATATATCCGACGCCCCCCTTAAACTACTAAACTCGGTTCCACCCACATTTTTAAGAAACGCTGTTGCTCAAACACATCAATTAGAGTATACAAAATTGCCCTCGTATTACTTATCGCTGTCGAAATCGCGTCTCACCGGCCTCGTCGTTGTGACGGCAATGGCTGGCTATGCAATGGCCCCTGCGTCCTTTGCTCTTCTCCCATTTGCGAGTTTGACTCTCGGAACGGCACTAACTTCCGCTGCGGCAAATACGATCAATCAGATTATGGAGGTGGAATATGACGCCCAGATGGACAGGACGAAGAATAGAGTGCTCGTTCAGAGGCACTTGAGGTGCATATTTAAACTTTTTTGGTAAATTTAAGTAAAGTGTATTTAAGGTACTTCAATTGTGTTAATGTTTTCTATTTAGTATGACCCACGCCAAAGTTTTCGCCGCCCTTACTGGTCTCGGTGGCGTTGGTATATTAGCAATTGGCGCAAATCCACTCACTGCCCTGCTTGGTGGGTTTAACTTGGCCTTGTACACCTGTGCCTACACCCCATTAAAAAGGAGAACGATTGCAAACACATGGGTTGGATCGGTCGGTATGTGGATTAAACTAATTTGTATTCTTTCATGGAATAAATGACCTTAAACCATAATTATCGAATTTATTTAATTAATTAGTTGGTGGAATTCCCCCCATCATGGGATGGGTTGCTTGCACGGGGGAATTGTCCCATGGAGCGCTCCTCCTCGGCGGAATCTTATATGGTTAGTAAAAGACAAAACTATCAGATTAGTTAATTTGCGCATTATACATCGTATTTAAAGAAAAGATGGTTAAAAGATGTTATTATTAGGAGAAACTAATTCACTCAAGTAATATCACACTTTCTCCAAATACACGATCCCTGGTCCAACAGTATTCATATTTCTTATTGTCTCGAATAATTGGGTGGCCATCGCCATTTGGAAATCCGTCATCAGTTTACAAATACATACTGTGAATTACTGTGAAAAGGATGGTACAAGTTGTACCGTACAACCTCTCCTTTCCAATCTTCTTCTCTTCGTGGGTGGAAAAAAATGAAGGTTTCACTCAACGGAGAAAGTGCACTTTTACCTGATGCGAGGGTGGATAGCTCAATACTTAATTATTTAGAACAGTAGAGTAGAACAATGAATCACTCTGACATAAAGAAAAGCCGGTATGAGATTGTCATTTATCTCCCCACACACATGCCATTAGTGTTTGATTGGAATTTCAATGTGCACCCACTCTTACTTCATTACTCTTAGCAATTATGCTGCAGCTTTTAAACGAACTTATTTTTTTCTATTTCAGCTTGGCAGTTTCCACATTTTAACGCATTATCGTGGAATATAAGGAAAGACTATGATAAAGCGGGATACAAAATGATGGCGATTTCACATCCTGGTAAACATGAACAGCTTCTGATAATCTTTTAGCAAAAATTGTATTTAAATGCAATCAAATTCTGGATTAATTAATTCTATATTATATTACGGTTTAATTGTTCCAGATCTGTTGAAAACCACTTCACTCCGATACAGTCTTGGAATAATTGCAATGTCTAGTCTCGCTCCCGTTTGTAATGTCACCTCGTGGACGTTCGTCTTTGATTCACTCCCACTAAACGGATACTTGGTCTATTTAGCATACAGATTCTATAAAGACGGAGATTCAGCGAGTTCCAGAAAACTATTTAGATTTACGCTAATCCATCTCCCAATCTTAATAGTATTAATGATGATTAGTAAGAAAAATTATGACAAGCCGTGCCCGCCCGTAGTTGGAGAAGGGGGATTAGAAGCGGTGGCAGCAACAGTGTCCTCAATCATCGTATCTGGAATTCAACCTCCACAAAATCCAGTTCTACTAGAAATTTCACAAACTTAAGAACGTAATCAGATATATAGTAATAAGAAGCTTAATAGGTTAGTGAAACTATGTACGAATGCAAAAAATGTCATTGAATAAATCAATCCTGACGAGATTAACATGTCGAAGTTAAAGTAATTTGGAGCTATTTTGCAATAATTTCGCCACGAAACATTATTTATAAGATAACAACTTTATTAATTAATATTGATGGATGGTTTGCAAAGTAGCATGAGCAACAAACAACAACACTAGTTAATTAGCATAATTTACATAACAATTATGTAACTACAACGGGATTAACTATACTTATATATAAATTATTAGTAGATATGTTCTGGTCCATTGTGTAATTGGCTATGTATTTACTGTACTGTATACTGTATTTATTTTGTTACTTTGTGAGAAACGCCTCTTTCGCCAAGTTTAAGCTTTCCAGGCGTAACAATTCCATTTCCTGCTGGATAAAATCCGTAATTATTTTTCTCTTTTGTATTGCTGACATTCCTCGGACAGATTTGACTATAGGTTCGATGTCTAGTGGGTGGCCGACGTTCATGAAAACTTTTTTGCCAAAGCGAGGTATATAAGGGGGATGGTTGGGGAGAACGTCGGGCATTCCTGATAAGAAAAATTATACAAGTTTTTTTGTAATCAACCATCTTTTTAGCGGGATAATGAGGATAATAATTTGAGTAGGAATTCAAGAAAGAAGCATAAGCTAGCTTTTGTTTACACTCTAAACTTCAGAAAAAGTATAGGAAAATTTGGAAATCAAAGTGTATACTTACATGATCATCATAAGTTTACAGATTGTTAGCAAATAATTACTTGGTAATATACAACTTTTTATCGTATTTAATTTTTCATTTTAATTAATTTTGTTCTTGGTAAGAACGTCTTACCCACGCTCCAAAATGGAAGAACGATCGGTGTAACGATCTGATCCAAATCAGCAATCATCCTGCCCACCCCCCACTTTAGTCTGAGCATCTGCTTCCTTTCCATATTTACTCTGCCTTCGGGAAAAAGATGAATCCACTCCCCCTCGGATAGACGCTCGATACAGAAGTCAATAGCTTTTTGATAAACGCCAAGCCCACGCACGACAGGAATACACTTTCCATGAGAAAAAAATTTGGAATAGATTGGACGTGTGTAGCAAATGTCGTGAGCAGCAAGACTCCAACGCATCTTGGGTTGATTAAAGAGCTGTTGGATGGTCATGAAGTTGCCTGTCAAATGCAGAATATTGATACTTGAGTAAAATACATATTATTAGACAGAAGGCAGATTTTTGTGTTTACCGATAAGCCCAGGATCATCTAGACAAGACTCGTGATTAGCAACCGTGATGAGAGGCACGCCAGCAGGCCGGTTGTACACAGCATTGACTAGGGTCTCCTTATTACGTATTTTACAAGAGTTTAGGAATGCTGTTTAGGACATAAAAACAAATTAATTCCATACAACTGCAACACATAATTGCAACATTTGTATACACTTGCTTACACAAGACAAATTTTCCACCGAAAAATCCAACCATAAAAAGACAATATTTTGATCTTATATTCCACCATTTTTGGGGCTTCTTAAAATCTGGGAATGGCCACGAGAAATTTACTGCACCTCGACGGGATGGTAATGATGGATCGGGCGATGGCATGTTGTTGGTGGAGAGGACAGGCATAGTGGTGAAAAGAACAGGCAACAACGTTTATCTTGATTGTTGATAGTGAAACTATCTGCAGTACAACAGCTCCTGGAATTAGACAAACACAAACGCTTAGCCAAGGAAATTACTGTGTATGGGTAGCATTGAAATTGTGATAACTAATAAACACACCTTAAATAAATAGCCTAATGTTTCTGGATTTATGTAATGCTAAACTATTATCTTAAATGTAGGACACAGGACAAAATTAACAAGTGATGTTCTATGGGGGATTATACAACTCGTTTAATTGAGTTGTAACTTCCTGTCCGGAAGAAATCTCAACATTGAATTAATTCCGTCTTGTAAAGAGGTGGAAGACGATGACGCAGCATGTTGCACTGCTGCCTGAGTCAGGTAGGCAATGACGTGGTCGAGCAAGGCTTTATTTTCTGGAAGCGTTTCTTGTTCTCGAAGTTGTTTAAGGGATTCGAAAATATTTGATGAGCCAGAAATGGCTTCTATGACGTAAGTAGCACCGTCACTAATGGTGATGGTGATTGCGACGAGAGCGATCACGGATTGGCGTACGGTTCCGTCAGGGTGGGTAGCGAAAGTTTGTGAGAGATGCCCAACTGCAAAAAGGAAAAACAATTAGTTGAGTTGTCTGGATTTTGGTATAGCTTTTATGCTAAAAACCCTATTAGATAATTATCTCACCCTGTCCTGCAATACTTCCCAAATGTGGACATGTCCCTCCACCAGGTAGCAAAATTCTACCCAACAAGCGAAACATTTGAGCTAGCAGCATATCCCGTGGAGCCCCCCGGATTACTCGTTCTTCCTCCGATACGAAATAAGACGCTTTTGAAAGCATTCGGTTGGCCAAAGATGACCAAATTATAGGGATCAGTGTAGTCGAATATGTGTCTGGAAGTGGTGTCGCACTGGAGGAATTATTTCTAGATTTGAAAAAGTATCGAGTCTTTGAAGCTACGCGACGATCCACAATTTCTCGCCAAGTTAAAGAAGATAAATCTCCAGCGTCAGAGTCAGTCTTTCCGTCTTGCTCTTCACCAGAATTAGGAATATTTGAAACATTTTGGATTCTTTTGCAATCTGAACAAGATCTCAATTTTTTCTTCACATTGAAATATTTTGTGATAAAATCTGGACTAATTGAGATCAAGTCAAGGCGATGTCGCTCCAGTTCAGGGCTATGGCAGGAGAAACATTTTGATTTTGAGAGAAGTTGAACTACTTCTGCGAGACGTTGTAGAGTGACCATTCGATGGCCAGAAGTGTAGTGGTCGTCGTCGAAGGTGGCGGTGGCTATAATTTCAATCACGTTGGTGGGGTGAAGAATAGTCAGCTCGTAGATAGAGAAGAGAATGGGAAGTTCAAGGCTCGGTATGGCAGAAGTGTCGTAGTCGAGAAGGCATCTGGCGAAAATATCATTGTTAGTTATAACTAATTAGGCAATCAGTGAATAATTAAATAAATAATTGGTATGAAATAGGATTTGATAACTTACTTGATCAATACCTCTGCCATTTTAGGATCAATCCTAATTCCAACACTGAGCAGCAAAGGGATTTTCATGATGCAATATTGTTTAACAGCTTCCATATCCACTTCATTCTTCCCACCCCCCTCAAGTAATATTTCTACAAATTCGCTAAAATATTGGGGAAGACGACCTCCTTTTTTGGAACGATAATCCAATATTCTTTCATCCACAGGTGGATCAGTTTCATCAAAATGGTTCAGTTGTGACGCTTCTTTTTTATTGACATCATCCGCCTCTTTCTCGTCCTCGTCTTCGTCATCATCATCATCGCTGTCTAAAACTTGTATCTTTTTCTTCGTTTTATCCAACAGATTTGTACTTTTGTGGATCGATTCCTTGAACCCATTTTCGTAAAAGTTGATCAGTTCTTTAAATATGGCATGTTTCGAGGTGAATTTAAGTTTGGAGTGACCACTGTCAGCGGCCTCGACTTTTCCACTACCAATTTTCATATGTAGATCTCCAATTACTTGAGCCAATCCCATGCCGCAAGCTTTCTTTCCCTCGTCCGTGGAATCTAAACATTTTGCGACACTTTCCAATACTTGAGATGTCGATGACACCAAGATATTTTTCGTTGTCACCGATGCTTCCGAGTTGTCCTCGCCAAGTTGAAGTTTTATCTCACGGGCGAGAGCAATGAGGGCGTATGTTGCAGGGAGCAGAACGGTATCATATGAAACGGCAGAACTGCGACACAGATTTTGCCATGAGGTGACACCATTTGACCAGACGGAGGCCAGTGTGGTGGAAGAGGTGCATTTAATCATGAAGAAAGCCCAGTTTGTCCAAAAGAGAGGAGATTTTGTCCGTGTTTTAGTCGGAATTGAGGATGATAGGATATTGTTCCAGGTGGTGGAGGTGAAGAATGGGTCTGATGGCGAGAATATAGTCGTGGCTGGGCTAAAATTAAAGAGAAACGAAACATTTAAAATTGATCTAATCTTTTTGTCAGTTAATTTATCATTCATTCTTTTAATTACTCACCATGTATCTCTCAACCCGATGAGAAAGGTCGTCTTTGCAAATTTAAACGCGGCTTGATTTCCTAATCCTACTAAAATCCTAGACAATAATCTTCTCGTGATGAAATCATCTTTACAGATTATTCCTAATTCGTCGACAAACTGGGCGAATGGTGTGACGTCGTACTCGTCGTCTTTCTCTTGATTATTCTTTGTTGCTGCTGGTACAGTCGGAGACAGAGTCAAAATCTTTTTACGCCCAACGAATTGTTCCGCATCAGAATGGAATCGTATGAAAGTTCGATCCAGTAAATTTCCCAAAACTTGCGATCTTATAATTCCGTCATAACTCTCTTGTGCCACGCCATAAACGAGAGCTTGGATTGTGATGATGATTTGCGACAAGATAAAAGTTTGAAACTGTTCCGGTGGGATGTGGAAATTATCCGAGATGGAGAATAAAAGACGATACAGGGAGGACGTCTTAATTATTTGGGAGTAAAATTGGTTAATTAACTTGCTAAAGTTATTATAAAACGATCATTCACAATTTCAGCGATAGTGGCTCAAAACGAAGAAGAAGTATTTATAGTATAAAGTATCGATTTGACATTTGCAAGAATTTTGATAATTACATAACACACAATTAAATTTCCAATAATTAACATTTAATTATACTCACCTCTGCAATAACGCCGGGAACTTCGTCCCCTAAGCTTAAACTTCCCAACGCTTCCGCACACGAATCAGCACTTATCCAGGATTCTGCCAACTTTCGACTTAATTCCGACGCCCGGGTCGTCGTTGTTGTACTCGAATTGACGTTGACACCCCTCTTCAACTCAAGAATGACTCCGAGAGTTTCGACAGGAAATTCTTGACTAGTCACAAATTCGACAAGATCGGAAGGAAGGTCCGAGTTGAGAACGAGGGATGGTGTATCACAATAGAATTGCAAAGCGTGGAGGAACTTTTGTCGAAATGCGGAGGCCGAGTTAGACGATGATATCGAAAATGTCGCAGATTTTTTATTTGCACTAAACCAAATTCGAGAACTTTTACTATTTGCTTTATTCTTGCTCGTAGGAGAAGAACAGCAAACTTTTGACTGAGAAGAAGACGCCATGGAGGACAGTAAATTACGACGACGCCAAAAATGATGGCGACGACACAAGTAAGGACATTTTTTTCGAAATTCAGATTTCAGTAAGACAAACGTCTGTGAAGCTGTACCTGGGTTTGAGTGCACTGCCGCCGCCCACCGACTACCTTCCTACCGCCAACCGCCGCCTATCTTCCTACCGCATACCCGCAGATGCCACTTCCAAAAAACCTTGTACATCGACTTCCCTCACCCTTCGCCGTACCATAATACCCCAAAATGTTAATTTTACTCTAAATTACTCAAAAAATCCAGAAAACTAACTAATAAACTAATAAAATAATCCGCGTAGGTTCCTACAGCGGGATTCCAAACTACCGCCTCCATGCTTGCATATATTACTGACCACACCCCCGGTCATCATTTAATGCGGACCCGCACCCGCCAGATCCTACTGGTCGAAATTACCAAGCCGGTAAAAGTCATAACTTGGACTTTTAGCTAATTTTGGGTTTGTCGCCGTTTCCTACAGCGGGATTTCAAACTACCGCCTCCATGCTCACTTATGTTATCGACCGCACCCCCGGTCATCAGTTAATGCGGACCCGCACCCGCCAGATGCCTCTGGTCAAAATTAATAAAATCAGGAAGATCTTATTTTGAAAAATTTAAGTAGTTTGACTTTGCCTCCGTTTCCTAGAGCGGGATTTCAAACTACCGCCTCCATGCTCACATATGTTATCGACCGCACCCCCGGTCATCATTTAATGCGGACCCGCACCCGCCAGATCCCTCTGGTCAAAATTAATAAAATCAGGAAGATCTTATTTTGAAAAATTTAAGTAGTTTGACTTTGCCTCCGTTTCCTAGAGCGGGATTTCAAACTACCGCCTCCATGCTCACATATGTTATCGACCGCACCCCGGTCATCATTTAATGCGGACCCGCACCCGCCAGATCCCTCTGGTCAAAATTAATAAAATCAGGAAGATCTTATTTTGAAAAATTTAAGTAGTTTGACTTTGCCTCCGTTTCCTAGAGCGGGATTTCAAACTACCGCCTCCATGCTCACATATGTTATCGACCGCACCCCGGTCATCATTTAATGCGGACCCGCACCCGCCAGATCCCTCTGGTCAAAATTAATAAAATCAGGAAGATCTTATTTTGAAAAATTTAAGTAGTTTGACTTTGCCTCCGTTTCCTAGAGCGGGATTTCAAACTACCGCCTCCATGCTCACATATGTTATCGACCGCACCCCGGTCATCATTTAATGCGGACCCGCACCCGCCAGATCCTACTGGTCAAAATTACCAAGCCGGTAAAAGTCATAACTTGGACTTTTAGCTAATTTTGGGTTTGTCGCCGTTTCCTGCAGCTGAATTTCATTCGTGATCCATTCGTTGCCTGGACAAAGTTGGCGTTCTTGGTTTGTTGCACAACTCCACGTGCGAAAATTCCAACGTATGGGGCGTATGTGTTTTCAAACACGTTCAGCACAGCAGGATTGTAAAATGGATTCAACTCTGCTTCCTCATTCACGTGTTTTTCTTCAATTCTTCTTATTTTCTGAAAAGTGTGGTAGAATGGCGACTTCTCACGTAATAACCTACTTGCGTTTACTTCTTCCTCGTCTGGTCCTGCATAGTCATCCACTATAACGTCCCCATACACCCATTCTTCAAGACAAATTGACTTGATTCGCGCGAGATTGTGTTGGACATCTTCGGGCGACATCTTCTCCTTCCCAAATAGGGTACATATATCCTTCATGGCGATTTCCACGTCGTTTAACGTTGACGCCTCTTGTAATTTGGCTAACCCTCGCACGCTTGCGTCCACGATCTCATTTCGAAATTTATGTCCAACGGTTTTCTTGCGAACATTGTCAAGAAATGACTTTGTCAAATGAGATGCGCACAATTGTATGCACGCCGTATCTCCAGCAAACGTGTCCTCGTTTTTGAGGACGGCGTAACTTTTCTTCTAATATTCTTCTAGTTTCATTGTGTTATATCCCTCAGACACAGCATGAAGCATGGCGAAATTAAAGTCGGTACATATTACATCAGGGGCACTCTTCGTCTGATATGGGCGTAATTTTTTCACACCTCGCTTGATGCTAGTAAGAGGACCCGCAATATCATTGGATTAACCTCGCATTAAAACACTGTCAACCACAATGAAGCTTCCCTGCTTCGTTTGCGCCACAATAGTGTACAATAACAATGTGTTCTTTTTGTTCCTGTGAGTTTTTTCAGCAGGATCATTGCTAGGATATAGGGCATCTCGTGGGAGGGCTTTAAAATACCTCCTGTCGCATCAATTCCCACGATAACATGAAATTGTATCCGTAAATAATCTTATTGATTGCTGGTCGAAAAGATGCAGCCTAAAAAGTTTTGCATCCAAGTTAAAATCTTGGATGTAACCACAAATTGTGGCGTTGGCGTTGTGGCTTGTCTGGTAGTGATTTTTCAACAACCTCAAGTCGTCGAATACATTAGAAGCCAGTCTGACTTTTCCTTTGGACTCTGATTTCACAGTTCGTAGAGCGTCTGCACTGGGAAGAACGCTTTTATGTAAAAGCTCGAGCCCTTTCACATGGCTCAAGTCTGTGAGAAATATCTTCGCTGATCTTTCTTCCTATCAGTTTCTACGTACTTTAACTCTGTCAAACATTTTGTGAACAAATAAATAAGCGTACAAAAATGCCGGGTTGTTGCTCAGCTCATAATTAGACTTGGCAAAGAAAGGCAACGAACGCCTATGAAGTTGGAACCGGTTATGGGAATATAGACTCGACACCTGCATTCTTCGCACCCCACCAAATTGTTACTTACCAGGGGTATGGTCTGTACAATATATACGAGGGGCCTGTAGATTCATATCCCGCTGGACGAAACGGCGAAAAAATAGAAATACACAAATTTTGCTACTTATGATTTTTGTGATTAGATTCAGATAGATCTGGCGGGTGCGAGTCCGCATTAACTGATGACCGGGGGTGCGGTCGGTAATATATGTGAGCATGGAGGCGGTAGTTTGAAATCCCGCTCTAGGAAACGGAGGCAAAGTCAAACTACTTAAATTTTTCAAAATAAGATCTTCCTGATTTTATTAATTTTGACCAGAGGGATCTGGCGGGTGCGGATCCGCATTAAATTATGACCGGGGGTGCGGTCGATAACATATGTGAGCATGGAGGCGGTAGTTTGAAATCCCCCTGTAGGAAACGGCGACAAAGTCAAAATTAGCAAAAAGTCCAAGTTATCACTTTTACCGGCTTGGTAATTTCGACCAGAGGGATCTGGCGGGTGCGGGTCCGCATTAAAACATATGTGAGCACGGAGGCGGTAGTTTGAAATCCTGCTGTAGGAAACGGCGACAAAGTCAAAAGTAGCAAAAAGTCCAAGTTATCACTTTTACCGGCTTGGTAATTTCGACCAGAGGGATCTGGCGGGTGCGGGTCCGCGTTAAGTGATGGCCGGGGGTGCGATCGATAACATATGTGAGCATGGAGGCGGTAGTTTGAAATCCCGCTGTAGGAAACGGCGACAAAGTCAAAATTAGCAAAAAGTCCAAGTTATCACTTTTATCGGCTTGGTAATTTCGACCAGAGGGATCTGGCGGGTGCGGGTCCGCATTAAAACATATGTGAGCACGGAGGCGGTAGTTTGAAATCCTGCTGTAGGAAACGGCGACAAAGTCAAAAGTAGCAAAAAGTCCAAGTTATCACTTTTACCGGCTTGGTAATTTCGACCAGAGGGATCTGGCGGGTGCGGGTCCGCGTTAAGTGATGGCCGGGGGTGCGATCGATAACATATGTGAGCATGGAGGCGGTAGTTTGAAATCCCGCTGTAGGAAACGGCGACAAAGTCAAAATTAGCAAAAAGTCCAAGTTATCACTTTTATCGGCTTGGTAATTTCGACCAGAGGGATCTGGCGGGTGCGGGTCCGCATTAAAACATATGTGAGCACGGAGGCGGTAGTTTGAAATCCTGCTGTAGGAAACGGCGACAAAGTCAAAAGTAGCAAAAAGTCCAAGTTATCACTTTTACCGGCTTGGTAATTTCGACCAGAGGGATCTGGCGGGTGCGGGTCCGCGTTAAGTGATGGCCGGGGGTGCGATCGATAACATATGTGAGCATGGAGGCGGTAGTTTGAAATCCCGCTGTAGGAAACGGCGACAAAGTCAAAATTAGCAAAAAGTCCAAGTTATCACTTTTATCGGCTTGGTAATTTCGACCAGAGGGATCTGGCGGGTGCGGGTCCGCATTAAAACATATGTGAGCACGGAGGCGGTAGTTTGAAATCCTGCTGTAGGAAACGGCGACAAAGTCAAAAGTAGCAAAAAGTCCAAGTTATCACTTTTACCGGCTTGGTAATTTTGACCAGAGGGATCTGGCGGGTGCGGGTCCGCATTAAATGATGACCGGGGTGCGGTCGATAACATATGTGAGCATGGAGGCGGTAGTTTGAAATCCCGCTCTAGGAAAAGGGGGCAAAATAAAAATACTTAAATTTTTCAAATTAAGATCTTCCTGATTTTATTAATCTTGACCAGATGGATCTGGCAGGTGCGGGTCCGCACTAAATGATGACTGTGGGTGCGGTCGCTAATATATGTAAGCATGGAGGCGATAGATTGAAATCTCGCTGTAGGAACCTATGCGGACTATTTTATTAGTTTGTTATTTGGTTTTCGGGATTTTTTGAGTATTTTAGAGTAAAATTAACATTTTGGGGTATTATGGTACGGCGAAGGGTGAGAGAAGTCGAGGTACAAGGTTTTTTGGAAGTGGCATCTGCGGGTATGCGGTAGGAAGAGAGGCGGCGGTTGGCGGTAGGAAGCTGGACGGTGGGCGGCAGCAGTGCACTCAAACCCAGGTACAGCTTCACAGACGTGTAAGACAAGAACAGAGAATGAAACGTGAGTGTGGATGAGTTTGTGAGTGAGTGGATTGAGATTCCCGGCTGAAGACGGGTAAATTCTGCACAACGCAATGCAAAGAGCTGCTCATTTTCTGCAAATCTGATGCAAATTTTGTTTGAGTTTTCTATTAAAATAATTTAAAATACAATAATTAAACTAATCGAAATCTATATTTTTCAGTTTTCTCCGATATTTTGCATGCATGCTATTTTTTAGAAAATTTATAGTGATACCTAATCTGCAAAATAAACGGTATTATTCCCTACGGAATATTTTTTCTAACCGACGTAAAAATTTAACTTGGTAATTAAGATATGTGAAAGGTCCCATTTATTTTACAAATTGTTACAAAATTCATGGCAAATATACAAACACACCCAATCCTGCTCACCCCCACACAATTACCAATGCCTAATTATATCAACAAACAAAACCCCAAGAATGACCGCTTTATGGAAGACGTTCAACCCTGGGGGAAATTCGACCCCTGGCATCGTTATAGCCAACTTGGAGCAGACGAGGCTAGACATCACGGTGGCGAGAGGTCCGTCACCGTCCTCTTCATTTTCTTTGATGCACGTCGCAGTCTCCAAGTCCTCCTTTGACGCCTCGTAAACGCCGTACACAAAAGTCCCAAAGTACATCTTCTTCGTGGACGCGCTGGGACAACAGGACCTCGTTTTCTGCCCCTCGACAATATACGTCGTCTCCATATTGTCAAACCGTACCCCGGGCTGGTCACGCTCTACGACGATGTCGAACCTCGCATAGTCGGAGAAGGAGAAGTGGAACATGTTGGACCAAATTCGAGTCACGGTCCCCCACGACGGCTCACCGTCAGGCCCCACCTTGATCATCTGCATAATGCAAAATTTTGAAGAATTTATGGGAGAAATTCGCATTTTTTGGGGACAGTTTACCTTTCCAGGGACGCCGTAGTACTGGAACACTTCGTCTTCCAAGTGGTTCACAACATGCATCCGGACAGGGTAGTATTTCCGCCTGGTCCCAGTCACATCCGGTTCGTTGGAGAGTCTCAGTTCATGTTTCGGTGTGAAGTGGTTTGTGACCATGAAGATGCGTTTCCCTTCCTGGTTGAGCACTTCGAATCTGTTGTTGGGCGTAATGTTGCCGATGACATGGGGTCCAGAGTATGGCTTGATGTAGACGGTTGATGACAAGTAAAGGGCCTCCATTCCGAAAGGACAGCCGATGATGAGACGTGGAATTCTACTAAAACGGGAAGACTTTCGACTAAAACTTTTCGGTGGTTTGTGAAGCATTTCAATTTCGAATTCTTCGATTTCATTCATGATGGTGGATTTTATTTGCTATGATTTCATGAAAATAAGTGGTATTCAGGTTATTATGATAAAGTGTCTGGAATCTGACAATAGTTCGCAGTCTGCATTTTATTCGGCTATAAAAATTTCCTGAGCTGGACAATTTCCAAGTGAATACTTTAGCTGAATATTTTCAGTAATATTGTGACTCCTGCAAAAAATTGTAACAGTTTAATTTTACAATACGTTGCATTTTTTCGTGTATGATGTACCATGAGAAATAATCCGCTTAGCACGATCGCCTTCAGAACCGGGTCCAAATCCTTCGGGAATTCTACCGACCATTTACACCTCGTCCCAATATCCATGTTGTCCAAGGTCGACTTTGTAAAGTCTGATAGTTTTACTTTATAGTTCCGTCTCAATTTCCCAATCACGACGACTTTCTCCGTCTCCGTTTCATCCATGTGGTGTTGACACAGATTGAATTCGGCGTCTTTTGTCACACCCCAACAATTTCCGTCCTCGGGGCCTTGGATGCTCAGCGTTCTAAAGCCTTCGGGGTTCAGCAGGGTAAAAATGGGGTCACAATAACGGTTCTCCTGAACTATTTCTCCCAAATGAAGTTTGCCGTGGGATTGGACGAGTTTAGTGGACAAATTCTGGAAATAAAAATTAGTATTTATAATGTACCACATATAGTTAATAAGATAAGTACTTACCGCACCGCCACCAAATACACCTGGATGTCCACGTAGTGTTAAGATAAGTCTGACATCTGGCTCCGAGTAAAAGTTGTACCGTATCGGAAACTTTCCGCTTTGGCAGAACGAGAAATTTTCCACAAATTTTATCACACTGAATAAAGTTGATCCTCGAGTGTCGGTGATTTTGAAATTTTTCCTTCTCCTGAAACAACCTGAATGGACATTTAACTTAATATTATGTAGATATTAATACCTCCATTTATAGGATGCACTTACCCATCCAGAAAGTGGAAGACACCTTCTTAACGAACACGTGCTCCACAAAGAGTAAACTTTTTAAATCAACAGGACATTTTATAGATTTGTGTGAAATGAGGGATTCTAAATCGTTAAATAATTATGATGATGTTATCAATTGATAAATGGATATTTTTGTTATTAATACTCGCCTTCCTCCCGCGTGCTAATGTGGTACGGAAGATACTCCCAAGATAAGGTCGGTTCTCCGATAAATACGGGAGAAATTCTGCGATTCTTACGCCAAGACATGATATTTTGTGTGGTAAAAAATCCTCAACGAAATTGCAATGTAGAGTATTTAGGTGCCACTATATAACTATGCACTTATAGGATTGACTCATTCCCACTCATTGTTACCACTAATTTGCAATAATTATTATAACTACTCAATTTGAAATGAAATTAGTTTATTATGGAAATTTTGCACGCTCTAAATTACATCGTCGTGAACCACAAACCAAACAATACATGGACCAACCAACCCACGCAGAATACATGTAATTTTTTAGTTCACTTTAATAAATATGTACGAGCTACAAACACACACAAAGAGCATTAAACTTTAATATTTTCGTCGTCAGCTACTGACTGCGGCTACTTATCTCTCGAAATATTGGAAATCCTGTAACAAAACATAATAAACATTATTATCGTACTCGTAATTAGATTAGAAATGAACTCAAAAACCCTCACGATTAAGAAGACTGTCGCCAGGAGGAGAGCTTTCGTCGACGTGTCCATATCCGGTGGCACCTTCAGCCCCCAGATGTCCGCCTAATAAGAAAACATTGTTTTTATTTAAAAAACTTAACTTTCGTCCAAAATTAAGTTAAATAAGGCTTAAAAAATAACCTTTGTGAATAATTCCCTTGCGAAACCGCCCCACTGCTTCATTATCCGCCCCACCATCGTTTCATCTTTCGGATCAATTATTTCGAATTCTAAGGAAGAAATGAGTGGTCTCCAGCCAAAGCAACACCTCCCGATATCTGGACCTACATAAATATGTAAACATTAATTAATTGAAGGGGACAATTATTTCCCCAAAATTAATTTAGTAGACAAACCTCTAATTTGCAAAATTTCGTTTCCCGTCGTGGTTCTTACAGAGTAAAGAGGAGACCCATACTTCTGTAATTGTTGTATGCTTCCTAACGGGTTTGTCCCATCAGTTACGGTTATGTGCTGATTAAAATATTTAATATTTAACCATTACAATTCACTCATAAAATTTCATTCAAAATTTTATTCGAAATTTCAAAATTTCAAAACTTACCCCAGGATTTGTGCATATTCCAGGTACCCTAAAAGATTATTCAATTATTTTTAGCCAATTTAAATGGAAGATTAAATTAGCAGTATTTGTACCCATGCATGTTCATGACTTCCAAAAAACTTTTCGACTTCTTTTCATTCTTTGGTCCGAGTGTGACATTTGGTTTGGAATTGTACACGGAAATATTGAACGGTTGGAAACCCCCGTAACACAACCGGGTGAGAAAATCTGTCGTTTCCGCAGCTAAGAAAACCCGTTGTCCATTACTGTTCAGGATTTCGTACTTGTTCAAAGCGTTTACAAAGACTGAAATGGCCATGAAATAGAAAAATTGCAAACACGTTTTACTCATTGGGTTGACCATTGTCAATTGTATATCGATTTCAATAAATCAATCCTCACATTCGGCTGACATGACGGACTGCTTTATGAAAAGGTGAGTTACGCCTCGAAGAGATTCTTCAATTCCCCAATTTGCTGCGGACAGAATGACACAAAATTTCTAAAATTTTGGACAATTTTGCGAATTTTGTAAGCCAAAAAATTTTGCATATGCACCTTCCGGTCTCGCCATCCTCCCTTGGCTCCCTCGTCTCGGAGGTTTATGATGACTTGTTGGTGAGAGGAGTAAGTTATCCTTGTCCTTTTCTGGCTGTTCCATTATGGGTCGGATGGGATCTACATATGCAAATATTTCATGTGAAATTGTGCATGTCCATATGCAAATGAGGATAAGTATATTTTTATGGCGAAATTTGCCAAATTATTTTGCAAAGAAACTTGAGCCATGCTTACCTGCCATGGGATGTATCATGGTCATTTATCTGACCACAGACTGTGGTCAATCAATGACTACTTGAGACACTGTCACTGTTACACAACTTCACTCCCCGACCCGTCGAGTCACACTAGTCCAGTCCACTTCTTCCAACTTTAATATGCAGCTAGACCAAAATAGCAACACTGACACCCACCAGTTCTCGCACTATTAAAGTAATTACTCTTCTCAATCTAACCGCTGCTAAAAATAACTGCGCCGTTCATGCCCAACAAACCAAACCACACACTCTTTTGCTTTCTCTCCTATTTAACATGAACGTCCACTTTCCCTCTTAACGGCCGAATGGAATGGAATGGAATGAAATAAATTGAAGAGAAAAACAAAATGCCACCGAAACTGGATACCGAATAAGAAATGGTCACAGTGAAAATCAATTTCGGCTATTTTTCACCTAGGTTTTATTTCCCTGCCTTCACAATTCCTTTGTCGTGGACAACAAGCAATTTGGAGGTAACAAAAGTACAATCATATCCTCATGTTGCTATTCAAGACGGAGTAAGTAGGAGCGAAACACTTGTAAACTTAGTTATTTGGCAAATACTCAATTTCGCAATAAGTACTTATTTAGCACGGAAAAGTTATACATGTAATTTTGCATAATATAGGGACAAACAAGGCCGAAATGTGCATGCACTTTGCATATGTACATTCCTCCGAGTAATGAAATGTGTGGCGTACTTTCACTCACTCACATAGCTAACCCGGACGCCTAATGAGTAATTGATAACGGAATGCGTTTACGTCACCTGCATGAAATGAAATACTTTTACTACTTCAACCCACTTTCACCTAACTCAACTCAAGTCGCCTGAACTAAAACCAGCAACTTTCTCCAACAACAAATACATACACATGTAGACATACACACAAATTTCCTGCCATGGAGCAGCAGCACTAACTGGAAAAAAGTTAAGAAATGGACATGCATAACTCTGAATAAATACACAACACGGCCCACCGACCGACCCGTATGCTTCGTTATGGATTAAGTTTCCAGTCAAGATTTGAAACGAATTGATTGAGCGGTCGGGTTTCACCTCAAACAACAAGTTGATGGGAGGCAGGTGATAAAATATATAACGTCAGAGGCTGCTTACTTTTTTAGGTGGGTTGTGCACTCGTATGTTGGTTGGGTGGTGACCTAGATGAATGAATGTTGATGTGTTTGTAAGTAACACGCCAGAAAGTCGTCAAAATTTGAGCGTTTTACATAATTTCTTTATGCAGGTGAGTGAGGTAAGACTGTGAATTTGAAGTATTTTAAGTGAGACAAAGGCATTTAGAGGAAATTCTCAGGTGAAAGAAATTACGCGTTGGGGTGAAATTTCTCGGAAACTGGTGGATGTATGGCTTATGTAGGTACATACGTATGTAGCTGCACGAATCGGTTAAATACTTATGTGCCGTGTTTGGTTTAAATGGTTGATACATTATTCATAAGAGAGAAAGGAGCAAAGCCCGTAGTGAACGGGCGATAAGAGGAAGAAGGTGAAAAACATTGGGCGAGTGTTATATAGCGTTTTGCTTTAAATGCCAGTTAATGATAGTCTTGATTGCTTTTGTTCCATCTGCATGGATTTTTTCAATTAATAGAACTTTATTTTTCTAAAAATTCCCATCAACTCTTCTGCACTTGGTTTGGCCCTTTAATATTTTGTAGCTACCGTAGAAGAATTATGCATTAACAGGACTTATATATAAATAAATGTCTTAAGATAAGTGTTTTTAGTATAGACCCAGAAAACCTGAAGCTCCACAATTGCGTAAGAAGAACTTTATGTGAATTGAATGAAAAACTGGTCAGTTCTTCATTTTCCGTTTGTTTTAGTCTTTCCAGGAGAAAGTATGTATTTAGATGATATAATTATGGAGGGAGAGAACCAGTCCCTCCCTCATTTGCATAGTTATTCTACTTACTTATGTATGCACTACACTGAATTTTGTACTGAATGTCAGAGAGAAAGCCAGGTGCACGTCATGAAATACGCATAAGTAGCTAAAAGACTACCGAGAGAAAGTTACCTATGCAGCCGTTTATGGGTACACATAAATAGATAGCAATACATAAGCTCAATAGCTAGCAATGTAATTTACATGCTTATATATAAGTAATTGGTCCGCCACTCCAATCAAGATCAAAGTGTTGCCATATTATTCTTGCCAGGCTAAATTAGCCCACTAATGAAAAGCACACAAAATTAGTGGGCCCGTCATTCTCCGTTCGAAAGTAAATAATGTGGCGTTGCTAATGCGGTCCGGTGGCGGGCATTACGTTAATTAAATCTGGACTTGGGACGGTTCGTGCAGAATTATAAATTCGGCTCAATTTCGTATTAGCTATTCGGACATGACAGTCGGAATAAGGAGAAGATTCAAAAATAATTTATTACTTGGAACTAGATTGACGGGTAGATAGAACGGAAGTCGGTTATTACAAAATGTCGCTCATTATTATTGTTTGACGTAAGTAAATGGACAATACGAAAGTAATGAGTATTTAGAAGAATAAGTAATAACATGTTAATTTCATACATATTTATGAGCATTTGTGTAAATAGGTACAAGTATGTAATTTATCCCCATTTAAGTACTTAATTTGTGAATGCGGAGAGCAAGGCAGCCGTGGTAAATGTATAACTTTGTCCATATTCCGGTCCTGTCTTCTTCTTATATCATTCTATAGTTTGGTATTGGAAATTCTGCCAGAAAAAAATGACAATTAACGTATTTGAATTCGAGAATTAATTCTATTTTTTGGGTCCACCCACCAATAGAAACGTAGCACCGAGTAGTAACGCTTTATGCGTGACTTCCATCTCGAGGGGAAACTTGACTCCCCAAACGTCCGACTTGAGAAGGACATCTTTCTCCTTCCCGTTCCAATATTTTGCTATTTTCCCCACAAACGTTTTCCCGTCGGGGAGAAGGACATTAAACTCTCCGGGTGGGGGTTCCCTACTGAAACTGAAACAGCTCGGAGTGGGCGCCCCGATAACTTGGGAAAATAACCAGAAATTAAACTTGGCACGCAAAAAAAGAAAAGCTTTACTCCAAGATTACTTACCTTGGAGGACATCGTTTCCCTCCGCGTCTCGGACGAAGTAGTGCGGATACGACCACTCGATGGCGTGTTCTATCGTCCCCAGCGTGGTCTTTGCCGACTTCAGGGTAATGTCCTGCCAGAAAGGAGAGAGAAATGAGAGATTAGCAGTTTCATAACTTTCCCTTCACCTGAATTTGCATAATGCAATATGCATCCGTTCTATCAAATATTTACTTATATATGTAACTGGGATCAAAATCTAGTGAAAACAATGCCTCTTTTGAAATAAGGCTGTCACTATTGTGTTTCATAATCTGGCCGAATTTCCTCTCCTTTATCTCTTTTCCTCGTAAAACATTTACGCTGGCATTTGTCTCTTATTTATCTCTGCAGCATCCTAAAACAACAATCTGCGAGATTAAGCATGTCACTCACTCAACTCGCTAACAAAGTAATACGGATCGGATTAGTCTGGACGACGTTTGATGTTGATTTTGATAAATTATTTTGCGACCTTATTTGACACTACGTTTTACTAATTTTGGTAGATAAGTTATAAATATGTCCAACTTACGCCTCCACATCCACAGCTTCTCGGCTCGCCAAACATCTTCATCACCTCCTTCCTGTACATTCCTGAACGAATGAGGATGCTTACCTGTGCCAGATAATAGCATTTCACACTTATTGAAATTAGTAATTAATTAAGTAATAAATAATTATGCCGAGGGAATGAGGATGCTCACATCGAAGGGTTTGGTCCCTCTGCACCACGCTTTCGTGCTCGTGTCCGTCGTCTCATCCGCCATGAAGATCTTCTCCCCCTCGCTGTTCAGAACCTCGTACTGCGTCTCCACCGAGGAGTAGACTGCAGAGACAAAACAATATCATGGAATCGTCGCTTAATTTGGATTATACGAAAGTTTTAATGGAAAATGAGGAAACTTTTGATTTTATTTTGTCAATATTTCGAGTGCTAGATGCTATTCATTATCAAGAAGACATGGGTAGAAAAAGACGAAAAATTGTGGCACAGATTTTATGAAATCGTAACTTCCGGAGTTGAGTCGGTTATCCTACTTTCGGATAAAGTATTCATCCGAAACGAATCCGAATCATGTGGTTTGGTTTGGATATTTTTTCCAACCGAAAAATTCGGATTCGGTTTGGATGGATATTTTTAACTGAAAAATTCCGATTCGGTTTGGACAAAGGGTCCAACCGACTCAACTCTGGTCACTTCATAGCTTATTCTTCCGTCACGTATAAAATCAGATATTTTGTGCGAGAAGACATTTTGTGAATAAACGTGGTTATATGAATGTAGAGAGAAAGTGGTGAAAGCAAACAGGACAAACTTTCAATGGGAAGACCTGACTGTTTTATGAAAAGGTGCTGCGTCTTCACCAGGCCTCCCAGGCCTTCCGGAACTTCTAAATTATTCAAAAACAGCAAATATGTATAGAGTTCACTTAGGGAAGAACGAAACAAATTGGGAAAAAATAACATTTTCTTTTTTCAAAGACCTTGAAAATCGGGAGAGAACGACACTTTTTGCCTGGGCTGATTTGTGATGGCACTCTGCATGTCCCCTGTTGAGCATTAGTTAGTAATGGAGAAAGTACTACATACTTTTTTTTACTGGGTAAAAGTTTCTTCATAAATATGCACGTATTTTTTTGTTACCTTTTAAAGGAAATGGATGGATCGTGCTAGGCTTGTTGTTCGGCATTTCGGGCCACATTTCGAAAATAACTTGATTTTATATTTTCACTTAAATTTAAAATCTCTCTCTCGGTTCTCTGGGATTAGTGGAAATGGAGTCGGATTCTTATTTATGCACTTGTCCTGCCATGCTGTCCCATTGCGTTCTGCTGCTTTCATACGGAAAATAATATGCATGCAGACCAACCAAATTAATGTAGAGCTTATGAGTAGGGGTTTCCACTGCCATAAAATAAATACCAACTTCCCGTCCAGCATACGGTTGTTTACCCCGATTTCTTGAGGAGAAAGCGGTCGGATTTATTTTATCGCCTTAGTTGTCTCACTCAAGAAATGGGATATAATACCTCAACCAGATTTCCCATGGGTTATCGCTTCCTACTTTTCTCTCACCTGCCTAACTGCCTACCTGTCTGCCCGCATTGCCCACCTGGTCACCAATCCCCACCAACTTTCTCCATCTGATCTACATTTGCGTTCGTTCGTGCTTTCTCTTCCTGATTAGAAATGACCTTTGCCATTTGCGAACTGGACATGGCTGAACGACGACGATTGTTGTATTGTTTTGCATTGTGTGACGACTGCGTGAGAAATGAGTCTGTTTTTTTGGCACGAATTTGTTATGGCCTAGGTCCACATAAAGGGAGAGTAATCAGTGATATTTTGCATGCAACAATGCGTTATGAAATTCAATTCGTGTTAGTCAGAGCTATGTCGTGACGGGGACAACGTGGGCTTGTGGCGACACGCTAAATAGTAATAAGAGCGAGGGAAGAAGAGATGCCTTTTATTATATATATACGTTTTATGTTTAGCCCAGCATGATAAATTGGTTTATTAGCGTGATAGGTTTGGTAAAATCAATTATTGAATACTTCCGAGAAAGAATATAATAATATGGACATAAGTACGAGGTAAAATGAGACATGTAAAAAACTACTTTGTAAACTCAGTCTCTATGAACGATTTCACGTTAAAATTGAGTTTTAAACGGGCTCAAACGTTAAGCAAATGGGGACGTGACTGTGACTCTAGCGTCAGAAATTCCGAGATCATCGCTTGTGAAAGGGAGTTTAATGATAAGTATACTGTTATTGAACGAGAAAAGGATGCATTACAATTTTTGGGATATAATGGTTAAAGTGGTTAAGCTCTTTAAATTAAGTTAATTAATTAATAAGAACGCAATTAGTTTTAGCTATAATAAAATCAATTTGTTATCATGTTTTATCCGGTCCTAAAATGTTGCTAGCAATTTCACAAAATTCTGGGTGGAAAGTGCGAATTTTTTTTATTGAATATTCCACAAAAATGAGCATTTTTATTTCATCACTATCATTTCCTTCTATGAATTTGATTATAATAATAATAATAATAGTTTATTCACATCACAATATGTAGTAATACATTTTAAAGAAGATCATTCATACCCTGTAGATCAGGAAATACATGAATGTCTTAATTATAGTCATAAAATCATATCAAAAAATCAATTACATAAAAATTCATAAAACAAGTTTGTAGGAAAATTTAGGTGAAACTATATAGTCAGTAAAACGGGTAACTCAGATACTTTTAAGTAACATATAGTTTTTTAGTTTAGTTTTGAACGTATTATAAGATTGTTCAGCCTTAAGATTTTGCGGTAAGTCATTCCATAAACCAATAGCCCTAAAGTGGAAGGATTTTTTAACAAACTCCGTCTTAGGCTTTACAGTGCTCCTAAAATTATTGCATAATCTAGTGTTATGTTCATGAATACAATTTGCACGTACAAAATAATCGTTAAAAAATGGTACCATATTAAATTTTAGCAATTTGTACATAATACATAGCGTCTTAAAGTCACCCATATCACGAGGAAACAGCCATTTCAGGTCACATTTGATCAAATCTGCAATTGGATCAAATTTTTTAAATTTTAGCACTAGTCTGGCCAAACACCGAATAACATTTTCTATAATACGTAAATTCTTTGCGCATGTGACACTCCAAATACATGACATAGCTTAGGATACACAATACAGTAGCAACACCAATAGTGGTCAAAGAGGAGGTAGTAAAATACTGCTTCACGGCATACAAGCATCTTATTCTATAATAAGCACGTTTGGCAATATAATTTATATGATGCTCAAAATTTAAGTTACTATCTAGTATCATACCAACGCATTTCAGCCTATCAGTGGGGATGATTACTATATTATTGACAGTAATATTAAAATTTTGTGACAGATTAACATTATTTTTGCTACCAATTAATAATAACTTGGTCTTATCCTTATGCATTGACATACCATTATCCTTAGTATCCTTAGATTAGTACAGGGTGTTAATAAAGTCCGATCCCATTTTTCCTGTAAAAAAGTGAAGGCTAGTATAAAAAAAAACTACCCGTGATACTTACAAAAAATGTTCGACATATTTACCTTAGTATTTGGTCTTGTTACCATTTACTTTAACCATGCCCTCAACTCTTTGTTTAAGGCTCTGTGCTAATTTTTCCAATGTGCCTCTGGAAATCGAATTCCATACATCTTGAACTTTTTTTTACTAGCTCTTCCCTCGTCCGGGGTTGTGGCTCTTTGTATACATTTTCCTTAAGTATGGACCACTGGTTCTTCAGGGGATTCAAATCTGGGCCGTTAGCGGCCCACACCCCCTTGCTCCAGACCGTTGAAACTTGCGTCTTGATGAGACTCAAACTCGCTTTTGCTGTATGGGCTATAGCACCATCCTGCATGAAAACTATTTTTCTTTCATTCGGAAATATTTCCTTGTTCCCCATGCTATCGAAATAGATAGGTAATATTTTTTCCATATAATGCTTTGCATTGACTGATTTGCCTTTTGGTATGATATGTAGAGGGGTCACGCAACGTGCACAAAATCCACCCGCTACCATAACTTTAAGCCCGAATTTTGGGATCGCTCTTGATGGTACATCCGATTTGTTTTCTGTCCTGTAACGAACATTTTGTTGGTTCAATTTTGGATATAGTTCAATAATAGATTCGTCAGTCCAAAGGATGTGACTGCGCAATTCTTCACCAAGTCTTTTTTCACTCAAATGGGCACTTTTCTGAAGGAGTTCTTCAAATTTCAGACGGTCATCGATATATTTTTGTGACATGAGAGGTTTTTTTGGTTAGTTTGTAAGCTGTGTGACCCCACTTCGTAGTTTTCACAAATTTTTGCACGGTCACACAGTTAATTTGCTTCTTCTTCTCTTTATAGCGTTTTGAGTCATTTAACTCCCTTGCTCAATTACGTAATGAACTACCGGTTTTCTTGCAAAGTCTGTTTTTAATCATTCTTTTTGTGGTAGGTGACACCTTTCTGGGTCGCCCTGGTCGCTTTTTGTCGTGGACAAAATTTTTATTCTTCCATTTCCAAACAGTTCTGCGGCTGCAGCCCAATTTTTGCACAATTTCTGTAGGTTTAAGCCCCTGCTGATGCAATGTTTGTATCTCAACGCTAAGATGCTCATGACTTACACGTTTAGTTGTTCCTCCCATGGTAAAAATTTGAAATAAATAACTTCACTGGTTCAAAAGTTCCAGCTGAATTTGTAACAACCACGCTCCAAAAAATGCATGGGATCGGACTTTATTAACACCCTTTAAGAATAATGCAAAATTTGGTGCATTGTAAGTTATAATGCGCCAATTTGACATGAAATTATTATAATTTATAACAATTTCATGTCAAATTGCGGCGTCGATTATGGATATTTCTTAAATGCCAAGAAATTAGGTATGTATTAGACTTTGCATCTCTTTGTCATCGCGCACAGTAGAAATTTAATTTGATTTTTTTATTTTATTACACGATTATTTTATCCCTTCAATCTCAATCATTAATTTTATTAATGTCAGTCAGTCAAAAATTACAATTTTTCGTATGACAATAAATGAAAAATTTCAATTCTATCAAGGCAAACATTTACAAGAGTTGCTTGTGCATGTTATTTTACTGCTAAATTCAATCCCATCATTTGTGTCTAAGTTAAATATCTGAGTCATGAATGAATTTAATTGCTCAGTTAATTTCTTACAAAATTTCATCAACTGTTTACCTATAATTTCACATAAACTCTCATCGCATATATCGCGAATAATCTATTTTATCGAGAGAAAAATACGAAAAACAGAAACAGAATGAGTGCGAGTACCAACATGTAAAAAAAGATTGAAGCAACGAGTTGGAAACAACAAGAGACGAAGTCACATTGGCAAAATCCCTTTCTCCTTCGCAAACTCAAAGTTTGCAAATCCTGCAAATTATTAAAAAAGTTTTTGGTGTTATGCAAATCGATTTCCGTAATAAAAAAAACTTTCCCTTTCTTACCATCAAGACGAGCGCCACGACCAACAAGATTTTCGCAACGGCGTCATCTCCGTGAAACAGGACCATCGCGAAGCCGAGCGATTCTCGAATTATTTTTCCCCTCGGAAGCCTCTCCTTTCTCATGAAAATGTTAAACTGTTGACATTCCCGTAAACAGAGGAGATTCGATTTGAAACAGTATTTCGAGTTGACGGAGGCGATTTCGCAATTGTGCGAATTTCTGACCGAGTACTTGTACGAGTTTGGGATCACGGAACATTTTCGAGATATCGTTCCCATCCTTCGTTTTTGGTAGAGTACAGTTATTCCCTATGCACATGGATGAGAAAATTGTTAAATTATGCAAATTAATTACTGCCATTTGTGCGGGTTACACACATTGCAAAATCCCGTCCGTCCAAACTCCACGATGAGTTTTATATTGGAGGAATCAAGACAATTCGGAGTTGTCGGAGTCATGATAAATTCACGACATCGAGGTTGAAAAAAGCAGCCCGTGTCTTTCACAAAAAATTCAGTTTTTTCAGAAATGTGATAAATTGGAGCGGCTCCTGCCAGAGGGTTAAACACTTCGTATTTACAAGTCTCATTGTGATGATAAGGTACTGGAAAAAGGTTGGATAAGCATCATTAACTAATTGTTGATGTTCAATTTAGTTAATCACAATTAATTCTTTTGTTAATTACCATCCTGGTTTCTATAATGTCTTCGTAAGATAAGGCCACTCCATCCAGTCTCGCCAGGAGAGTAGATTTCTGTATTGAATTTTAGGATATGACACTTATCTTAAAATCCAATAATTATGCAAAAATCTGATACCATTATTATTCAGTCGACGCTCAAAAGAACGCAGCTCATTTCTAATTGGTATGACAATCGGTACTTCGCTCAATTCGCCTGCATCGATTCCGCCCTTATTGTTATTATTATCCTCTGAATTTTCTGACAAATAAAATCCACAAATTATTTTATGATTTTTTACCGTTTACCAAGTCACTTTAAAATAATTTTACTTATGTACATACCGTTTTTGTAATACGTCGGATGAATCAAATTCTTATTAAAGAGAGCCTTCATTCTGAATAAAGCGTCGCTCGCTGGTCTGGTGGAAAATGAACTGGCCAAAATTCCCTTACAGTTCGAGCTTAAAATAAGTATGGCTCATATCCGACCGACCTCCTGACTACAAATAAGCGTCATCCATCACACATTCACACTCTTGTCACCCGAATAATTCATGGTGTCAACCAGCGCAAGGGTTGAGTGGGAACTATTAACCTTGAAAATCTCGGCTCGGCGTTCCTCTATAAAGAAAGTAATATCTAGAACGACAAAATTTCAATGAATCCTCCCGGAAAATGGGTGAGATCGAGTACGTAAACTCACTCACTCAGTATCAGTCAAGGTTAGTTGTCCTCTCTCTTTCTCTGTGAATCCATCCGATGCGTATCAATCACTTTTCTGATCGGGTAGCATTAAAATAATGGGACTTTCTCACCATCGATCAAACCGTGACGATGAGAAGAGAAGAAGCCGGATGGATGACACCTTGTTATCCGCGTCACTATATTTTTTAGACTGAAAATGTCAGAAACTGCACACCGTTTTCATTCACACAAAAAAGCGTGAATTTTTATGGATATGCGGGTATCCTCTATTCCACAAGGGTCTCTATTTATTTATCAACGTATTATACCCAACTGGCGCTTAATACCCCCACAATCGAAGCTGACTATCAGCCAGCAGGCATAAAATGGTTCTAATCATGGCATGAGAAATGCGTTTTATTCACACAAAAGCGGTTCATTACTATTGCCAACATATTCCGGCATGCAGTACATATTTGTCCGTAACTGCAAATGAGTTTTAACCCGGAGAGGAATACGTACGGACATGTGGGAGTAGGGATACACACACAAGGCTTCCTTCTCCAGTGCAGTGTGGAGAAGAAGCAAATGAAGTTTTGACATGCCATTTACAGCGAGTGTGTTCTGTTCTGGAGTGAAAGTCAGCCAAGCAGCGGAACCCCTTTCTCTGGGTCTCCATTAGTATAAAATGTCAGGAATTGGAGTTGGAAATGGTGAAAGTCGAGAGACTGAGTCGACGACTTGTAACAAATGAAAGCATACAAAATGCTGCATTACCGGTGCGACTAGTGGCCGCTTATATTTGCTTCCGGGCTGGTTGTTTTTGCTTTCGTCAACTCTTTTCCTCAGTCCCTACTTTTGTGCGGTTTGGTTTTATCATCCTTTCAGAGTGCGGTCGGTGAAGGCAGGAGGTTTCCTCCAAAATAATGAGGTGGATGGGCAAAGTTAAAAAATATTTAGAGGAGCGAAGGAAGGAAAATAAGTACCAAAATTCTAGGTTTAAAATTGTGGAGAAAGCGCATGCACTGCCAATTATTATTTATTGGGTGCTCTGTGCATACGTATTTATGAATAAATTTGAGACGATCGATTTTTTATACGGTTTAAAAGGGTTTGATGATTTTTATTCATTTCGGTATCTTTTTTACGATGGATTTAGTGGAGCTTTTGTTATGTATCACAGCACTCTTCGTTCTATATTTTTAGTTTGTAAATACTATTGGATTCAAATGGAAGAAGGGAGCAGGAGAAAATTTTTCCAAAAAGTCGATTCATCTAATTGAGAGACAAACAGGGAGGTATTATTACCTATTCGTATCGTATACGCGTCCCGGTATGAGCACCACTGGGCTATAAATTGTTGCAAAAATTATTTAACAACATCCCCAAATTTATGACCACTGGGGTTTTAACTCCAAATATACGACCAATCAATGAAATGTAGACGACCATGTTATGTTGTAGCTTGATAAGCATAATAATACTGTAGCTATGACCTTGATATACCGAATATTTATGTAGCACGGAGTCAGCAGGTAGTTATTATTATTTTACAAATTATTGACTACCAACACCATTAGTTTTTTCCCAGTATTGGATAGATTGTCCCGATAAGCACTGGCTTAAAGTAGTGTGAGCATGCACCCATTTTTTTCAAACTATACGTACAATTTATCTGAGCGAATATGTATTCAATCCATAATGAAGAATTATTTTTACAGCCATTAACTATTGTCAACCACGACATCGTTCTCGTCCAAAGTGATAATGCTGCTCGTTTCCGGGACCTGCGTTGTCGTCACGTTGAAGCCGAAATCATCCATTTTGTGCGTCATGTGTAAAGTCTTATTTTTCTTGATCTCCGATAGCAAAATGTACAAAATTATGACGAGCGAGGCGAAGCCAAGGATGAAAAAAGTCCAGCATTTCCGAGACACGCCACTCTGCACGGTTTTATGGTAGAATTGATAATCCTGTATCAGATAGATACAAGATTTAGTGGAAAACATGAAATTCCACTTCTTTCCAAGTACAAATACACGACTCGAGACTCACCAGCATGAAGACGATGGAGAGGAGGAGACACTTGGTTCTGAGGTCCATGTTGGGGTGAAAACTGAGGGAATACGTGTCCTCGGGCAGGGCGCCGTCGGACGCCTTGCCAAACACGATCCACTGTTTGGTTATGCGGCCCATGAGGGAAACCTCGTCGGGGAGGACGACATCGAAATCGGGGCAGTTGGGGAGTCCGGTCGCGTACGAGTTGGGGGGACCCTTGACCTTGAAGCCGATGACTTCATTGGTTCCGCGAAGGCTGTACGTGGGAGAGAAGGAGCAGAGATGGTCGTCTTGAACGATGCGACCTACTTCTTTCCCGCAGTGTTTGACCCAGCCGTGCTAAAAATAGGGTCGTATTGATGTCGTATTAAGGATGGAAGGGTATGGTTTCCGATTTAGGCCAAATTAGTGTCAATCGATCACAGATTTAATTAGTATGCCCTTTGTGAAAGGCACGTTTGGCAGAGATATTTGCATCCGAAGAGGAGAAAACGCACAATGAAGTTGAGAAATTTTGCACTTTCTCCTCTTCCAATTCAACCATATCTGCCAAACATGACCATTGACAGATATTACCCTTTGCAAATTTTATCCTAATTAAATTTGTGATCGATTGACACTAATTTGGTCAAAATCGGAACCCACACGCTGGGTGACCTCCATTGTTAATTCAATAATGAAAACCGTCTTACCCCATGTAACCGATTTAATCCGGGCCCCGTAATTTTCAATACCTCCGAATAGTCGTAGTCGAGGATCATAACATTAAAGGGTTTAGTCCCCTGACCTTCAAATATTGTACTCGCCCAAGCATCCGTCGTGTCCAGGACGAAGTAGATGGGCTCACCTTGAGCATTGAGAACTTCAAATTGACACTTTTGATCCAAATATCCTAACAAAGAGTGGTTTATTTTTTACTTCATCCCTACTTTGTCACGTACTTACTTTTCCCCAAAAAACTAAACTAAGTCTCAAGCAAACTCACGAATGATGGGTTTTATGCACGGTTTGACAAATATTCTGTTAGCATCGCGCAAATCCTTGAGCCGGTCGTAGAACGAGGCTGTTGGAGTGGATAGAAAGGTGGTCATAAAAGGAAAATGAGATCCTAAATCCACCGAGGACATGACAAATACATAAATAAAATACAATGCAACATACACGTCGGAGGTTTATTTTTCCTCCCGTAGTTGTACGCATCCAGGGGAAAGGCTGAGTCGAACGGGGTTGGCAAGAGACCGTAAATAGACTCGCAATCTGGGTGAGAAATTTACATATATGATTTTCTTCTTCGGATTTTGATAAGCATTTTTTTATTTACTGTGGAGCATATTTTAGAGTCGCATATTATTATTTACCTGCAGCAGGCGGTCTCGTCCTTGTCTGCTCCTCCTCTCCAAAGTACAGACTTAAACTTAGGTCGCTCATTATGCCGTTGCGCTAATGAAATTATGCCGTGTTCACGAGTATTTCACTTCACACGCTCAATTTGTAATGAGGAAAATGCTACTTCTCTCTCTTTTTCTTGCACCACTTTTCCCGACTAATTTATACTCTACCGTTTCCTTTATATTGCACGTTCGTTTCCTCCTGATCGATGTGGTGGTTATGTAATAATGTCGCGCACGAAACGGGATTATACCGTATCGTTTAATTACGCGTAATGAAACTTTTAGTGATAATTAATTAAGAGTTTATGAGTATTGGAGGAAAACAAATGTATCTAAAATTTGGCACAATTTTGTTGTCTTCCTTCCTAGTTAATGGTCACATTTGGATATTTTTAAAATTGTGGGAGGAACTGTGAAATCCCAGTTTTCAGAAACAAATCCTCTTAGAGATGATGATGGAGAGTGGTGGTGGTGAAAGTGCTTTGTAGCTTTCTCCCACACACGGCTTGCCTCTGGTGCTCGTCGCGTGTGTGCATCCGTCAAAAGAAGAAGAGACACTGAACGAGTGAGAAGTGCACTGCAGGCAGGAGCAGACAAATGGAGAAATTTTCCCTTTCTCTGGCCTACCCTCGAAAAGAGAGAGATCTCAGAGAGAGAGAAAGTTTCCCATGAAACCAACGTCTGTACATACACTTTCTCCAGCAGGAGTAGGCAGGAGCAGCTCGGTTGGACGGACGGATGCTGAGAGGACCAAGCCAAATATAGTATTTTGAACCGAACTTAAACTTTGTGGGAAACGATTTCCTTTTCCAATTCTATAAAGTACGTACGTCTAACTTGCAGTGGCAGAATTATGAATCATGATCATGAAGTCGGGTAGAAAGTAGGAGGCGGAAAGTAAAAGGGACTTAAAACTTGGGTGGATGTAAGTACTTTGTATTCTCGTCGACGAGTTTTTTTTTCCTCCTCTCTTGCGAAAAGTTGGTGGATTGCAATTTTGTAGACTTGAGACGAAAATTGGATTGCATTATTGTATGTGTTTCGATCCATTAAGGAGACTGGGTTCACTCTGGTATGGACAAGTTTGTATCTGCATAGTAATAATAAGCGAGTGAGTGAGCCACCCGTATTGTACTGCTGTTGACGGGATATTCACATTAAAAAACTGCACGGAACAGACAAGAGCAACCTCACTGGAGAAGGAATACATGCAGAATTCGGCTACATATTGCACGAGGACCCACATTTGTATACTTGCATGCATGGTATCGTAATTTGGGTGAAATATAAGGATGTTTTTTAGTGCAGGGAGACATACGTGGATTGGATTGGATGGGTGCCGACCGACCCGGCCGTCTCGCTCCAAATAATATCGTGCATACTTTCTCCCCATTGCATACATACGGCATGGCATGGCATTGCATTCCCTGAGCTGGACTTTCTCCTCGTCGTGCATGGTTCGCATACTGAACAAGTTTCTTCTCCTTCAAGATTCCATTCCAACTTTCTTCCCACGTAGAGAGAAACGGGCATGAAACTATTATTCACAACGTTCCAAGGAGGAAACCATCAGTGAGAAAAAATCTACTAGCGTGAGATGCGATGCGATATAAGGAAACTGGGGCGAAAGGGTGGGTGGGCCCTTTGTGTTGGTAGCCGTCATCATCATCATACTTTCATGGCCGTCCGTATAGCATCTCTCCTCGTCCTTCTTCGTTTCACTTCAAAGTTGTTTCTGCTGCTGCTGGCCGTCTGTATTTTAAGAGTGGCATTGCATTGCAGTCTATTTATTAAACAGACCTTTTCCCCAGTCACGTCTCTTTTTCTCTCTCTTGCTTTCCCCACTTTGATGGATGACAGGTTTGTTTTATGTGGAGTTTGATCGCCTCTGGCAGCATCCATCAGCATGATCACGATCATGAGAGGGATGAGTCGGTTTAATGAATTTAATAAAAAGTGGGGAAAGTTTTCAGAGTGGATTGTTGGGTCAATATTACGAAAGCCCAATTTATGACCGGCCCGTTTTTTAATTAAGTCGATATTGCCAACAAATTAAAGTCTGGCAGCAGCATGACGCTGGTAGGGATGCTTTCTCTTGCTTTCTCTTTTTGGCCGGCACTTTCATGCCTCCAGTTTCATGATTGTTTTAATGTTCTCTTTTCATTGCAATGAATGAATTGCATTCCAGTTGTTCGTCGTCCACCTTGACGCCGTGGGTCGATACGGCGAACGGACGGACGTACGTACAGCAGGCAGAGAGCACATCTCCAGGACCCGAATCCCTTTAGGGTTACAAACCAGTTTTTTTTAACTGGCACAGAAGAAGAAACCGTCTTTTTTACACGCAGCAGCCAGCATAATGGGATGTTACATAGTACGTACGAGAGTCGACTAAAGTGAAAGCGAATCAGCCATCCAATTCCCTCAATTGAAGGAGAAAATAACCTTTTCTTATATATTTACGTAGCCAATTTAATTCCCAAACTCCCCGGAAAGAAATGTTTTACAAGATTGGAGGAAAAATTGAAGAATAATAAAAGTTGCATATGTATGTATGTACCCCAGTCGTAAAAAAAGGATGAAGGAAATTTATCCATAATAAATGGAAGGAATGGTTGAGTCAATATGTAAGTAATTCTGCAGGCGAATAAGCGCACAAATAATAATATGGCCACCCCAATTCCGTGCAATTTGTAGCCCGGCATTCATTAATATTCCCTTTCGACCCAGAGAAATCAAGAGATAACGATTACAAACGCGGGTCAAGTATCACTCCTCCGTGACGTACGATGGGTCGGATGGTCGGATGGACGGACGGAGCAGCTCAAGGCAGCAGGGAAATAAGTGTATAAATAAACGTGCTGGGCAAGGAACGAAGTAAATATGGAGATTGTAAGTGTAACTGACAGTAATAGATTTAAGCCCATGATTTATCGACTCTTCTGTCTTTCTCTTCGCTTTCTCCGCTTTCCCAGTGCAACCAAACCCTGGCAGTTTAACGTATCAAGCAAGAGTCAGAGGCGGACTAACCTTTCCCCTTCCGCTGCTGGACATATGATACAGAAAACAATACAATTGGCTCGGATATAAAGCGTGACTTGGGACGAAAGTCAAGTAATATGGACAGTGGCCGCGGAGGACAGAGGGACAATGTCCCCATGCCCATGTTATATAAACCCATCCTCCCCCTATCCTTCAATGTTAACCTCCCCAGATGTCCCCACGGCTTCTTCCGCGGCCACTGAATCTGGACGTATCGAATCCTGTGAAATAAGAAAAAACACAACTCTGGACTGGTCGGATAGATATAGATTCGTGGTCTGATCGTGGTCAACCTCTCTTCACGGACAGTTGGCCTCCAATGTGGCCATTTCGTTTCCTGCGGATTTCCCAATACGAAATCGGACCTCATTTTGTTTTAGATTTGGGATTCTTTTTGTAGAGAATAAAATAAGTGAGGGTTGTCTTGCCGTGAAGAAAAATGCATGTCTCGCATGTGGACACCTTTTCGCCTGACTGCATTATACATTCATTTCATTCCCGTTTTTTCTTTCTTGTCAGCTATTGTGTGGCGAGAAAGGAGAGAAACTTTCCTTTTATCTAAAGCAGAGAGATAAGTTTCTTCTCTCCTTTTGTGGAGTGGATAAGAGGGCAGATTCTTCAAAAGAATTAATTCACGGGACGTACTTTAACAGGAATGTAGGCCGGAGCTGGTTGAGCTGGTGTCAGGCAGGGAAAATATTCAGTTGTTTGAGAAATGTAAAGTAGATTTGGCTTTGAAGGATTATTTATCTTTTTCCTTTCTCCGTATAGATATCGAAAGTGTAAGGAGGTATGATTCTTTGCAAATATTTGCGAATCTGCGTGGGTTGAAAAGTCGAACAAGGTGAAATCAGTCAGTCGGATTCGTATGAATTTGAGGGGAAAGTTATGTAAATCAGGAGAAAGTTGAGTAATATCTGGTGTCACTGGTGTGTCTTATTTTTTATGATGAAAAGTCACAAGGTGGAAATATGTATACAGTTTGTAAATGTTTGAGTTCGTAAATTTTCAGATTACTTGAACTGACGTAATCGGATTAAATACTGATTACTTAATTCAGAATAATCACCTCACTAAAACGGAATGACCGAGGGGACTCGTAGTAAAAAATAATTCACTCTTATCTGGATACTTTCATCTAAAATGTAGCGACATTTGGGTTAAAATCGTCTTCCAATTACTAACTGTTCATGTTTTGCAAGTAAAGATAATAAATTTCCCACAAACGACCATTAAAAATCAACTATTTCACTCCACTTTCTCCCTGTTTAGAAGAAAAATAAGGTCTCCAAAACCGCTAAATATTGCATAATCTATCACTCAACCTTTATTAATTCAGTGTTAACCGTCGTCCTTGTCTCTCTTTCTTCTCACGGTGGTGGCACTTGGCCCGGAAATCGTTTAACTTTCTCCTTCTGGAACTCCACCGCACCATCCACCACGACAAGAATGAGAGCAATGAGGATAAATATTAGAAAGGCACAAAAGAGTATTCGAAATATTAAACTTTTATAGTCCCTCCATTCCGTCGTCTTTTCGGTGAGCTGGTAATCCTGCCAAAAGATATCAGCCCCACAAGTAATTAACAAACTGCCAAAAAATTCGCACATTTCTTCTTTGTTTCACTCACCAGCATGAGGACGGCCGCAATGAGCAGTGATTTAAGCTTGCCATCCATATCAGTCGTGTGAAAGCTGAGCGCATAAGTGTCTGTTTGGCTGTACTCTTCCAAAGTGATGGCGTTCGTTTGTCGGGATATTTTCGCCCTGCAAATCGTCCCATCGGGAGAGCTCACGTTGAAGTCGTTCACGGGCAGGAATCCCTTTGCCAAGTTTCTCCACGAGCTTTGTCTCAGGATTTTTTGGAGGGTTTTCCCATCCGGCGACTCAATTAGGTAGGACGGCGGATCTCGGCGGCGACGATGACACGACGCGATTTTATTCGTCTGAGCAACATTTCCCAAAATGGTGGAATCTCTTCGCACCACGGTGTACTGTTTTGGGCAAGGAAAAATTAGGGGGATTTTGAAGCAATAAATTTTCATTCGTTTAAAACGAGTGAAAAATCAGGGGTGTACCGCTATCGGTAACCACGTATGGTAGCCTAAACCCTGAATTTTAAATGCATGACCTAGGGTCAACTCATATATCAAATTGAAGGTATTAATGAGTAGATCATTTCTACATAAAAATTCCATACTTTCACTCAAAAATTTTCAGAAAAAATCGCATTTTTTTGCGCATATTTTGATTTTTCCTGTAAAATTTTGAATGTGAAAGTAGGGATTTTTTATTTAGAAATGATCTACTCATTAATACTTTCAATTTGGTATATGGGTCGACTCTAGCTCATTCGCTTTTAAAAACAGGGATTTAAAGTACCATCCGGTAGGTCGGTGGTTACAGACAGCGCGTTTATTCGTTTTCATAATTACCGCTCCATAACCTCGCACACCGGGGTGACCCTGGATGTCAAAGACTTCTTCGCCCTGTGAGTTTACCACGGCGAATTTCAACTGTTTCTCGCTACCAGATTCACTAACTCGGTGGAAAGAGCAAGAAGGCAAAGAAAGTTTATGGCGTGGTGGTGGCGGTGGGGAAGGTGGCGAAACGTCTGGCGTAATTTCCACAGCATAAAATAAAGTCTCCCCACATGTGTTGACGATTGTGTATTTGTTTTGAAGTTGAGAAGACGAGGACGTCGCCGACGACAGCAGTTCTGTAATTGCGTGTCGAACAATTTATTGGATTAGAGAAAGAAAGGAGGGTAAAAAAAATGGAGAAAGTAAGTAGTCCTCTCTCAGATTAGATTACTTTTTTGATCCGGCTCCCTCTGCACGTGATGTCGGATGAAGACGATGTTGGCAGATCGTAAAGCTTCCAAATCTTCGTCAAGTGTTAATCTGGAAGCTGGAAGTAAAAAAAATGACAACTTGTCCAAAAAAATAGTCTGATTTCTTACTTACTTTTCGATTGGTAACTGTTCACGGAAGCCTGTCTCGAAATTGAACTCGCTTTACTGTTGGGAGTAAAGACGGGTCGATCTGGTCCGTGCTTTCTTATCACGAAAATTGTGTTATCTGTAAAGAAAAAAAAAGAGGATATCGTAGGATTTGATGGAATTCAAAGTTGTTCATGTGTTTACCATCCATGGGGCAGATCGCGGTCCCTTTTGTGATCCCCATAATAATAATAGTAATCTCAGCTGAGGATGAGTCAGTCACTAACTCACGGCACTTTGAACACACGGTTATGATTATGTTCGTGTCTATGAAAATGACGATTTGGACAAGTTTTCCGGTTTAGTAGTTTTCCCAGCTTAAGTAAATAAGTAGTAAAGTAAACAGGAAATTGATGCGGACAGCGTGGTGAACGAGGAGTCTCAATTTGATGGACAAATACATAAAGTAAATAAATTAATTTCACATTTCACCACAATCTCAGACTGGTTTTGTTCTAATCCACTGCATGTATTGACTGACTATTTCAGTCTTATGTATGTAAAGTAGGTGAAAGCAGTGGTACCTCTATTTTTCCTCAGCCAAACCACCCAACAACATAAAATTCTATACGCGCACACGTGAAAGTAATGAAATGAAACTAAGCAAATCTGATCCGTGGGTTTTTCACGTGGAAAATGCCAAGCCAAGCGAGCCTGAAGCGATCGAATTCAGAGTGCTACAAACCAGACGGAACAATTTGACCATAATTTCATTTCTCACCATGCCACCGCCGCCGCCTGACCTGCATCCAGCCATCCACCACCACCACTCGACAGTTTTAGCCCCTTCGGGCACTCGTGAAAATAAAACATGTTGAGAGCAATTATAATCAGACCATGGGAAGCAGTATGTATATACGCCTTCTGAATCCGCCCGTGGTGAAGTGACTACTCGGAAGTGGTCATAATTGACGGATATGGCACACCTAGAACTGCACTGTAACACGGTTAAGAGGTTCTTGTGGTCGTACACTGGAGCATTTTACGCCCAGGGTTGGGTTAGTGATTGCATCTGTCAAAACACAAATGAGTTACAACTAGATGCTCCGATTTCGTGCTAAATTCCGGACAAAAATACCTGTTGACGTGGTCAAAAGGATACATATCATTGGACGACTTTCTTTTCTAGAGAAAGTTGAAAACTCTATGGTCCCAATTTATGATTCACTTTTTATTAGGGTGGATTTTATTAATTGTAATAAGTATACTTCCTAATTAGGGTTAATAACTGTATGAACATGGACTCACTCGTTAAATACACGTGCATATTGAGCAAGTAGCAGCCCGCAGGTCAAGTGACCTTTCTGCTCAGTTCCTTCAATGTTCCGTGTGTGTCCTTGACAGGAATAGATTAACAGTTTAATATGCAAAGCAGCCGACCGATGAGTCCGTTACGTGGATTGTGGTGGTGATAGATTTTAATTACTAACCAGTACAGTAATACAAATGCATGCAACTGCTGCACAATAGGTACAAATATGTGTGTAAAATACCTGTATTTCTGCAGTGCAGATTTTCTTCTGGATAACCAACCGGGTCAAATAATAATCATCCTGAACGGCCTATAGCACACGCCGTGACCGATATTTAAACCAATAAAAATGAAAAGTATGGCTATGTATGTACGTACTTCTTCACATTTCGAATTTACTGTAGGGCCACTTGCACCCTGCGAAATTAAGCAGTTCCACGAAAACCAGGGCTCAATATGGTGCTCGAGTGTATGAAAAACTTTCAGGTTATGTACATACAAAGGCCTATCAAAACTTTGTCTTAGATTTGCTTGCACGGAAGTCTGCGCTTAATCAAAGTCTCGCGTGTTCACAGAGCTATGTGTCTGCATAAGAATGTATGAGAACATTTGTTGGTCGTGCATGTAAAGAGAAACACGTTATGATACATTTTATGCATGTACATAGAACAGGACAGTTTATTTACTTTTGAATGGACAGGTACTTAAATTTACTTTCTTTTTTTATTCATCTACTCGTACAGAAACTCAATAATATTGGAATTTCGTAAATATTTTTATTAATAAAAATCGTAGATCAGTCGAGATAATGAGTGGACCATATGTATTTACTTATTTTACGACAACGGAGACTTGCTCTACAGCGTTATCATTCCGGAGTAAAAATAAATAAATACAAATAAAATGTGGAAACTTCTAGAAACTTGAATCTCACACTTTACTGAGATTTATGCTGTAAAAGGGGCAAAATTAAGTACAAATAATACAAATAAAATGTAGAAACTTCTAGAAACTAACACAAATTTCTAAATATGTACATAAATTTCCATCTCTTTTTGTACTTTCATCGTCGTCCCGTTGATTGTTTTTCTTTACTTCTTTGCGATAAGAAAGAGCAAAAGGATAAACAAGGCGAGGAGGGCGAATGTCATGAAGCACCGGCCGAAACACGATGCATCCCTGCGTCGTTGGTAAAAGTTGAAATCCTTGAAAAGAAAACCAATTAAAACTTGTTCTTCTAAACAAATAAGAGTCGTATGAAAATGTGCAGCTCACAATTAGAAATACAGCTCCGAGCAGGAGAGACATCGTCAATTCGTCCAGTTTCATGGGGACAAAAACGCCACACAAGTTTTCCAAGGCGTACTCCCACTCGGCACTAATTTTCCCAATGGGAGTTGTTCCAATGCCGAGATTAACTTCGAAATCGTCACCCCCGCAATCCGCAAACAGGCAACAGTTGGACCCATCCGGACTAATTAAAAGTTAGTGGGTTTTAATTGGGGTATAAATTCATGGTATGTAAATTGCATACCCCAAAATGTTCAAGATTTCGGTCCCATCCCACGTCCGCAACGAGTAGGATTGGTTACACCAGTTGTTTTCTTTTCTAATTTTGCCCATCAATTCACCTCGCGAATCTTTAATCGTCATACACTAAAATAGTGCAAATTATTGGTTTATAGATAAATATTTATGCAAATTATGTGCGTGTGCATATTCTTTACATTGTTGAGGAATGGGCGACACTGAATTTCCATAATTTTTTCTCCACTCATCGACAAGACGTTGACGTCGTAGGGGAAAATTCCCCTGAGGAATAAAATCCGACTGAGAAAGCTGGACCGTTCGGCAGCAAAGTAGATGCAGTCACCCGTGCTGTTCAAAATTTGAAATCTTCTCGTCGCTTGCATCGCCGTCGGCCCTAAAATTCCGTTCAAATCTGAGCAGGAAAGTTGATCAAATTATTTCGTAATGTACTCACATTGAGGTTTTTTATACTCTCGGATAAATAAGTGTCTCGTATTTTGCAGGGGGAGATATAACGCAGCTTCGTTTTCAGCACCTGAATTTTTTTTAATTTACATAAATTCAGGCATTATTTTCTAGATAAGAATTGCTTACCATCGACATTTACACTGAATCCTGGCGTGGCTAGGGAAATTTTCCGTGGTGTTCCTAAATCCGCGGTGGCTCGAACCATCCCGTCCACGGCGAGGAGACAATTTACTATTTTGGATAAAAAATATTAATTTCAAAGTCAATTTTTTACGCATTTTCAAAATTTCATGTATTTTTTTCCATTTACTTACTTGCACCCCCCGATAAAGGATGTACGACATGATTCCTCGCCCTGCTTTTACTCGGACTTTTATTCCCAACAACGGCACCACTACTGGAACTTTCACCACCCCGACTTTTGCTGGTACTGCTGCTGCCTTCCACGTCTGAAATTTTGACCTCTTCATCATCCCCTTCCTCGTCACCACCTTTATTTCCGCTCCCCATCGTCGTCCCACCAATTTCACAATTCGCTATCAACGGATCCTCCATAATTTTTTACCAGTTGCTCCCAAATCTATAATTTCCGAATAATAATCTCACTCAACCTGATCCCCAGCGTCAGACTGGCTCACGATTGCGAAACTGATTTCTTTCGAGGCATGGAGTGCGAAAAAGTCGCATAAATCCATGAACCTTAAGCATTCCAAGCCGTGCCATATTTATAGTCTGGAGAAGAAAATGATCCGCTTATGCTTGTACACGAAACAGGCATTACTCTCGCACTCCCACTTTCGCTTCGTATTAAACATGCAATTTAACTTTCTCCGAACGAGGGAGTCATGAAATGAAAGCAAATGAGTATAAACAGGCAGCCAGGCATCGGTCACCCTGTGCATGGTTTAGTCTGCACAGTGTAATCATAACTGGTCTGCTGGCTCTCCTTAAGCTTTCGATAACGAGGATTAAGGATTAAAGGATATAGATGTATGTGTGCAAGCAATGTCGTGTGCCTACTTTGCAATGAGGAGAGTGAGAGAGAGAGACAGTCGCCGCGGAAGTGTTGGGACAATGTCCCCACGGTTATTCGATGTCCCCATCATCTCCCCATGTGATATAAAACCCTCCCTCCCCTATCCTACAATGTTAATTTCCCCCTTCCCCCGATGTCCCCACAATTACCGCGGCCACTGAGAGAGAGAGAGAGTGAAAGGATGGTGAATAATGGTTCTGGACGAAGAAATAAAGTGTTTTCGGCAGCAGGAGGCAGTGCAGCGAGTGAAAACATAGCTTTCACTTTACTGTTTTAGATGGATTAAGCACCACGAACGGGAGGAGGAAAGCATGGCGTAATGAGCAAGGCCATAAGCAACCGCAGCAACACTCTCGCGTCTCGTCTTCCTGGTTGGTTGCACCGTCCGACCGCACAACAAGGAGTAATTTTCGTTCCAAGGCCTATTAGAGAAATCAGGTCGACGCCGCAGCAACTCGTATGTATATTAGTAATCTGTCCAGCGTCGGAGAGAATGCATTAGTGATCTCACTCACAAAGTCTAAACGTACGTGGGCCTGATGTTTAACGACTTGCGGAACAAAATGCATGACACGATTTTATTATTTGTCATTGAGGGAGGAGGAGAAGAGGAGGAGGAAAAAGTTTGTTTTGCACTTTCATCCCAGGGAGAAGTGACATGTCCGGATTTGATGATGGACAGCACAACAATGCGGAACAAATTTGGCAGGTTAATGACATCATCAATTCAGATTTTTTACGTAACGTATTGGCATTTGTGGTGAAAACACGTAGGTGTCGGGTTAGGTGATGTAAGCGGAGAAAGCCAATCATCATCAGAAGCGTGGAACAACTTTTTTTAATGGTTCAGGCAAATTTTTTATACAATTACTTTCGCAAAATATGTATTTAGTTCAAGGAATTATTCACAAAGTTTTATAATACAAGGAATTAAGTCTGACCCTAAACTCTGATTACTTTAAAAGGTTATTTACAAGTATAATGTGGGTTACAAAAATATACACAATTTTCATATCCACTTCGTCTCCTACTTTTACTTGGTAATGATTTGTAAGCGTATAACTACCTACAAATGGGACGTTCAGGCCAGGTGGGCAGCTTATCTTAATAATAACGTGAAGAAAGGCATCATCAGGCACTCCGTAGTATCACCAAAATTCTACAAATTTCTATGAATCTCCATACATTCGCGAAAGGTTCGTTTCGGGTAAAAATGTGCGAATATTATGCAAATGTTGCACGCCGACAACAGAGTTTTTCAATAATCGCACTTTTAAAATAAAACTTAAAGATTCCTCCTACCGATTCACAACCTTTTTTTATCAATAACAAATGAGAGTATGGAAAGACGTCATAAACTACACAAAAAATTTTTATTTTGTGATAGAGAAAATTTACATTTAAATACATACAATTTTAAAAAGTTTTCTTTTATATACGAGAGATTTTTCAGAAAAATTGGGCTAGTTTAATTAACACAGTTGATTTATGATCTTATTTGCACTTTTAGTACTTCATCCATCCGGATCTTCTTCATCTCCCGAGTCACCAACTCTTCCTGAGGTCAAAATATTGCTATTTTATTCTCCACAAAAACTTTAAATTATAAAATAATCCAACGTTATTTTACCTCCATGTTTATAGTAATCTAGGCACAGGACCATGCTTAATACGAATATCACAACCACTAAAACGAGACCAAGCCCGAGAAATCCAAAGATCAAGAGTCCCGTCCAACCCGTCAGTTCCCACTGCAAGTAGGAATCCTATCAATATAATTTATCTCAATTTTCAGTGAAAATTTTTCACCTCGGTAAAAAAATTAGCAATAAATACTCACACGCGCCGACGAAGGATCGAACGAGACATAAAACGATGCCATGTAAAACTCCAACAATTAGGAAATTTTTGAATGATAAAAACGTACGTAATATTGAACTGTCATTTATTTGCACCATTTCTCGAAGAAAAAATTGAGAAAAAAACTACACTATTTCTTGAGATTGGTCGGACTCCGGATGTGAAATGAGACCACGAAAGAAAAACTGTCCTCTAGAACCACTGCCATTATTTCACTGTCTTCGACTGACAACGAAACCAAGTCTTCGGAAGGAATGGTGTCACTGCCAGAAAGCGCAGACAACTTGACTACATTTTCCCGACGTGTTTTCACCTCCTTCGTACCTAGAGGAAAAACCAATTGACATTATTACGTCTGTAGTTTCACGCAATATTTTATGATTTATTCACCCCTTGCTAAATCCCCGTTTCCTGGTTGGAGTTCAGTTTTCGCATTCTTATGGCTATCCACGCCATCAAATTAATATTCCAATGATGGCAATGCGCTTTGTTCACATTTTGCACGGGTGCATGAAATTAAACGGATTGGGAGTGTTTTTCAGTGATATGCGTGATACATATTTTTGTATTCGTGAGGTTCGTGATGGTAATAGGGCGACGATATTTTAGGCATTCGCAGCAGGAGATCAATGCTCTTTGTTCGATTTTTGGGGATCGGAAATATATAAATGTGTAGAGGGTGAGGCGAGTAAGATGGAACGATTTCAGGCGTCAATGAGTCTCAGTGTCATGGATGGGCTACAGACTTATGAACCATTAAGTTCTCAAAATTTCAGGCAGAAAAATACATTCGACTCCACAACAAGATCCCCTCATAAATAAAACCCTTTGCGAACTTAAATATATCTGTATGTCTACCATGATTGAATAGGTCAAAGGTCAGGCTATGCATGGAATAACAAAAGAATTCGACATGAATCACAAAATGCTAGCCTACCTACGCTGATACTTTATCTAAAAATTACAAAATCGGACACAAGAAAATTGACCGCTAACCTTGAAACAGGTCAAATGAGAAGAAAAAAGTTGAAAGTGTCCCAAGCAATATTAAATACACAGTATAAAACATAAAATATATCCTGACAAATTCACTTTAACACATTAACCAGAAAAGTGGAAAATGTTTCACCTTACTCGACTCAACCTCTGTAATCGAGAATTGGCGAGTCTGATTTCTTAATGAGTCAATATCGAAGCCGACGACATACTTAAGTAATTCAAAGAGAAGTTAAGAATTTATTTATTTAGGGAGACACGACACGACATGCACACATAATATTTACAATGTTAGGCAATAATTGATTTAACTCCGCATCTAATAAACATGTTGATTTGGTTTGGACGGGGCTGCAGTGTCAATCAGCTCAAATTGACGATCCAACTCATTACTCGTCGTCCCATTACTGCCGTACTTTGACGAGAGATGTGCCAGCTTTGTGCTCACACTGACCGTGAGGACGACCACGATGAGTAAAATGATAAATGCGACAAACGCCAGGCAACCCGACATGAGGAGAAAGTCGGTCCGTGCCTCTTTTGCGCCGCAGTCAAAGTAATCGTAGTCCTGAGATTGTGCAAAATCACGTTAATTTGCATATCTGTATAGCATTTTTATCAATTCTCCACTTACCACGACCAACGCTGTAGCCAGAATGAGGGCCTTGCTGACCATGGAAATATCGATGGGGAACCGGATCTTGTAGACGACGTCGTCAATCGCCATGTTTGGGCGACGGTGATAGCGCTTATCTTCATCCTCCGTCTCCTTGCATATTTTTCCATACGAGTTGGCGTTATCGGCCGTGCAGATGTCGAAAGTCGTCTTTTTGTAGAGAAGACAACAACCTCCGTTCACTTTGAGGACGACTTTTCCAGAACTTCCGCGAACGTTGTAGTTCGGTCCTCGGATTCCGTTTCCTTCTCGAATTCGCAGGATTTTTCCAATCCCGTGATACTCAACGTGCTTCTGTCGCGCGTGCACGACCACCTTTTTTTAAAAAAGATAGTTTTTGAATAGATATTTTTCACAATTTTTGCAAAATGTGAAAAAAATGGTGCCAAGTTGAAATTCTTATTACGGAGTCGGCTCCCTGTTTTGCGACAAGTTTAAGCAGCTCGTTTCCCGATCTCATGTCAAAAATGCTGAGTTTGAATGGTTTTGAGGAGGAGGGCCGCTCATTTGGAGGTGCATCCATTGTTTGGACCACTTTAAAGATGGGCTGACCCGTTCTTGTCGTTACCTCGTAGCAGTTTGGAACATTTAGTTTTCCTAAAAAAAATTCGCAAATTTTGGATGTGATGTGAAAATAATGTGAAAAAGTAGTATGCAAAATTGCGAACCTTTATCCCGATCATCCACGCTTCGACGAATTAATAACTGATCGTACGAGTTGAAAACTTCGAGTTCTGTAAAGATTAATATCATCATTAATTTTGTTTAGGGATAAAATTTTGTGTATTTAGTGTACCAATTACCTTTGATTTTTTCATAATCCGGCGAATTTGAATTTTCCATGCAGAATCGTGCTGCAATTTCTGTTAAAAATATGTAAAATTACGAAGTGCATAAAATTATTTTAACAACCAATTTTTTTACCTTGCGCCGGTGCAGGTGCCGGCGTGCTTGGAAAAATCGAGTTACAATTCATCCCGAGAAAATATAATTTTCAGTATTTTTGGAAATTCCAGCCCGAATTGCTTGTCACTTTCTCTCGTCCTGACCTGCCACGACCGACTAAAAGCAATAATTCACAAAAACTGGAAAGTAGTACATACTTTCCCTCAATTTATTTTAGGTCAGGTCTGCACTGTCCCACTACCAATTTGTCATGCCATATTGTTCACTCTTATTGTGAACAATATGTGAGTGTGTGTGGGTGATGCCGGGATACTAGTTAACAGTGACCTGGATTCAAAATACGGAAGAATTTTCCCACTAACTAACCACGAAGAGGGAGCGAATTAGCGGTTTCCTTCAGATTTACCGAAACAAACTAACTGTTACTTCATTCCTGCACATTACGATCTCTTGGCGATAAGTGTAAATATGCACACGCCTCACTTTTTACACTTTAATGGGCAAAGGAAGTGAAAGTGTTTCAATGTTAAGTAACCTTTTTATGTGCGGTGGGTTGACTGCATGACCTACATTTTGTTTGAAACAAGATTCCACTTATTTTCATGCATATTTACTTCAGCAGCAGCTCAGCTTGGTTTTCGGTAGGCAGTGGATGGGTGAAAGGTGTATGAGTTTGTAAGGAAGGAACGTTACCAATAAATCCGGCCAGCATGTATGGTTTACTTTCACTTTCTTTATGGGACGACGACACCCACATGTGGGTACAAAATACATACGTATGTACCTACATTCATATGATGATGATGAATAGCGTGACCCTAAAATTTTTGACAGTAACGTAGTATGTATAGTTGTAGTGTATGTATGAATTTAGCTGCACCTGCTGTTTGCACTACATTTTAGGTACATACTTGCCAATTCTGGACGAATTGACAAGTAATAACGTAGGTATAAATACCTGTCGACATCAAAATGATTGGCAATATTAGTTGATGAACGAGTTGCCTACTTGCCTACTTATTTATGTCGGCGGATAAACTAGGATAACGTGGGCGCACGCATGATTATATAAGTTTGTTAAGAATAGATAACTATCAAAAGTAGCTAGATTAGAATTAGGTCGGGGGCTGAACCTGAACAAATTTGTAGATAATTTCTTATTTAGTGAACATTTGTTTTTCATACATACACAATTTTCATCCATGGAAAGACAGATGCTCCCCTAACGCTACTAGACAGAACAACAAAGTGGATCATTTTTTTACACGGAAAAGCCCAGTAGAACCCGGAAAGGAAAAGAGAGGGTTTTCGCTGGAGAAACGGGGTTTGAAGTACATTCTCCGGATCGGTTGCATCATCAAAGCACATGTTTGTTCTCTCATTAGCATTCCATACGCATCCCGTCTTCCTCCTCGTCCCACCCGCAGTTTCATCTCGCACCCGCATTTCTCTCTTTTCAATTTCCTTCCTGTTTTCCTCTTCCTGGATGCGTAGAGTAGGAAAATTACGAAAGTTGGGTGGTCAACAGGATTGCATAATCGGATCTGCTTTTATTTAAAACGCTTACAAATTAACTCGGATTTTCATACGACACCCGCATTTCTTTTTAATTTTCTTCCTGTCTTCCTTCCCGTATGAAAATCAATACGAAAATTACGAAAATTTGGTGGTCAAAAGGATTGCATAATCGGATCTGATTGTAATAAAAAAAAGCTCTCCAATTAACCCACAGTTTCATTTTACACCCGCATTTCTCTTTTTCAATTTCCTTCCTGTCTTCCTTCCCGTATGCGTTAAATGCATACGAAAATTACGAAAATGGGTGGTCAAGAGGAAAGCATACTAAATTTCATGGGATCTGCTTTTATTTAAAAAAAGCTCACCAATTAATTAATTAAAGAAAATTTAAACGGAGAACGAGTACTTATTTACAATTTAACTTATTCATGAACAGAACTATTGATGGAATTAAGTAAATAAACAAATATTTAATACTCCTGCTAATCCTGCCCTGCCGCATTATAGACTGTTCCTACTGGGCCGATGGACATGATGATTTTTTGGTCCGAAGCAGTGGTTGATCTTGCCATTTACGTGAGGAGGAAGTCCGACCTTGTGAAGATGATGGTGCTGATGATGATTATGATTATGATGCTTATAGTTCGCCGTACCCGTACTATCCCGATTTAGGGTCATGTCAACCGAAAATATTTCCATTAAAGACGGTTTCGTCACCGTCGCTGAAATATTAACAATTTCCTCCTTGAAATTGGAAAGTAATAATATTGACACGGTTTACTTAAATATTTCATACACAACATTTGTTTACCTGACTCTTCATCATGTGGCTTTTTCCTCTTTGCATACTCGTACTTTCGCTGCCGTCTTTTCTGCCGGAGTTCTGAAAGTATCGATTTACTGAAATTTTATCGTGTTGCTTGCTTGGTCATCATCATCGTGGAAGATAATCAATAATAATAATAATAATAATTGCGATAATAATAATGTGCTCGATACTCACTCACCGATAATGCAATTATAAAACATGAGTGCAAATAGGACGAACTCCACAACTCCGAGAACGGCAAGTATCACGTAATGTTTAGTCTCCTACAAATAAAAAGTGGGTTAAATAGATAAATTATATTTCTTGATAAAAATCTTTCCAAAATTTTTGCACTCACCAGGTTGTAATTTTGCAGCATGTCCTACACCATATCACATTTTAGTAGATGTCTCAATGATAAAATGCGTCCCAAACTTTGCTTCAACTTTCTCCGAGAAAAATATTATGTCGAGAGAAACCTTCAACTTGGGCGAAGAAGTAATTGATGCGACGATGGACTCGACAATTGCCAAAATTTCTCTATCGAGTCATTTACTACGAGAGAGAAGCACAGTTGAATATTTTAGATGTGGTTTATCCCCACCACAAGACTGCCAGTTTGGGAGTGAAAGCTGTAAAAAAAACGCCAACTTTTATTTTGCAGCACAATAATACATGGAGTCGATTCTATGGTGGCGCTACACCTACTGCACGAAGAAACTGCACGAAGTAGTAGTAAGAAGACTGCTGCTGCTGGGAACAAAATCAATTACATGGCACAGCTATGTATTCTAATGTGATGGGTTTATCTATGCTTGCATATAGCAAAGCAGCAACAAGGACGACGACAATTTACAGTGGAAGGTTCCCTGCTTTTTCACGTTTGACAATTGATAGCTGAGCCATGTTCATCCGTCGCTATCGGAAGAACTAAAGTCGTGCGGGAGCTGGGAGTAAGTAGGATATGCGGGTACATACATACGACCATTATTATTGAGCATCACCTCGAAAGTAAGTGACTGAATCTCGCCCCTGCTGAGTGAGGAGCAAGGAAAAACGGTCACGAACACGGATAACGACGACGACGACGGTTAGCTCCACTTTTTACCCGGATTATGCATATTCTTCTTTGGGTGGCACAACAAAAGGAGAGAGAGTTAGACATAAGTAGTGGTCCTTCATATTTATGAAATTATTTCATAAAGGTGGACGAGGCATAAAGTTTGGCGTGGTTAAAAAGATCAAAGGAAAGGAAGCGGAAATTTCTAACAGGAAAAATTTGTAAGTTTTAGTTTTTTGAAAAAAATTGGTTTTGTGAAATTAATGCTACTTGAATACCAAATTCTGCTGACTTCTATTGCTTTCTCCGCAATAACAAAGAGGTTCCCTAACGTATGTAGTGTGGCATGCATAATGCATATGCAAAACACAAAAACTTATACAACAGTACGGCAAAGGTATGAAATCGCGTGTGTGTGATATGAAATTGCGACACAATTCACTCCATGCGATTTTTACGTGGCCACGTGTACGTGCAGCTCGAGTCGGAAGTCATGTATAGGTATATGAGAAAGGAGAAAAAGGAAAGCAGTATTTCTCGCGTTGTGTAATAAATCTCGAGAATGTTCTATGAAAAGTCAGTCACGTATTTAATTCGTAAATTTAAGTAGATTAAAACTTATATCAAAAAGTAAAAATTTGATCTCAAATTTGAATCACAATCAATTCTTAATACTTAATGTCAGCCCATAATTTCGTTTTTGAAGGCATCCAGGACAATCCATTCTTCCGGGTAGAACAGCGTCATTTCATACTCTTTGAACTTCCTGTTCTCCGCGTCGGGATGGATGGTTAGCGTTTGTGGGTGGAAGGCTGGAGCGATAATGACTTTTTTCGCATTCTTGTTCAGATAAGCTGCCCACCAGCTGAACGTGCTGTTTGCACTTATCATATGCTTGCACATCGTCATCAAATAAAAGTCTTCCAAGCTCGTGGTGCACCTGTAGCAGGAGACGAAGTGAAGATGGGCGTTTGCAGGGAGTTGGAATCCTCTGAAAAAAATCAGACTGAACGTAGGACTCGATGACGCTTGGCAAAAATCGTCACATTTTAAATTGTTTCTCGGCTTTGGAAATTTATTTTAAAATTCTGGAGGGCAAATTTTTAGAGTCGTTGTCAATATGCATTCTAGATTTCGACACTTTTTGAAGGAGATCTCAAGCTTAAAAAACTTTCAGAAAAGTTTAAACTCGTCGAAACTGGCCTAAAACTCACTGCCATTTTATTAATCAATTTATTGACTACAAATGTGTCGTCCAGAATTTTAAAATACATTTTCAGAGCCGAAAAATGATTTAAAATGTGTTAATTTTGATTATTTTGGTGATGAGTCATCGACCCATACGTTAGATATTTTGAGGTATACCTTAGGATTAGTTCAACCAAGCTAATAATTTCATTACCTGAGCAGTTCCGCTCTCACGTCATTAATCTGATCCGAGAAGACGAAGAACGACACATCCTTCGACACATTTAACTTTTCAAACATCATTTTCATCCCCCTTTGGTAAAAAGAAATCGGTGTGAGCCAATAATTCTCGCCGTAATTGTTCTCGAGTTTGGCATAGTCGCCGCGTCGAATGTGGATGGCGACGCTGTTCTCTCCAGCGGCAGAGATGAGATCGATCCAGTGTCGGAAGGGTGGACGAGCCAATTCTTCCGGGGTCATTTGCAGTTGGAACATTTCCTTAATTTCCTGAAATTGAAGTTAGGAAATATCTGCAATTTACAAAATTTCACCAGAAATTCATACTGTATCCCGTACTGGAATGTAGTCCTTGAAAAACACTTCTGACTGACAATAGTCCTTGATAATTATCAACTTATCGGATGGCAATGGTTTCTCGGCTTGATAGAGGAGATCACGATCATCAACTCGCAGCACGTGGCGGTTCAGCGGATAGTCGCTCGAGTACCAACCCTCGACCGCTTGGTCGTAAAAGACGCGAAACTTGTGGAGCACGAAGGGTCGTGCGTTGAAATTGTAGAATGGATCGGACTAAAAAATAATTTAAAAAAATTGATCAATAATTTCATTCCCAACGTAAGATTTTGACCAAACTAGTGCCAATCGATCACCAATTTAATTAACATGAAATTTGCAATAGACATGATCGCCCAATGGGCACGTTTGGCCGAGATATTTGCATCCCAAGAGGAATAAATGCACCCTAAAGTGCTTCGAATGCAAATATCTCGACCACACCGTAGCATCGGTTGATCGTGTCTATTGCAAATTTCAATTAAATTGGTGATCGATTGATAATAGCTTAGTCAAAATCGGGGAGAATATAAAACCTCAATTGTCAATCTGCTAAATAATCCCACCTGTGGCTTGAACAGTCTGGCCGACGGGATCTCCAAGTAGATCGGAAGTCCCATCTTCCTCGCGAGTGAGTACATGCACGCATAAATGAACAATTGGTTCCCTAATCCCCCCACTTTCTCCACAATGACGCCCGGAGGAGGCAGCTCTGTCCAGTCCCATCGTCTCCGGTAGTCCAAACAGACGACGACCAGGACAGCCAATCCCAATATGAAAACGAGTCTCCTTTTCGTCAAATGCTTGTAAAATATGTAGTTCACACACTTTGTGATAGACGAAAACTTTGCTCCTCTCAACATGATACGTACTCCGCCAATTTATTTAATTAGATGAGAATACGGTCACATTTTAAGGCGAGATTACTAATTTTTACATAAAAATGTCACTGCCACTCGTACATTGTAATACGCCGTCAATGTGTAAAACACTGGTAAAGTTGGGGAACATATTGCACACTTTTTTGTACCAGGTACATATGTACTCGTTAACTAGGATGAAACGATTGCGTGGTGAAGCAGCAAACTTTTTTCTCGATAAGACGACACACACACACGAGAACTGTATGTACATATGTTTATCTTTTCCGATAAGAACGCATGCTTGAAAAATTGAAATTGTTTGTTGTACATAAAAAAGAAAAGTTGGTTGGACTGCTGGAACAGGTGTATGTATGACACCAGAAAAGAACGCACGTCATGGTACGAATTGTCATATAGCATGATGAGCAAATAGCTGCAAAAGCTTACTTATTAGTCATAAATGTATAACACAATATGTACACGCATACATATGGTTTGAATTGATGTGTGTGCATATGTTTGCAGGCTAAGGAGTAGAATATTTGTAGCCACGTTTCCTGTCGCACGAGGCGACAAAAGAATTATTAACGAACAGGCGAGAGATTTCGTGGACGTGTTAAGTACATAAGTGTTAAAAAAGGATGTTGTATAATCAGCAAATTTAGTTAGTATGTTTTGTGAGATCATGGTTGTGTGTCATTTTTCATGAAGTGAGTCATTGGTAGGCATATGGGTTTACATGCATATTCATAAATATTTGTGGAAGCTGCTTGTTTCTGTAAGTGTGCATATTCTGTCCCCAAAAAAAGTGTAATCTGTCCTCGTGACAATCTCTGTCGGACAAGTTGACATAAATAAGTACAAGTAAATTAGGTGTGTACCTATTTATTTACATTCGGGTGAAAGCAACATGTTTGGGTTTCGTTTATCCGACTAGGAAAAGCAAGGTTAACTAATTTGTTTACTTGTCGCATAATGGGCGTCAAAGCAGTCGTCATCCCAAGGTCGTTAGCAGGCAGGGTTTCAGTATAAATGTCAACATTTGCGGCAATAAGGCATGCGAAATTCTACGTTTGTGCTTATGTAGTACATACGCATCTCAGGTGAAATAAAATATTTAGCAGGGACGTACAATTTATATTTACACGGTTCACTACAAGAGAAAATTGAAGGACAGGGAAAAGGTGTGCTGTCACTATTAATAGAAACCTGTTTTCCCATTGTATTCCAAATATTTTTTGTTATTCACGAGTCTCAAAACTAGCGACAAACGAAAGCATGTTTACAAATGAGACTGGGTACATATGCCCGACACGTATTTTCCTCTCTCTCTCTGTTTCTGCCTTGTTTTTGTACCCGTCTCATCTTTCCTGTATATCCACCGACTTCCCGGATACCCGGGTATCTCTCTTCTACGTGAGACGGAAGATTTTGCAATAGTACAGGGCCCGGGCGTGTGGCAAGTTTGAGTTCTGGGTGTCGCTGGGTGAATCAACGTCTCTTGGGATTTGGGCCGGTAGCACCACCGCTGGGATGCAACCACTACCCGGGTTTTCTACATCTCTCCCCACTACCCGCATCCGCCTCTGCTTCACCGGCCAAATCAGAGCTCTCCGAAGGTTGTCCGCTCCCAGACAAGTCCGGTCAAAGGGGGAAGGGATCTCTTTCCCACTTTCTCATCATCATCACACTCTCCACTCCACCAGAGCTGCAAAAACTCCTCTTTTCCAGGAAGTAACCTCCATGGCAAAAAGTAGGCCAGCTCTCTCGCTCTCCTCGGGATGCACTCCCCTTTGTCATTTGCACAATAGATGTGCAATCCGTGTGTCAGTTTACTGTCTCATTTTAGGGAGTAAAATTTGGTGAAGGGTTGTGCAATGGGAATGAATGGGGAGGGCACTCCGTCACGGAGGAACGACCCCTTTAATCCTTCATCTGTCAGTAAAATGATCATATTTTATTGTATTCGTCTCGCATCGAAAAGATTCACTTAATATGATGAGTAATTATGTATATTGTAAATGTTTTAAATATAAATTTGGTTGCGTTGTGTCATTTACATATTTATATAATTATTATCTTTAGTTATTTAGTTAATTATTAGGCTGACATGTAATATTTACGGGTTCCGGGCGAGTGGTCGGCAACATATTGGTTGACACACTGTTTTTAGAAATTGGTCGTGTAGAAGGCGAATATTCTTAACATGCTATATATTAGGATCAAGATAGGTTGACAAAATAAAAAATAAGATATAAGATCTTATCTGGACAAATTATCAGCCAAGACATATTTATTTGAATATAAGATTTATTGTGTATAAACCATCAACCGCCTCAATCTCAAATTTTGTTACCCTTTGGCTACATTGACCAAATGTGCATCCGCGACATCCCCTTAAAGGTATGAACAACACGAAATAGCATACTTTCATTGGTTTAAACTAGAACAAAAGCCCAATAACAGTTTGATATTTTTGAAACTTCTTGATCCAGGATAGTCGCATTGTCATATCTCACATCAAAAATACATTTTTTGCTTTCGCTTTCCCAAACCAAGTTCGCTTGGATTATGCAAAAATTGTAATAAAAATTTGTTAATATTTATATGCGATTGCAATTAATTTACCAATTTAATATATCTAGATCTGTTATCCTACACCTTCCCTTAAAAGTATTCCTTACGACTTATAATAAATATAAATATGTGTAAATATGTAAATATAAATATGTAAATGTGTAAATATGTGTAAATATGTATGTTGTAAATATGTGTGTTGACCATTATGCTGTCGATTGTCGACCACTCGTCACCAGCCCAATATTTACACGTTATACATACGTATTTATATTAATTTTTCGATGAGAAAAAAAACATACACGTTTTATAATCTCGCTCGATTTGTTATGGAATAAGTAATCTCAAAATCTCAGAGAATAAATTTATAATTAAATATGTAAGATGTAAAGATACGAATATTTCTTACTGTATGTACATATTTACAGACTTATGTTAGAGTATGTATGTATATAGAGAATAGAGTATCAGTTGTGAGTATCTTTAGGTCGGTACCGTCATCCCGTCACGCAAAAATCAGGGACTTTTGACTGAAAATCTTTTACTTTAAAAAATTATTAAACTATTTTTGGTACAGTCAGTTCGAATTTATGTGTGTGGTGTGTAACGCTGGACAGAAAATTGAGGCTCGTTTACGTTGAGAAGGATGGTGATGGACAATTGTGAATTAATTAGAGTTAGATCATTATTTTCACCCTAATCCAGGTCTTCTTCCTCCACCCCCGGTTCTATTGCCTTGATAACCTCCCCCTCCAAAGACGGCGGCCAACACGCCAATCAGAATTACAACAGTAACGATAGTTATTACGATGTAGCACGTCCTAGAAATTTTGGGGCGTTCTCGAATTCTTCGTTTATGTTGAAAGTAAATGTTGTCCTGTTCAGGATACAAATTCATGAAAAATTCCCCCACTGATTTGTGTATTTTATTAGTATTTAAATATTACCAGCATGAACAAACTGGCCAGCAGTAGCGCCTTATTCGTCGCCGTAATGTCCCCAGGAAAAGATGCCGTGACCATTTCCTCGCGTCGATTGGCCTCTTCGTCGTCCTTATGCTCGAAATGCTTTTGCAAGTAGTTCACCGTCCCGACATGTGTCACATCGTCCGCCATCATTATTCGGAAACTCTGCATAAACATTTATTTGTCCTTAAAAGCTCGACTAACAATGAAGGCCTCCCAGCGTGTGCTCCCAAATTTTGATGAAACTAGTGCGTAGTTTCAATGTAAAATCTGCCAATGCTCAGATTTGGCAAAGATATTTGCATCAGAAGAGGAGAAAATGCGCCCGAAATTGATAAATTTTACACTTTCGAAATTCACTGCGAGCTTTCTCCTCTTCGGATGCGACTATCTCTGCCAAACCTGCGCATTGGGAGACAGTTTCTTCTGCAAATGTCATATTAATTAAATTTGTGATCGGTTGAGTGAGACTAATTTGGTCAAAATCAGAGAGCATACGCTGGGAGACCACCATCACAAGTTGGAGACCAATTTCATAATATTCATGTAATGCACAAACCTTGCCCCTATTTTTCACTAGTTTACGACAGCAACCACAGCAGCCAAGAAGGGAGGACGGGGAGAAGAAGGAACTTTGGATTTTTAACAATACTGCACCATTGGGCCGTTCTATGGAGAAGGTGGAAGAGGAGAGGGGACATCGTGGGAGAAGCCGGCGTACAATCCCGATTACTTTATCCTCAATGCTCTGCTTTACGTAGACCAACATCTGCGGAAGAAAACAAGGAAAAAATGTAGGAAAATAGCATGTCGACTCGATTAAGTCGTGATCAATCATTTTTTTCTCAGCCAGTTGAAAAATGGACAGACGTGCTATTTTCTAGCCAGACCAGAAACGAACCCGTTTACCCCCAGGAACAGAAAACTTTCACCTCCGACCTTTTCTCACTTTTTCCTCGATAAGTGAACCACCGACCACGGCTCAAAGAAATTAGGGAGAGATTTCTATCACTCTGAATGAAATGAAATTGTAACTGTCTGGCTGGAAGGATGGCGTGAGAAGAGTTGAATTTAACCCTAATTTCTTTTTGAATAGTAGTGATTAAGGTAACGCGAAAAATTCGTGAGACTATGCACGCCGTACTCACGTGGAGTATGTGCACATATGTATGTCAATTTGCGAAATTTTTGCAAAAAAATGCTACGTGCCAAAGACACACGTAGTACATAGACTTTTTCAATATGCATGATGTACTTACAACACCCTGTCGCAAATTGGCATTAATTTTCAGCATTTCTTTGCCCGCTTTCATGTCGAAGATGGAGATCATGAAGGGGGGTTTTCCTCCCTTCTCTTTGGAATGGTAGAGATCACGGATGGCTGGGTCGACGGACTCGATCGCCTTGAAGGTCAATTTCCCCTTGGCGTTCCGGATATCGTAGTAGCTGGGAGAAAAGGTTTGTTCTTCAGCTGCAGGGGTTAGTTAGGAACGTATAAAATTTTTTAAAACTCCTCAATAATTTCCGGAATTTTATATTAGCTTCTACTTACTCTGCAAATTGGTCTGTTTGATGAAAAACTCTTCACAGCTTTTAAGCGCTTGAATCTCTTCCGTCCATACTGCAGGCAGAAATTGTTTAGTATTTTGCCCCATTAAATAATTACAACTATAATTTTTTTCATTAATTACATTTGGACGGCTTTCTCTCAAGTTTGGCATGGTTGGGGGACGGTTTTGGTTTTGGGGGAGTCGCTGCTGCATGGGAAGTCCCATTTGGGACGGATAACAAATTATCTGCAGGGACCAATCCAAATTGTACACATTGATTTAACCGAATAAATAAAATGTCATGCTTTTTTCAAAAATATCTATTACCATTTCCTGGATAAACGGAGTTTTTCTTCTTACCCGAGAATGAACTCATGTCATCTCTGGCAGGTATTTATTTAGTGAATTTTCTTATTAGTACTTTTAAAATCACGTGACACCAAAATATTATTTGCATGAGATTTACTTTAACTCTGCACAATTTTATATTCCTGAAAGAGCCGTGGTTTTCCTCCTCCTTGCTGATTAGGTCGAGTCCAATCGAGACTAATAGCTTCGACAAACCACTAAACGCCACCTCATTACCTTTTCAGCTCAGAATAATGGGTCCGTTTTGCTGCCCTCGACATTTATCAAGTTGTCCACACTCGACGACGACTCTCTTTTCGTCAAATTGTTTTGCCATGTATGCACCACTCAATTTAATCCCTCACACGATCAGTCCCGTCCAATAATCAGACTGCAACTGGGACTCCCTACCAAATTTCTCCAGCCACATTACGTACGACTTTCACTTGTTTGATATAAAGAAAATTGATTCCGAGGAGGGTGATGCGTTGAAGGAGCAACCGCAACAATAGTCTCCCACCGAGACTGACCCACTACTAGCAATAGCACAATGCACACATCACACGTTGTTGTTGATCGACACACACGGCACATAATAATAATAGCCTGACTTCACGAAAGAAGAAAAGGGGAGAAAGTTTCGACCAACCTTTTTGTTTGAGGAGATTTCTATCTGAAAAAATACATTTTTCTTCCCAACACACAAACACACACTTCGTGGAGAAAGAGATTAGTCAAGAAATGCAATTCAGGGCAGATTACGAATGGCACGAAGGCAGGGAAAAACACTCGTTCGATTCACATTACAGAGACTAGATTTGGTATTTTTTTTTACTTTCTTGGTGGAGGAAGATACAGGTGAAAGTTATTAAATTGTCCGTTCTTTTTTCGTCCCCACGCCACGCTACGAGTCGGTAATGGTCATGGAGAAGAAAAGTAAGTATGGTTCTTCTCCGAGAGTTCAGCAACTACTTAAACAAGAAGAATGGCGAAACGACATTAGTATATTTATCGAGCAGTGACCGATCGTACGTATTTGGTATTTATTTACACAGAGGCGTTTGTAATGGTACTACTGAGCTCGTCATTGTTTAAGGAGAAGAGTGAATAAATATACACTACACACGGTTGACGGACGGTGTGTTTTAGGCTGGCTGAACTTGCTCTCTTTTCTTTTCTTTAGTCATGATGGATTACTTTCACCGGGAACTGGTTGCTTTGCTGCGACTGCATATTCATCGTGGTAGTAGTAAACTGGAGAGATTATGGAGTAGGCCAATATGTACGTGCACTTGCGACTACGGAGTGCTGAGACAAAATTACCATTACACACACACACACCAGAGAAACCATGCCAAATACGTAGGCTGCACCTTAGCTTTTGCGTGAGAAAGTATGGTCGGTCTGGATTCAATTTTTATATTATGGAAATAATGTCCTGGAGGCTTCTATTAAAATGTGTGCGAACCGGAAGCCATTTATTTTAATGTATTTATGACGATGGGGTGAAAGCATGCCACAATTAAAACTTTGATGGGCATGTTTTCGCACCAAAATGTAAACTTCTCTTTTGGGTGGGAATCTCGTCCCGCAATCTGAATATTCTTACTATTACTACGACTTATGTGTGTAGTAATTGGTTGGAGGAGGAGGAGAAAGTTTAAATATGGGCCGTGGAAAAAAGGTAATTTCTTTTTGATTATAGATAAGCACGAGAATATAAGCACGAGAGAAAAGTAGGCGAACTTTCCCCACTGACATAATCGGAATCGGGGATAAATCAAAATTGTAAATGTCAAATCTAATGTTGAAGTCTTGAATATGGTGTAACAATCAACAACTCCGTGGCCCCGTAGATTCTTGATTCGATAGGGAAGTAGTCGGAATTGAGAGCAATCACATACATACCCAGTCAGTACTCACCAATACGTTGATATGCCTAGACGAAAACTGTGTCAAAATCAAAGGTATACATATGAGTTATCGCAATAATAAAAGGTTGTGGGTCAAGTCAATTAGCAAAGTATCGGAGCTAGTATCGAACCATGCCTACATGGAGGACGTGATTCTAGGAAATGTTTACCCTCGTGGTGGGGGTAAAAATCAGTCGAAAAACGGTTACGGGACTGGTAATCGTTCCTTAATTTTGTTCTTCGTCATCACCAAAAAAGTGACGATTATGTCGCGACATGATTTCCACGATACGATTCCGTCATACCTACAAAGTTCGAAATCATGACGACAAGAAGAGTCAGGCAACACATGAAAATGACTCGTCCGATTCTGAACCGAATGTCGGTTGACCTTCGCCTTTAGCTGACTGCTGCTGTGATTTCCTTAATTGTCAGTGGGCAGGTGAGGAGAAGAAAGCCGGCGGCGAGTATACGCTTAACGAAACAAAGAAGCAGTGCCTACACGGGGAAGCTATGGGTATATAGGGCCCACCATAATTCTAGGTGATTACCATCGCCCACATTAATCTTAAAATCTGGAAGGAATGGAAATCCAGAGAAAGGAGTTTCCTCTCAACTCATTACTTAATTTATGTGCTTCGCCAACCAACCAACCAACTCGTGAATGAATATTAATGCGAACAATGCCGCATTGTAGCACGGCTACTATTAATACTCATTTCTTTCTGCTTAGGCACAGACAGCTCTTGAGGTAAATCAACACCTTCGCGAAATAAGGGGAAAAATGAAGGAAAAAATGTATATATTCATGTATTAATGATGGATCGACACTCGTTCGTGGTCTTGTGGTCTTTCCCTCCACCTTATGTAACATACATATTGCTTATATAAGTATAACAATAATGAGTGAAAGTTATGCAACTGCTTTCTCCAAATAAAGATAACGTCAACACCATCGGTCAAAATTCTGATGGAAATTTTGACTTCTTAACTAACTAAGCAAACGTGTTATCAAATTCTGAGTGAGTGCAGTGTAAGTCTGATGAGTTTCCGTATTTGCTGGGCTGCTTTCTCCTACTCCTCCTCCTCCTTTTAGTTAAAGACCGGGGAAACGTGTACCCGACCGAATAACATGTTTACCTTGAAATGAATAATTCTCGTGTGTGTGTGTGTGTGTGTGTGTGAACTTTCTCTCAGAAAAATGCACGACACGTGGAGAAGCGATTTATTAACTGGTCTTATTCCATTCTTGAGTAAAATCCCGATTATTGTTATCCAAAAGTGTTTGGTTACTCGGTCAACTTTTTTACACGATCACTCACTTATTTACTCGACACACAAACTCAAATCTAAGTAATCCGACCTAGTGGACGTTGAGATACAAACTAGTGAAAAATAATCCTTTTGCTTCTTGCGTAATGCAGTGGCAATTTAGTTCGTACCTAGGCAGGGAATTTCAAGAATTTCAAAGGTGCCTTGTCAAATGAATATGCAAAAACTATGCATGACGACGACGACGACCATGCAAGCGACCAAATAGAGGGCAAGCTAAAGCTTATATAAATATGTTTCTTATTTCTCTCTGACAAGTCAAACTTTCTCTTGACATGCAAAGATTTAAAGTGCGGAATTGACCACCTGTGTGTGTCTCGTACGTCAAGCAGTGTCAACATGGCTTTGAAAATTAATGGTAGTTGACTTTGGACCAACCTCCTGCAGCTGGAAATAAAATAAAAGAAGCAAGGGGTTTGGCTGCACTTCAGCGTTAGGTATTGAAACAATAGCTCAATTTCTAAACAGATTTCATAAAATATGACGTATTCAGTTTTTGACTTTTGCAAAATTTAAAATTATTTGTATTTAACAATGAATTTTCTCCTGCTTATGGAATCATAATTCAAAATCGGACCGTAATTGGCCTGACTGTTATTAATTATAACGTCAATTAAATCTAAATTACAGGGAGGCAAGTCCTGACGGAGTTTTAATCTTATAAAGTAATTTGCACAAGTCAATAATTCCTTTAACCAAGAGTCACGTTACTCCCATAAGCAGCATCAAGCTCGTAACACATTCGTGATCGGGATCAAACTGGAGAGGAATTCCTTCGTGTGATGTGATGTCCTTTGGTCGTGGGACACACACGCGAAGGGGTCATTTTGAACACATGCATGCATGGCCAAAATTCTACCAGACCAAGAAGAGGGGGTTTCTCCATGGATTTGCGAATTGTATGTGCTCATTAATATGATAAATTTAGCAGGACATGCGATTTCCTTGTAACAATAAGTTCCCCATGTGGGTCGTATATGTATGCTGGTAAATTCGCAAACTGGTTACGCTGGAATGCATGATAATAAAGTTGGTGGAAATTAGTTAGAAAATGGATAAAAGCTGGCAGATCATGATTAGCACGAAATAACAGCAAAATGTTAAATGCACCTGGGTCGTTATCAAGTTTACAGCCGGGTTCTAAGCTCCTATTTAGTTGCACCACCAACCACCTTCGGAAACGAAGACGTACATAAATATGTGACCCTGGAGCGTTTTAACCATATGCAATAATATAATTCATGACACAAGTGTGAATCGCGTGAGGTTTGGGAAGCAGTAAAATTTTCGAGGCATAGATTCAGCCAGGTATTTATGCAGCATTGGTTGTGGTATTATTGGCATGGTCAGGATTCTGACTAGTTCAAAAAGTTTACGACCATGGCAAACTGTCATCAGCTAAGCAACCCGGGCTCCTTCGGATTTATGACGGGTGACAAAAGGCGAGAAATTATAATGAGTTTCGAAAACCAGGCCAAAGTTTAATTGCCATCGTTTAAATTCCTGGCTTGTAAATTTAAATATATTTATTATGCGAATCGAAATGATTTATCACATGCAGAAATTGGTCAGGTTTATGCAGGATCATTCAAAAGTTGAGCTAAATAAGACATTTCTGAACGATTGACGATAATTACTTTCTTTTTATTGCCACCACTAAAAAAGCATAAACTGCCCAGAAAATCTACGCTATTTGAGAATTATTCTATACGATTGAGCATCAGGCACATAAATACGTTGCATATTTAGGATCACTTAACACTAAATGAGCGTCGTCCCTCTCACTAAACGGGTGCAGTTACAGCTCTAATTATTTCCTGTTCAGCAGGCTGCTTAGATTTCTTCGATGCTACAAATTCGTTGTGTATCGTCCAGTCTAAAACTCGTGAGTTAGTCGTGTTGAAATCTTTCACTGGAAATTAGAGAGAAGAGAAATAAGGTGACAATTTGTGGAAAATGGAATTTTCTTAATTACAGGAAATTGCTCCTCACTATTATTGTTGTACGCCCGTAACAAGTCGAAAGGCACTTTTCCATCCTCCATTTCCCTGTAGTACTCGGATAATCCGGATTTTACGGTGTAAATCGTCCCCGTGAAGGAGGACGTGCTCGTGGTGGAAGAAGGGGACGAATGTCGCGAATATTTCGCACCATTCCGAAAACACGGGAACATTGGGGATTTTTTGTATCGTTTAAACAGCTCGTGTTTCTTTAATGAATTTTCAGAGTGGATGCGAGACTCGACTATTTAGTGGGGAAAAATTAATTTTTATTTAAAATTTGCAATTAAAATTAACTTCAAAATTGTATAATTAATAGTTTAGAAATTTACCTTTATCAGTAAAACACCGGTAACATCCGTACGCCGCGAAGCCACCAAAGATGCCGATGAAGCCGAGCAGAATTATGCAGAGGATGACGTCCACCCCCATTTGTGCACTTTCACTTTGTAAGTCGTGCTTAAATTAAGGGGTCTTTTGCCTCCGACTTTGTTGCGGCGTGTGAAGGCATTTTTCTTCCTCGTGTGTGTGTTCCTTACCTCAGACGAGGAAATATTGCACCTGTGACCCACTTTTCATTTCCTTGCAACACATGTAATTTCAGGTTGAGTAAGGTTTTGTTATTTGTTCCTTTTGTGTTTCACGTGTGTGTTTCAGTGGAGAGAGGTACGTACGTGATTGGTGTGGTGAAAGCAGGTTACCTCATTTATTAGATATGCATCGGGTCAATTGCCTCCTCCTGTGCCGATATGTGTAAGCTAAGCATGCTGATATGCCACCTTTATTTCCCGGAGAGGTGAAAGTGTGACAAAAAACGTAAGAGAGAAGAGTGTAGTCGCCTTAATTCGTAATATGAGGGGTATATTTTTCATGCATATTGGCAAAGTGTGCGAAATTCGGGTCAGACAGCCCCCTAAAAATGTATGCTTTCTTATATTTTCGCATTACGTTATGCAATCCGAAATATGAAAGTGACGTTTGAGTTGTACGCCAAAAATGAAAATTTATTTTTTTTTATTTGAAGGATTATTTTAAAGGTCACTTCGTTCCATAATGATTCTATTATTTGAAATCTTTGATAGACAGTTTGCAAAGTCAGTGTTTGTTTAAGCTCCGTGGAACAGAGGATGATTTTTCATGACGGGGACCAACCCTGCCGGCCCGCATATCCATTCCTCTTATTTCCGGTGGTGTGCACAACTTCCTCCACGTCGGACTGAACGAGGGGTATATTCGTGGGGGAGACTTTGGACGATGACCTGCTGTAGCTTCGACTGGGATGCGGCTGGGATGAATAGTTTGCTGTAATTTTGAACAAGTTAAATAGGTTTTACAGATTTGGATCGCTTTAACGTGACAATTTTTAACGAGGAAATTACTTCTGTCCTCTAAAACGTGACCGGGTGGGTATTGCAGCACTGCGGGATTGATAACGGCGTGCGGGATGTGGTTGGGATGAGCCCCATTCAGAATTTTAAAGGAATACAGCGAGGGTTGGAAAATAGCTTCCGGTGGGGAAATCGCGGTTGGAAGAGGGTCGTAGTAATTCTTCGCGGTCCAGGCTTCACTCTCCTCATCTTTCGCTGAAATTATATAGCAGACAGAAATTAGAAAGTTGTAAACACCAAAAAAATTGTTGATTATCTTAAAATTCACCTCCTTCCTTTTTGGCAACTATGCAGCACAAACAGTAACAGAGCAGGCCGAGGATGAAGAATAAAATCGCCAATCCTATTATGGATCCGATACCCGCTGCTAAATCCTGTAATTGGCAAAATTAAAACTCTGTCAACTATTATTTTACGAGAAAAAATGTGACCCTGAGCAAAAAATGCGGTGCAAGCATATTGAAATCAACTCACCATTCCGCTCCCAGTTTGACGATCCGTCCCCATAAATCTTGGAACAAATTGACCTCACTTTCAAAATTTTTTGTCACTTAATCCAACTTTTTTCCTAATTTTGCACTTCTGGAGAATGAGGGCACACGGCGACATACTTTTTCGCCCAGAACTCCGTATGCGACTCAGCACTGCATGGGACCAAACGAATCTTGGTGAATTTGTGGAAACAAGTTTGTCCCATTCCATCCAGGCATGTAAATTTAATGGGTTAAATATATGTAGTGTGTAGTGCTTTGTTTAGGTGTTGAATAAAACTAAGCTGGCAATTCATAACTTTATATGCATGACAGTTGCCACTGCTGAAAATATAATTCTGTGTACGTGGGAAATACATGTGCGACTGGTTTCGGTATACTTTCACATGCTCACTTTTCGAGATCTTTCTGTGTTTCAACTTTCTTTCTCTCACGCGATTTCAATATTAAGGTGAAGTCTGCATGGCTGGCATGAGGTAAAAGGAAGCCAGGCAAATAAGTGGTTAACCAGGAGGGTCAGAGATTTTCGTCGATATAATTGACTCTGACCCCACGTCAAAGTATGCAACATGATTGTGACACGCAATGAATGGTGAAGGGTACACGGAAGAGAGGAGAACTGATTTAATGCAAAATTTAATTTACAAACAGCTGTACCTCAATGATTGAGGTCTGGTCATGTGGATGACACGGGGCTGCAGAAGATGATTTAACGTCGACTACTTTTAAAGATATGTAACTCTGCAATTATTTGACGCTTTATCATTCTATTTTGTACCAAAACGAGCTAGATCGTTACCATATGTGACTCTAACGTTGTGGTAATAATTTTTGTTGCCAATAATGGATAATAAGTTTGTCATCATGGCGGTAATACTGTGACCACAAAGTAAAAAAAAAATATTACAAGAGTGGTAAAAAGCTTTGCTTGTAACTCAGGATCGGTAAATTTATTGCTGTAGAGCCGAATAGGCACTACCTACTGTTTCTATCTAGTTCGACACTAGGCAAAATATGCACATTTTTATGCAGTTTGTGTAAATAATCGAAACTATTTGAGTACTCTATTGGTAGCATTCTTTGGGGTTGGGTGGTACATGGTACATTGGTGAAGATACACGTGCAAATAATTTAAGATAATAGATAAATAACCCATCGTACGATAATGTTGCAAAATTGGGTAAGAAATTTAATTTTTAAAAATTTAAACATTTAATATCTACATATATATTGTTAACGCACTTGATCCTCACAATACCGATAAATCAGTATGATGTCACATTATGGTTCTCTCGTCCGTTAAAAAAGTCATCGATACATAAATCCCAAGTAAAAAAAAACAATTGTTATTCATATGAAAAACACGTTATTAAAAGCGCCCAGTAATTGATAAAGTACAATTTTGTGTCGCAATTGGCGATAACGTGATCACAGTAAAGTTACCATGTTTCTGTTTCTGTATCAGTTGTCAGTACTAACTGGAATCAGAGTACATTACACGGAAAACCCAATAACATCCACCACTGAGGAACGAGACAATCAATCGTCAATCGTTCCACTACTTGAACTTGATGTACAGTGGCATCAAGATAACCTTACCCCGCCGAATCTCAAGGCCATGCGCGCACAACGACAGGCTCGATCCCGCAAAAATGGCCTAAAAACAGTTTCTCGTTTTTACACTCTAGTGACCTTAATAGTTGACCTTTTGAGGTCAAACTTGGCACACACACTCACAACCATATTCCCCAGGGTGGTTCTTAAGGATTTTGACCTAGGTCACTTCAGTGACCTTCCAGAAATCACCAAACTTGTTGCATGATATTTGGTTTTTGCACTCTAGTGACCGCAAGAGTTGACCTTTTGAGGTCAAACCTGGCACACACACTCACAACCATATTCCCCAGGGTGGATTTCAAGGATTTTGACCTAGGTCACTTCAGTGACCTTCAAGAAATCACCAAACTTGTGGCATAATATTTGGTTTTTACACTAGTGACCGTAATATTTGACCTTTTGAGGTCAAACTTGGTAAACATATTGCCAACCACATTCCCCAGGGTGGTTTTCAAGGATTTTGACCTAGGTCACCTGCGTGACCTTCCAGAAATCACCAAACTTGTTGCATGATATTTGGTTTTTACACTCTAGTGACCGTAATATTTGACTTTTTGAGGTCAAACTTGGCACACACACTCACAACCATATTCCCCAGGGTGGTTCTTAAGGATTTTGACCTAGGTCACTTCAGTGACCTTCCAGAAATCACCAAACTTGTTGCATGATATTTGGTTTTTGCACTCTAGTGACCGCAAGAGTTGACCTTTTGAGGTCAAACCTGGCACACACACTCACAACCATATTCCCCAGGGTGGTTTTCAAGGATTTTGACCTAGGTCACCTACGGGACCTTCCAGAAATCATCAAACTTTTTGCATAATATTTGGTTTTTGCACTCTAGTGACCGCAAGAGTTGACCTTTTGAGGTCAAACCTGGCACACACACTCACAACCATATTCCCCAGGGTGGTTTTCAAGGATTTTGACCTAGGTCACCTACGGGACCTTCCAGAAATCATCAAACTTTTTGCATAATATTTGGTTTTTACAATCTAGTGACCGTACTTTTTGACCTTTTGAGGTCATACTTGGCACACATATTGCCAAGCACATTCCCCAGGGTGGTTTTCAACGATCTTGACCTAGGTCACCTGCATGACCTTCCAGAAATCACCAAACTTTTTGCATAATATTTGGTTGTTACACTCTTGTAACCGTACTTTTTTCTTACCTTGTAAGACTACATTGTAAGTTACAATGCAAGTTGTTTACGTGTACAACTCAGATCTGGTTGGGACCAATTTTATTTTGTTCACCACAAAAAATAAGCATACCCGTATTTTTTCATTTTTCCTAATGCGCTAATTTGAGCGCGAGGCGCGAATTTTAAAACATTTTTCAGCCAAAACCTCGGTTTTTAAAAATTCTGTAAATTTTCGAATTTTAGCTCGAATCAAAAAATTCGAAAACATGTCTCTTCAGAATGACTTACCTGAGTTATGAAAAATCCAATTATCTGGAAATTTGAATTTCAAATTTTTTTCTCGGTTTTTGAAATTCATTAAAATTATAAACTCTTTCAAATTTTTAATTTTTCTGAAAATAATGCATGTGGATTTTTTACAAGTCAGGTAAGTCATTCTGGAAAGACATATTTTCGAATTTTTGGATTCGCGCTGAAATTCGAAAAGTTACGGAATTTTTTACGGATTTTTTCACCCTGGGGAATGTGCTTGGCAATATGTGCGCCAAGTATGACCTCAAAAGGTCAAAAAGTACGGTCACTAGATTGTAAAAACCAAATATTATGCAAAAAGTTTGATGATTTCTGGAAGGTCCCGTAGGTGACCTAGGTCAAAATCCTTGAAAACCACCCTGGGGAATATGGTTGTGAGTGTGTGTGCCAGGTTTGACCTCAAAAGGTCAACTCTTGCGGTCACTAGAGTGCAAAAACCAAATATTATGCAAAAAGTTTGATGATTTCTGGAAGGTCCCGTAGGTGACCTAGGTCAAAATCCTTGAAAACCACCCTGGGGAATATGGTTGTGAGTGTGTGTGCCAGGTTTGACCTCAAAAGGTCAACTCTTGCGGTCACTAGAGTGCAAAAACCAAATATCATGCAACAAGTTTGGTGATTTCTGGAAGGTCACTGAAGTGACCTAGGTCAAAATCCTGAAGAACCACCCTGGGGAATATGGTTGTGAGTGTGTGTGCCAAGTTTGACCTCAAAAAGTCAAATATTACGGTCACTAGAGTGTAAAAACCAAATATCATGCAACAAGTTTGGTGATTTCTGGAAGGTCACGCAGGTGACCTAGGTCAAAATCCTTGAAAACCACCCTGGGGAATGTGGTTGGCAATATGTTTACCAAGTTTGACCTCAAAAGGTCAAATATTACGGTCACTAGTGTAAAAACCAAATATTATGCCACAAGTTTGGTGATTTCTTGAAGGTCACTGAAGTGACCTAGGTCAAAATCCTTGAAATCCACCCTGGGGAATGTGGTTGGCAATATGTTTGCCAAGTTTGACCTCAAAAGGTCAACTATTACGGTCACTAGAGTGTAAAAACCAAATATTATGCCACAAGTTTGGTGATTTCTTGAAGGTCACTGAAGTGACCTAGGTCAAAATCCTTGAGGACCACCCTGGGGAATATGGTTGTGAGTGTGTGTGCCAAGTTTGACCTCAAAAGGTCAACTATTAAGGTCACTAGAGTGTAAAAACGAGTCCCTGTTTTTTAGGCGATTTGTGCGGGATTGAGCCTGTCATTGTGCGCGCACCGCCTTGAGATTCGGCGGCGTAAGGTTATCTTGCTGCCACTGTACCGCAGATATGTAAAAGGAATATATACATAAATATCTTTAAACACTAATAAACACTCATCGTCAGTCGTACAATTTCGCCACTGAAATCAATAATTGCATCTCATCTGGATATTTCAAGTAATTTGGGCTTAGGTTTGTAGAATTTTTCTCAAGATTTTTTTTTGAGAGTTGGCATAATTTGTAGAATTTGTAGAATTTCTGAATTTTTCGGCAAACTTTGTTTAATTATATTAATCGGTAACTTTGCAAAATCCCAATTAAATTATTTAATTAAATGGATAAATAAATAATAGTTTGCCGAAAAATAATTATTTATCCAATTATTATTGGATAAATAATTAATTATTTATCCAATTATTTATTTATCCATTTAATTAAATAATTGGATAAATAATTAATTATTTATCCAATAATAATTGGATAAATAATTATTTTTCGGCAAACTTTGTTTAATTATATTAATCGGTAACTTTGCAAAATCCCAATTAAATTATTTAATTAAATGGATAAATAAATAATTGGATAAATAATTAATTATTTATCCAATAATAATTGGATAAATAATTATTTTTCGGCAAACTTTGTTTAATTATATTAATCGGTAACTTTGCAAAATCCCAATTAAATTATTTTAAATTTGTTGGATAAATAATTTGGTAAAGTTTGCAAACTATATTCAAAATAATTGCGCAATAATTTTCGCAGTAATCCTTACTTTTGTAAACGAGATAATTTTTTTTCGTTATTTAAAATCTTTATTTATTGGTAGCTGTCTATAAACATGGCTAGGGCATGCAATACCGGGGTCGTTTTCCAAAACCGGTATTCGGTATTTTCGGTATTGGGACCTTCGGTAATACCGGTAGTACCGACACCATATGTTAAATATGTATTAAGCTTTGGAAAATGATCATACGAAGCAATACATAGTAAAAACTCTGCAAGGAATTAAATGCTGATGTGTAATAACATATCACTAAAATGAACATACTTCAAATCACTAAGGAAAAAGGTTGGTCATATACCTCTTAACAAATTAAACTGTGAGGTTCAAAGTTCCAGTGTTTGGCACAGACAAACAATTTCAAGTGGGTTCAAACCAAATCAAATTAAATCAGGTACTGGTTCAAATTTTTAACTATGAATTATATGCCCACTATGTTCTATTGGCTCCTAATGTCGCAACTTTTACAAATTCATCAAGTTTTCTACATAAACAAGTAAATACATGAGCGAAAATTTCCAAAAACTCCAAAATTCTAACATTATCTGAAAATACATTTCGTTTGTACATATGTAACATTACTCAAATATGCAAAAGATATTTTCCGTGAATTTGTAAATTTCCACTTGAGGCGTAAAATGGTTGTTAGTTGACTGAGTCGATTTATCGGATTACGGTATCCGTGAAGCATTTCTGGGGTTTGTATCTTCTTAACAATAATGATTCGGCTATTTAAAATTTAGTATTTCTTCGTATGATTTCTGCAGATACGCGGTCTTTTATGAGTCTCGTACACGAACAACGGTTTACCCGGATTGTGAGCTTTTTAGAAATTTGTATACACGACAATCTGCCTGAATAAACGTCTTATTTAATATTATAAGTTATCGAGCCGTCAATTTCTCGAGTATTTTTTGAAAATTTTCGGAAACTTTAAAAATAAATGTTCTAGAATATTCACAAATAAAGTTAAATGTATGTTGGGTGTGAGTGATAAATTTCCCATAATTTTTATCTGCCAAAAATCTGATTTTTTTATTTGAACCAGTTGAATTTGCTTGACTGAAAGACGGTTTCAATATGTCACATTTTTAACTTGAATACCGGTATTGAGCTTGTCAATACCGGTATTCGGTATTCGGTAATACCGGTGAATACCGGTACTCGAATACCGGTATTGCATGCCCTAACATGGACGCCAAGACTTTCACCACCATTCTGGTCGTCACCCTCACCGTCGTAACTTCATCATTCTGCATCCCCCAGTACGGCGAAGTTTGCAACAGTCTCATCCAATGTGAACCTTACACTGACCGGATTGACCAAAGTGTGACCTGCATTTACCGCTTGAACACGACAAACCCGGACGGCGTGTGCGCCACGTTCGCCGTGGGAGGAGGCAGATGTCAGTGTTCGCGAAATTGCGGCCCTTTCAACGATTATCACGACATTGGCGAATTTCTCCCCGAGGAAAGGCGCTGTGTCGCGATGGTGGGCAAGTTCTGCTACTCCGGGTTGCCGGATGACTGCGTGGAGAACGCGTACTGTCCAAACACGAGACCATATTGTGTTTGCAAGTTGGGATTCGAAACTGCTCCGGATGGCAAGCATTGTGTGGCTATTGCGAATAAATAAGTATGACTTTTTTCTCGGTTATTTGTAAAATTAATAAAAATCTGGCGTTTACGGCAGTAATTTGCGAAAAATAAATTTCACAATTTTTTCCAGTATTTCACCTTTTTGGACAATTTCTGATCGACAAATTTTCTCAAAATTGGTTAAAAATCGTCTATTTCGGTTTTTGTCTCGAAAAGTTCCAAAATATTAGTGTGATTTCTTTATGTACACAAAATTGCGCAGATTTTATGCTATTATACGCCAAAAGATCGCTAGAAGATGAATAACTAGTAACTAGTTCATTTCATACGTCTCTACTAATTTCTTAATAAACATTAAATATGATACAATGTCAAAATATTTTAGCTCAACAATCGCAATCAATTTGAACATCAAATTACGTGAATTTTATCGCAAAAAACCTACAGTGCAGACTCCATATAGCCCGAGTCAGGGACATAGTCCCAGACTCAGTGAGTCAGAGTTCTAAATTTTTCTCCGAATTGACCGAACATATTACCAAACTCCGTGTTCTGGATAGTTAAATGTCTTAGATTTTCGATTATTTGGCATCAAATCCTTCAAAATGGGTCACCCTCCAGGGTCACTCTGGTTGCAATTTGCTCACTTTTAACTTTATACCCTTTCATGATAAGACATTACCTGTCACGATGCCGAATTTCCTGTTTTTACATCAATTTCTAAAAATCGGTACGGGTCACCCCATAGAGTCGCTCCAGATAACAATTTTACAAATGTCTTTTCATATTCTTCCATTAGGACCCATAAGTAACCTATCCACCAAATTTCAGCTTTTTATGACAATTTTCAAATTTTGGTGCATAATACCCCACCCACTCCGATGACCCTCACCGGTCAACCACTTGACCGATTTCGCCCATCTTCGAACTCGTTTCCTAACTTTGTCTAATATGCATATGGTGAAAATTTCAAGTCAATCGGTTCAGCCGTTTTGGCTCTATCGTGGCGGACAGACAGACAGACGGACGGACGGACGGACATGACGGTTCCATAAGCTAAAAATCAGTGATCGAAATTACATAAATTTGTATTTTGCTACTACTGGCCAATTTATTATTTTCCAATTTATCATCTCAACCATCCAATTAATTCAATTTCGGCACAAAATTAAATGTATCAAATTTTTCTTCCAGTACGTAAAATTGTTTAGATAAGTTTTATTTGAAGATCCTTCGACAACGTGATTCCCGTCTGAAACGGTTGATTGAATTCAAATTTCTCCAACGACACGTTTCCCAAGAAGGGCGCCTCCCTCTCCAAAAAGTTGGGAGTTGCCTGCTGGTGCTGGTGGTGCGGTTGTTGGACGGTCTCCGTGATCTGTAATAGATACATTAACAAAATTATTATTTTTGTAATCAGGGAGCGTGTTTTTCGAAAATTTTCGAAAAACCTACCTCTTCGAAACCACTCATCTTGAAGGACTGGAGCCGAGACCCGGTCGTAATAACGGCTGGAAGGAGAGTCTGGTCGATTCGCTTTTCATCTCCGTGTAACCCGTACCTATTGTAAGTGCTTTTCGCAGCGCTCTGGTGTAGGGTCAAGTCGTGGATGTCTAAAAATATGAAAAATTGGGTGAGGTGAAAATTCTGAATGAAAAACTACGAATAAACGTTACGAATTATGAAAGAGGAATTGTAAATAAAATACTAATGATAAATTACGAATAAGATTATGGATACAAATAACGACTTACTGTTCATAAGACCAATTCGGCTAAACGCAAGCAGAATTTCTGGACATCGAAACGCTGGTTTTGACACTGCCACCGCCTTCAATTTCCTCCATTCTTGAGCAACTTTGAAGATCTCGTCCAATTTGTACGGCAGGGTGACCTGTCTGTATAAAAAAATGAAAAATAATGACCATCACCTAACAAAAACCAGAAATTATCCTTTTATGCTCACCCTGCAAAATATCTGGGTGCGCCTTTGAAAGAAATTGCGAGATTTTCCACGTTCGGGCACATTTTGGTAAAGTTAGAGAGAGGTTTCCACTCTGGGACGACGGGGGATGAACGTGGAATTCGAACAGTTGAAGATTCAAGATGAACAAATTCTTCACGTTGTAGTTGATGGCACACTCGACCGGATTGAAGAGATGGCCGTTGGCGATGGCGTGCTAGAGAATTAATTAAATTTGTAACGGTTGTGTCGACAGTTTTTATTAGCTTTTCCAACATACTTTGCGAATTTTTCAAGTAAAATTACGCACATAGACTTGGTCTAGATTTCAAATAGTTTTTGCTGAAAAAATTGGAGTGCAAAATTTCAAGGATTGGTATTTTTTTACTAGTTTGGTCAAAAATGTCTTCGTTTTTTACTCTTATATTAAAGAAAGGAACTAAAATTTAAAACTATTTACCACGTTTTAAAAAATTTCAAGGATTTTAGACGAAATATTTTTTTCTAAAAAATTGGATTCCAAAAAATTAAGAATTGAATATCTACTTAAGAAATTATCCGGTCAAAATATGATATTTTCTTAAATAGATGAACCAGGAATTTGAATTTTTATAAAATTTATAATTGGTCAACTCACAAGGTGCTCTTGCTGCTGAAAAGGAGTCCAGTCCGCAACGACGCCAGGACTTGGCTTGATGTCCACGAGGAGCGTGGTCATCCCAGGAAATCGATTAATAAAGCGGTGGATGGCACCGTTCTCGGCCAGAGATGGGCGTGGTTGGTACAAGTAGAGATCAACATTTCGGACCTTTGAGAATAAAAATCAGAATTAATGTATTTAAGCCATCATTTCCGGTCGGGATGATATGCATAATTTGCATACTTGAGGATAAATGGTCAAGTAGGAGATCTTCTGAGACACGGGAAGGGTGGAAATACCTCTCCGCATGGACAGCTTGATAGTCTGGAGGCTAAAAAAATTAAAGATTTTGAGATTAAATTTACAGCATTTTCGAGCAAAAAGGACATTTACATATTCAATATTTGCATACTTTTTCATTTCCACATTGGGAACGAGATCCCACTCTTGAAGAGTTAGCGATTCAATGGTATTAATTCCCCCAATCTCGTTCACCGCATCCTGAAATCCCTCCCAGTCTGCCAAAACTTGTGCAGAAGTGCGCGTTTCCACATTGGGTGCGAGAAAGGCGAGGTCCTTCAGGTTTGGGCACAACGTGATAAGCACCGCGAGATGTCGAGGGTGACAGATATGCAGAATCAACGTGGTTATCTTCAAGGGTCCCATAGCCACCGAGAGTGAAATCGCAGCTCGGATCGGAGTCCAGACCAAGTTTTGACGAAAGGTGGTTACCTATCCAGAAATAAAATCAAGGTAAAAAATATTTTGCAAATTTATTTTATTGCAAATAAATTTGCGCATCAAGCCTCACCATTTGTTCTCGCAGTTGTTGTTGTTGATGATGCGGCCCTCGATTCACAAACGTAAACGTCGCCTTGTACGGCAGGAAGGCGAAATCTGTCAGATTTTCGCAAGTCTGCAGAATAGTTTTCAGGTCATCAAACATCAAATTGTCATCCGGTCGCGCAGAAGTCCTGTGAAATTCGACGCTCTTCACATACTTGCCGTACCGTTCCAGAAACAATTGGAACGTCGGAGTGGCCCGAACATCGGTCTTGCTCCGCATGCAGGTGGTCGAAATGCCCATGGCGGCGTAGTTAGCGGGAAGCAGGTAGCGGGGCGTGGTCGTCCGAGCGAGAAGCTTGTTCAGCCGACCGATCTTCCGTTTGGCGTCGCGTTCTCGCTCGAAGGTGAGGTAGGCTCGTTTGTTGCCACCGTTCCGTCGGGACAGGATCACGCCACCGGCAGCAGCCCAAGTCTTGCAAACGCTTCGAAGACCCCTGACCTCAACATCTGCCAAGTGAGATAGAATACACGAGGCGACGACGTAGTTGTCCGCGAAGGATCTGTGCTCGAAGAGAGGGACGTGGGTGACCTCCGTAGCAGGAGGAGCGTCTCCTTGTCCGTCAAGGAGGCGGTTGTCAGCAGCAGCGTTTTCGTCTCCTTGTCCTTGAACGAGGAGGAGCTCACCAGCAGCAGCGTTATCGTCCCCTTGTCCGCCAAAGAGGAGGTCGCCAGCACCAGCGCCTTGGTCTCCTAGTACTCGTAGTTCTTGAACGAAGAGTTCACCATCACCAGCGGCCAGATTGTCCATTGTAGGCAGGGTTTGCCCCATTTAGTAGAATTTAAACTTTGTTGTTACTTTGTGTGTGGTTCGATTTATAATTTTTTGAGGAGCACTTGATGAGAATTGTTGAACTTTTTCAACTTTTTTTTCCACCTTGTCTCGTCTGCTTTTAAAATTTTGTGTGAACGGATCGTAACGTAGGGAACGCATGAATAATAATTTTAGCGAAATATTTGGTGCCAAAATTCGCAATACGTGTCTATTTTATATGACAAGACTCACTAATTTCGCAAAATGTCACGCAATGATCCCACTTCTCGTACAGGAAGCCACGACTCGGTGAAAGCCAACTCCGATCCAAGAGAAAGCATTTGTACCGACTCGGACGGAAGTGATGAGACCACGAAAAGCAGTGACACTGACGACAGCATCTCCACCTCCGCGTCCACAAGCAGCAGCAACACGCAGAGTGAAAGTTCTCACGATGAAGTGGGCCCGCAACAGCAACCCGCACTTCCAATCCTCCACTCTTTGGGAGTCCTCCAACCTCTATTCGACATGGTCCAGACAAACTGGTCCGACGAGGAATTCGCTCAGCAACAGCAGTTTGACGACTTTCACATGGAGTTCGTCTCCGATGACACGCATTTTCAACCCGATCTGAGCAATGTTGTGGAATATATGCCAACAACGTCCGAGTGCGGCGAAGAAGAAAATGCTGAAGTCAAAGTTATCGCACGGCCAAGCTTTCTGCTACCCCATTGGGATACGACGACTACCAAAACTGAGTCTGATGCTTATCCTAGAAAATCGGACAGGAAAGTGACACAAATATTTGAGAAATCACGAGAACGAGATGAACAGGGTGAACTTGGTCCAAGTCGACTTGACCAAAGTGTGACCAACGTGACACCATTTCTCCGATGCAACACTGGAGGTGAAACTGATACTGCCTCTGATTTCAAAAAGTTGGATAAGCCAATAATTTCTACACGAAAGGAGGAGACAATTACACTACCGGATTGGTATATAAATTAGTAGTTTATGCATGTCACAATTAGCATAATTAAAATGAATGCTTATAAGCTTACTAAATTTTTGTAGGATAAATCCTCTCCCCAATTTAAGAAGCATTGACTCCTGTAAGAAACCTCCCCGTCACGAGGAACAGTTGCGATCCGCTGTTCGACGCGAGTATGAAATCATTCAGCAGAGCAAGCCCGACTTGTGGGAGAGGACGCTGGAATCCGTTGGGGATCAAGATTTCCGAAAAATATTCATGTACATCAGTTCCAAGGTGGATTTGGTCGATACTGAAATTCTGAGTCTCAAATATTCCAACGTGAATGACACCTTGGCCCTGGGATCGGTTAATGGCATCCTGAAACTTGTCCAGTTTGACAGCACATCGACCGACATCACGGCCACCGTGGTGAGAAATGAATCTTTGATTGGACACACGGAGGACGTGACACGTTTGGCATGGACGATGCCTCCGAACAGTAGAGCCTCCCAACTTATGTCGACAGATGCGCATGGTAATATTTCTTACAACGGAGGTCTCGCAGTGTATGCACGATTTTGACCAAACTTGTGTCAATCGATCATGAATTTAATTAATTTGAAAATTCCAAAAGTCAAGATTTGCCATTACTTAGGTTTGGCGGAGATATTTGCATTGAAAGAGGAGAAAACGGGCAATAAATTTGGAGAGTGTGAAATTTCTCAATTTTAGGATGCGTTTTCTCCTCCTTAAGATGCAAATATCTCCGCCAAACCTGCGCATTAGGAGTTCGTGTCTTTTGCAAATTGCATATTAATTAACAAAATTTGCTATCGATTTACAAAATCATGGGTCAAAATCGGAGAGCATACGGTAGGAGACCTCCATTGTTAGCCTGATAAAAATATGTATGTGTATTTACAAGAGTTCTTAAATACCCTACCCATATTCCATGTCAAATTAGGCGTCATCATTGGTTGGCTCATTTCAAACACGTCAGGAAACCAGCAAGTGCACTTTCTCCAGGATGAGTCATCCTCCGTTATTCTGGACTTTGCATGGTCGCCAGATTCGACACGAGTCGCCATTATTTACTCGGACCTTGATCAGGAATTTGGCTCTTTGCTTTGTAAAATTATTCAAATTACGTTTCCAACCTTTCCTGAAATTATTATTGTTTAATCCAAAATTTTGCCTCGATCTGGACAGACGGATTAGTTGTGGGGTCCTGGGAAGGGAATCGCGAGTGGGGAAAATCCCTGAGGTCGGCTCCATCACCACCGCAGGCTGTCGCATGGCTGGACGAAACTCGTTTCCTCGTCGTGCAAGACAATTCCATTTGTGCGAACTCTTACTCGGGCGAGCAACTGGTAATTATTTGCAAAACTAGACTACAAAGAAATGAAATGATTGACATGTTTATTCTGCACTCGTGAACGACACGATATGGTTTTGCATAAAAAATTCACTCTGTTCTGAATTGTTTACCAGCAAGCGAGATACTTTACTGATGATGAGTTGGGGGGAAGATTGGGCAAGTTGGTGTCGCTCCTGGTGAAACCGATCAACACGACGTGGAAGAACACGGGGTCGTTTACGATTGGGCTGATTTGGGAAAATAAAATTTGCCTGTTAAGAACTGTGAATGATTTGCGTAAGAATTTACAAGCAATTTTTTTTCGGAAATTTATTTAGTAATAAGTTAAATATATTTTTGTAGAAGGGTTAATTTTTGACCCACAATTAACCATCTCTTGCTCCGACTGGTCTCCAAATGGGGTCTTCATAGCGGTGGGTGGAACCAAGCGAAATCTTCAAGAAGTCAGTGGTGCGCAAGTCAATATTTTCAATTTTTCTGGAAAGGTAATAATCAAAAAATGCAGTATTTAAGTTCCCACACGAAGAATGTGAACCGATTTTTTTGTCCAATTTTACAGCTTTTGACAACCTTAAAAATTGGTAGTCCCTCAATATCCACGATTTCATGGGATTGGAACAGCATACATTTAGCCATGGGGTCTGAAACTGTGTTGTACGTTGGAACTGTGAAGCCAGTTTATAAGTTTGCATCAAATGGTCACATCCATGCCTATGCATTTTCTGAAGATGACGACAATTTCGTCGCATTTTGGGACAGGACGAATGTATGTACATACTTAAATATTGCATGAAAATTCATATTTTAGGCAGAATTTCACTCTTACTTTTTCATTCTTCAGATGAACGTTCAAAAAGTCGAGGGGAAAGTTGTAGACTTGCAAAATCACGGCGATCGATTCGTTCTCCTCTCCATAAATTCAGAGGGAATTTATGCCGTCGCGGTCATTACGAAGGCCGGATTTTGTGTCGATGGTTTGTTATACAGCGTTTTTCATTATATTAAATATTTCACAAAAAAATACATTCTCCATACAAAAATTTTTCTGATTTACAGCCCTCATCATGCTGGAAGTACAACCCTTCGCGGTGCGTCTTACGGATGTTTGTGTCGTCTGTCTTGGTCCGAAGTCAATTCTCTTGTGGCGATATATTTCCTCCTTGTCTCACGTGGATGTGGGTGACAACGACGAGAAGGAGGCGACGGGCGAAGAGGGCGAACAGAGAAAGAAGGCAAATTCTGTTAAGCAAATTCACATCGATGACCGACCCTCCGCGTCGTGTAGTACGATGGGTATAGAACTCACGAAGGAGGATTTCTCCCAGGTTAGTGAGACTCACTTTTTTAACAGAGGTTCAGATAACGTCCGAAACCGTGATGAATTTTAACACAGGGCACGTTAAACCCAGCAGTTTGCATGGACGCCCAATTCGACCGCTTGTTTGTGGCCAGATTCTCGGGAAAGCTTCAAATCTACAGCCTTCCTCAGGGCGGCCTTTTGCAAGTCATTAGTGTAAGTTACACTTTTTAAAAATCAGTTATTGACATGCGATTGATTATAAACTGAATTTCAGACGGGAACTCACCCATTTCAAATCCTGCTGAACCCAACGGGAATCAAGATCGTCTTACTTGACGTGGTCGGGTGCCTTCGGTTTGGTTATTCGCAGCAGAACAGGACGAGAATGAAAGTGGATGCGGCAATTATTTCGAGCGGAATATTGAGCATGTTGTGGTCAAAAGATATGCCAGATTTTTTGTGTGTCATGAAGAGGACGGAAATGTGAGTTGGTTAAAGCTGGGATTTTTCTAGATGTAAATAAAACAAGCTTCTAATTTTAGGTGTATTATTCGTCACGGTGTCTTTGAAACCTTCCCAAAATTCGACGTACTTTCTGGATGTTTAGCTGGATTCAATGTAAGAATAATAATTCACTCGCATTTTTTTAGCGTTAGAATTAATTTTGCAATAATTATTGCAACATTTCCCTCCCAGAACCTCGCCATCACTTTCGTGAAACTAGATGAAATTCTCCACCAGCCAAAACGTCCCAATTCTTCTCACATTTTCAAAGTAGACATGCAAATTTTAGACGCGATACGCCAAAGTTTCTCGAGCGGGGATGAAATGCAAATCACCGCGTACAAAGAGAACGTGAAGCATCTCGACCACCCCAGAATGTGGAACGTTCTTGGAGAAGAAGAGCTCAAACGGGGAAATTTCGACGACGCCGAATTCGCCTTTGTCCATTCCGCAAACTACTCGGCTCTTCAGTTTCTCAACAAACAGCTCAAATTCATCCCTCCGCAGCTGCAAGAAGCAGAAATCCTCGCGTATCTGGGCGACTATATAAATGCGTCGAAATGTTATGTGACAGCGAAGCGATTGTTAGTTACATATTCAAATTATTTGCCTGATAGCTTAGGCAATACGTGCAAATTAGTTGACATTTTCAACCTTGCAGAGATCTTGCCCTCGAAATGTGGCAACAACTGGACGACCCACGACAAAGATGTCGCATTCTGGCAGAAGTTGATGGTTCCGGAGATGCGTCGCATGACATAAATGCAAACAACTATTCAGTCGAGAAGGCAGAGAAGCATTTTAGCGAAGGTGAAATTCCCACTGCGCTTGAAATGTTTCGAAAGCTCAAAGAATACGATAGGATTTTCGAGTGTCACATGGTCACGGAGAATTTCTTAGAGTTGAAGGAACTGACGAAGCGAGCCTCACACGGAGATCCTGTCATTGGGAAGATCGCGGAGAAATATAGGTTCCTCGGGATGACGAGGGAAGCGGTAAGTTGTAGTTATTTGTGTATTGATAATGGGTCACTAATTTATGTCACGTGTCACTTATGAAAGGTCGACCTGTATTTGAAATGTGGTGACCCTAAGAGCGCCGTGAACGTGGCAATGACCAATTTAGAGTGGAGTTTGGCACTGGAGATTGCAACCGAACATGGTATTCCAATGGTTACAGAGTCCATTTTAGAACTTACCAAGTGAGTTTCGGATTCAGAAAATTTTCATAAATCGATAAATTTGCGCTGTTTTTACATATTTCTGGACAATAATGTTAGGCAACTTCTCTCCTCTGGCAATATCATGCAAGCGGTACAATTTTTAAAGAAATGTGGTAAAAATTTCGCAGCAGGAAAACTACTTTCTACGGTGAGCACAGAATTTCTGCGAGGTCACATTTAGATAGCTTTTTATTAAATCATTTTTAATGATATTTTAGACCGCGCTACGAGCCCTTGAAGATACGAATTCTTCCCAAAGTCTCATGAACATCAAAAAACTCTTCGTCATGGGTGCAATTCTTCTCCGGGAGGACGGAATCACGAGGCAAAACCCGTTCGCAAGGTCGCGAACCAAGCCACGAACAAAATTAACGTTTACCTCGTCGTCCGTGGACGAAGAGGACGAGATCGACTTTAAGTTCAACGAGTTTATCCCCCTCGAGTATCAAGCCAGGAGTGCGGAGGAGTTCAGATGGATGTACAAATCCCCATGGCGCGGGGCGATGGCGACACATTACTTCATCCTCGTGCTGAAAGCAATTCACACCAACCACTTTGAGCGTGCCGCATCCCTTGTGACGTATTTAAGGTAAAAAAATACGTGTGGTCACTAAAATTGTAATTGCGAATTGTCTTTTAATTTTTTTGCCAGAAACTACACCGATATTCTTGGCGTCGAAAGGGTGAATTGTATAATAGCCTGGACGTCAATCAAGGTCAACAATGCGATCGATTATTTCGCAGCATTGTCCCAGTTGGAGAATATTGATGCGAGCTACGGTGACATTGCGACTGAGGTGCTAACCGTTCGGCAGGAGAGAAGTGATGATGACAATGATGAACATCTTAGCCCAACGATGACGTATGGATTTAATATTAGTATTTTTGACAGTATGCGTAAAATAAATAATTGTTTGTACTTTAGGCGACGTGGTTCTGAAGCGTCGGTGATGAGAGGCGATAGTAGCGACAACAATTTGCTGTCCTCCGAAGGAAGTTTTTACACAATGCCACGCTGTACGATAAGTGGAAAGATGTTAAAGTCGGGATCTTTGTTCTTTGAGTGTCCAAACTGTGGAGGACCTGCCATGCTAAAAAAGGCGCAGCGATACAAACATTGTCCCCTCTGCCATGCTAGAACGTTTAATAATTAGGTAATATCATTTAAATATCCTTAATTAATGTATTTATTTACTTCTGTATTCAATTAGTAATGGTGTTTTTAATAAAATGTGAAAATTAAACGTTTCCCCGAGATAACCACCGCTTGGGATTTTCAATAAGAATTTGATCAATTTCCGACTGCGAGAATCCTTTGAGCTTCATTTTGGGAACGATGTTTTTTAAAATGTGGGTGTACCCGTGACCTCCAAAACTCGTCTGCAAAGCAAAATTCTGATGAAAACTAATGTTTTTTTAATTGAATCAAGTAAATTAGAACTTTTACCAATCGATGTTTCGTATGTAAATCATGCGACATTGTGATTTGTCGCAAGTGTCCGTTATCTGCCAAGGTTTTTAGCTTGTCAATCCTCTGTGCGTCGGACAGCATGTCGACACTTTCTTGCAGTTGGTAGTACGAGCATTCCGTTCCGAACAAGTCGAACTGTGTAAAAGTTTTGAATTTTGCAAAGTCCAAGAGTAACTCGTCACTGTATAGCGTTCCTAAATATTTTAGAAAGTTATGTACAAATGCAAATCAGTTTAAGCATTATGCAACGAATTACTGTCCAAGTGCGACATGATAACGTCTTCCGGTTTGCCACCAGCTTCCGTGAAAACTCGCATGATTTTGAATGGCGACTGTGGATCTCGTCCAGGATGAAAGGTAATGGGCAAATTGGTTTCCTGCTGGAGAATGGCGACCGCCTCGATGACACGCTTTTCAAAAGCTGGAATACATTCACAAATCGGAATAATTTGTTAAAATAAATTGGTGAAATTATGGCGAGTAAAATATTTACGATGCATCGGCCACGAAATCCCAATTTCGCCAATAATCCCGGCCTTGACACCGTTTTCCCCCTCTTTCACTTCTTTGCTCATAATGTCGTGAATTTCTTCCACTTTTAAGGATAATGTTTCCGAAGGTTGGGAACATGCTACGTAGAAACCTGCACATAACATGCAAAAATTAGGGCCCGGAGAAAGCGTGACTTTTTTTATGTATATTTGTGTACCAGTGCCGGCAATGATGTTAACCCCACTTTTGGCACTGAGGGTCTTTAACCACGTAATATCTCGAGATATTCCTGCCACCGTGTTTTCAACGATTGTCCCTCCACCAGCCTCCTTGAAGTTGATGAGCTCCTGCACCATCACATTTTTCGTGTCGACGTCATCCAGTTTGCAATTGTAGGATGAGCTGTATCTGTGAAATAAATAATCAAAATGCGACTCCATATAAATTAGGACTGCGATTTACATTACATTTTGACCTCCTTACGGGTATTGTCGTACAAGGCCCAAATTTTTTAGGAGGAACGTGTCCTCCTTTTGCGTCGGGTATGACGGGAATGCAGCAGGAATCGGTTGTAAGACACAGTCAAATTGCATGTGCAAGTGTTCATGGGTCAAAACGATGCCCAACGTGTCGACTGGTATTTTACCCAAGACTAGAATAGCGAAATTTTTATGAAACTCTTTCTATAATCAAAATATCAATAATTTCCAAAAATATTAGTACAACCAAATACCTGTCGTTACTTCCATGTTGACATATGTGCGACACTGGCTCCGTGTGAATTTGAAACTTGGTTATTTGCCAAAATGTTCTGCTGTTCTATGAGCTAAACAAGACGTAGAATGCAGCAAAACGGAGGAATACTTACAAACTGAAGGTACATAAATGTGTATGAGTATTATGTACGTATTTATTAATCATGCTCTCATATCGTCTTGTGTCAACCTGTCAATCATATCATATTTATCACTTACGATTAGATATGCATGACCTCACTCATGCACCTCCTTTAAGTTTTCTTACAGGTTCAGATTACACACAAATACCATTCAATTCTCAAGTTGGTTTATTATTTTCTAGTAAAAAACACAACTACGAATACCAGGCCTGCTACAATTACACTGATAACGAGGATAAGAAGCACACATCTCAGCCCATTTCGCACAAAACCAAGCGGACAACAGAGACAAATGAAGCCGAAGAACCATCGGCAACACCCACATCTTCTCTCCTGACGTAAAATATTGATCCAATTATGTCTCGGTTTCATACTCGTCACGATAATTTCCTTGCTCCCGTCGCTGAATGTTTTGTCCCTCGTTTGGTCCTCTGGTTTGAAGTCGTACGGAATAAATTGCGTCCAGTGGGGAAAATCCGTCGTGGGTTTTAAAAACATGTAGTCCTGCAAGTTTAATTGACATATTTTGGTGTGGTCATTCAGCGTGAAGTTGATTAGGTTTGGGGGCTTACCATTAAAATTATGGCAGATATAATCAACGCTTTATACTTTGGGGACAAGGTCATGGACAGCAAGGTAAGTCCGTAGGGGTCCTCGTAACCGGATATTTGAATATTGTAAAAGGCAGAGACTTCTTGGGCGTCTGCAGAAATAAAGATAAATCAGTCATCACAATAGTTTTAGAGTATCTATGAAATAAAAAAAAGTACTCATTAAAGTTTCAATCATGGCGATAGGTTCGTCTTCATCTTCGGGAAAAGCTACGTCAAATACTCCTAAATAAATAAAGGGCTAGTAATTAAATATGCAAATGTTCAGTCATTAAATTTTTTCCGTACCGTCCACCAACTTTCCAGTCACGATCATGACATTTTTGCCGATTTCATCAAAAATCTTGAGGACGGTCTCATCCCATGAAAACTCTTGTTCAATTCGGCCCAAAAATCGGCCAGTCTCACAAAGCGTTACAGTCACATACTGAAAAATAATCAGATTAATCTCATCATTCCTTATTATCGTGTCGTGTGAATTTGATTGAAATTTCCTCACATTTCCACACCCTTTGAATCCAAATATGCAAAAACCACAGCAATACTGTGCACAACAGAAGCCTGGGGAACATGATCGTGTAATTTGCAAAACCTTGTTACACTTGTGATCGTACATGGTGACGTTGAACATGCGAGCTTGATATAAATAGAAGAAAAAAATTGTTAGGTTGCAAAATTACAATTATTATCATAACAAAGACACGGGAAACATGATTGGGGCATACATATTGTAATTCCTACACGCATTAGGTAATGAAATGATATGCAGGTGGGGAGATAAATGACGGTCTCATTACCGGCGATTTTTTTGGCAGGTTCATTGTTACACTGAACCAGGGTATTCCGACCTGGGTTTTAATGGGTTGGGTTTTATTGGGTTTTAATGGGTTTTAATGGGTTGTAAATGAATAAAACCCAGTGGGTTTTACCATGTTAAGTGGGTTTTATTTGGGTTTTAATGGGTTTTATTGGGTTTTAATTAAAATCACAGATCACAGATTGTTAGCATCACAGATAGTTAGCATCACAGATTTCAAGTGTTATGAAACAAAATAATTTCCGAATAGATACAAATTCCTAATTATTTTTGTTAAGTTATTACTTAAAACTAATAAAACCCTATAAAACCCATTTAAACCCAATAAAACCCATTAAAACCCATTAAAACCCAAATAAAACCCAATTAACATGGTAAAACCCATTAAAACCCATGGGTTTTATAATTTTTGATTAAAACCCTGGGTTTTTCCGAACCCTGCACTGAACTCTAAATAATTAATTATGGAGCCACCCACGAATTAAAAGTGTACTTTCCCCATCGAACTAAACCATCCTTTCCCCACCCATGCAGAGAAAATTAATTGGAAATTTTGAAAGGTATGAATTTGTGAACTTGAGAGATTTTTGTTTTCTCAACAATTTGGTTATCATTGCTATTGTGATTGAATGTGTAGCTTTGGGCTACTTTATGCGACGATTTTGTCTGTCTGCCTGTCTGTAAGGAGGATAACTCTAGATCTAATCAACATTTCTGAAATCTGCTTCCGAATATCGACATCTAATTTGGGGGGGGGGGGGGTCGGACGCGTGGCATTTCCGCCTTTTAACCATACCGTCTCTTGTCCACTTTAACGCTTTGGAGGTCGTGTTCTCCACAGCGATGTACATTTGACACCCGTCCTCGTTAACAATGTCGTACTGGGCGAATGCCAATAAACGGTCGACCGGATCTATCCCTGTAATCAGGAGGGTGCCGACATTTAACAATTGTTTGTCAGTAAAATGATCAATTTATTTACTTGTTACGTATGGCATTTTCCGGTCGTCGCAGTATCAAGAGATTGCTATTTGCTAAATGCAAAGCCTCTAGACCGAGGGGAACTTTCAGCTTGGATTTTGAGACGGCTACCTCTAAAAAAGTATTTCGAATCAAGTATAATTTGGTTGAATTTTACTTGGCGAAAGTTTACATCGCACCAACTTTGTTCATGAATTGAATACTTTGAAAGAGAAACTGGATCATCGTAAATTAATTGTTTCACTAATTCTTCCTGAGTGGTTGTGCTCTCTTTGGGGACTTGCTTTTCCAATGTTTCATAAGGTGCAATCCCTAAAAGATTATGGGGGAAATATGTCACATTCTGTTGGTGAATTCGCATAATAAATAAAGCCAAGTTATCATTTAGTTACGCACAAGGGGTGGGATTTCCTGGATCGTGGAGTGTCGATGGAGCAAGTGAATATGACATTCTGTACTAATCGTCCGAATCTCACATTCTCATTGATTTTCGAAATAGGAATGAACTCCAAGGTCCTAAATACTAATTTAGCTTGGTTTTAGTAACGGTAATTCTGGTAATTCAATGCTAGCGTTCCTAAGACACCAAAAGTCAAGCAATCGTGCTATAAAAGTTTGTGTAATTAGAAGCGTCCAAGGTTGCTTGACAACTTTAGTAATAATTACAAGGTTGCGACAATTGCTCCGACGACTAAAAAACTTTTATTTTGAAAAACCCTGGAACCTTTGGCACCAGTGTGCGTCGCACAAACTGTAACCCATAAACAAACCGCACAAAAATTGTCAACACTCACATTTCGTTCCCTCGAATTATTATTTTTTTAAATTATGACATGGCGACGAAATTTGTCGAAAACCAGGTGGTGGCGGTGGGTAGGACCTTGCGACATGTCGATAACACCAAAAAGAAGCGTTGTGCGAGATTTCATGCAAATCGGACAAGGAATGGCGAAATTATGGCATGGCGACGATATTTGGCGAATACAACAAGGTGGCGATGAATGGGGCCTTGCGACATGTCGACAACACCAAAAAGAAGCGTTGTGCCAAATTTCATGCAAATCGGATGAGAAATGGCGAAATTATGACATGGCGACGATATTTGGCGAATACAACAAGGTGGCGATGAATGGGGCCTTGCGACATGTCGACAACACCAAAAAGAAGCGTTGTGCCAAATTTCATGCAAATCGGACGAGAAATGGCGAAATTATGGCATGGCGACGAAATTTGGCGAAAACAAGAGGGTGGCGGTGGGTGGGACCTTGCGACATGTCAACAACACCAATAAGAAGCATCCTGCTAAATTTCATGCAAATCGGCCGAGAAATGGCGAAATTATGGCATGGCGACGAAATCCGTGGAAAACAAGGGATGGGCGGTGGGTGGGACATTGCGACATGTCAACAACACCAATAAGAAGCATTCTGCTAAATCTCATGCAAATCGGCCGAGAAATTGCGAAATTATTGCATGGCGACAAAGGTTGTCGCCATGCCATGCATTTATAAGGGGGGAGCTGTTGGCCGCCCTAAGAAGGGCGTTTCCAGAGCACACGACGAGGACGTCGCTCCCTCGTGCTCCACGCGGGTCGGCCCCCGCGGACGCCCGAATGCGTCCGCGGGGATCTACCTCCACCGACCGGGAAAGCCCTGCCCACGTCACCGCCTCTGCAACCGCGTTCCCCTAGGGGCCCGTCTGACCCTCGCCTTACGAGGTGGGAGCGCACCCGTAAATCGGCCCCCATTAAGACTTCGAACTCGGGAACCCGGTCGGCCCCAAGGGGAGGTATCGCTAAAGAGCGGCGTCACCCAAGGGTTGGAGGTAGAGAGCCCCTCTCACTTGCCAAGCGCCACCCGCACTTTTGGCAAGCCCCACCGGCTCCCCACCCGGTGAGCCTGCTTGGTGGGAGGAGCATTGGAGGGGGACCTTCCCGTAAGGCTCTCCCCTTGCAGCGTTGTTCCCCCGGACCACCCCTCCGACGGGAAGAGAGTCGGGGCTGTGGGACAAACCACGGGTGGACCCGACTCCCCAGAGAGGCAGGGCGGTCCAGGGGCGCAGCTGCAATGGGGAGCTCACCCAGGGACCGTCCCCCACGAGCGCCTCCCGCAGACTAAAAAAATTGCGGAACGAGACTTGTACTAGGCAACTTTGTCCCCCCAACCACTAAATGTGGCCACTTTTGCAAGAAAATGGTTCAATGACCGGACTTGAAACTGGTCAAATCAGCCTATTTTTTGGTAGTAGGGCAGTATGATCTTGCATTTTGTGCATTAAAAGTTTCAAAAAGGTCAGTGGGGGTTTTCAAAACGAGGGGGTGGGGTATGGCCAACATGCGTATAGGAACATCTCACATGTTCCGTGTTTACAATTGTTACAAATAATTCAATTAATTATATCAGCATTGTTGGGGGTGGGAAAATATCCATTCTTATAGTTTTTTGGTCGCTGATTTCGAATCTGAGGTCAGTTTTTTGATTGCGACATCATGGGAAGGGGCACAGGGCCAATTAATTATGTTAAAATAACACAAAATTATAAAGCTGCAAATATAAGGCTGGGTTTGGTGGTAATTTGATTAGAAGTTGACATAAATTCATGTACTCCTCTTTTTTTGGCTATAAAATCTCGCGGTAAAAAGGTTTCCACCTGGCCCACACAGTTCGCACCCACTTCCATTCAAAACCCTATGTCTAAAGTTTTAAGTTGCCATAAGCTTTGAATGGAATTGGGTGCGAACTGTATGGGGCAGGTGGAAACCTTTTTACCGCGAGATTTTACAGCAAATAAAATAAGAGTAACTTTGTCAATCGGAGAGTGCTTCCCATCACTATTGCCACCTTGTGATAATTTTTGTAATAACATGCCACAACTTCGCTCACCAATTCAAAGTTAGTCACTATTTTAGTCTTTTCTCCTCACTGAAGAAGATAAAACTGCCTCTAGTAAAAAAAAAAAGATATCGAAGGGTTGGTTATCTTTTTACGAGCCTGTCGACAAAAAATTGAAGGAACATAAAACTTGAAAGAAGATTTGCTAGAGAAGAAAGAAAATAATACTCGGTAAGTGGGTCAAAGATCAAGTTGTCTTTGATAATCTAACACTTTTTTTATCATAGTGCTAAAAAATAATTCTTCAGTTTGTAACCAAGCCTGTTTGCTCCTATATCTCTACGTTGCGAAACGCAGCCAGGGATGCAGTGCCGGGACAATAAAATTGGGCCCTTGCAGGGCCAAAATTCATATTTGTGTCTGTAGTCACCTGTCTCTGACTTAATTGACAATGCCTAATAAAATAATACAATTTTGCGGTGTTAAAAAATAATTTTTTAAACACTAACTACTATTTTTCTAAAAACAATTTTTTTCGAATTAAAAAATTTTTTTTTAATTCGAAGTTTATACTTTTTTAAACACTATGAAATTTTATTATCTTATTAAGTATTGTTAATTAAGTCAGAAACAGGTGACTACAGCCAGAAATATGAATTTTGGCCCTGCAAGGGCCCAATTTTATTGTCCCGGCACTGCAACCCTGGCTGCGTTTCGCAACGTAGAGATATAGGAGCAAACAGGCTTGTTTGTAACTGGAGTTAAATATCACCATTTCTTTTCTTTCTTGTTTTAGGAACAAGTACGACGACTGATTACGCCGAAATGTTGCTTGATAAGGATTTGGACACTCTTAAGGACGAATGGTGCTATCCGGATCGTCCATTGATGATCAATAGGAAGTACTCGTACAAATTGCTCAATATGCACAGCCCTGACAATTTTTAAATCATTGTGGTGGATCAGACTTCCGTGGTTATTCAAAGGCAGATTAAGGAGGCAATGGATCTTCATTTGCACAACATTGCCGGTTGTGCACCGGTTGACGTTGCTTGTCTGAAGGATAGACTTCCTGTAACTGTCAAATTTGAGGATGGGTATGGGATTTATGTCATTGCTAACAAGCATACGATTACGAACATAATAAATCTATTTTTGTATATTTCATAGGAAATTTCACCGAGCAGAGGTCAATTTAGTTGAAGAGAAGGGCGTGAATGTGTATATGGTGGATTCAGGAGTGGATATTTTGATCTCGGCTGATTCCATATATCCGTCGTCAACAGAACTTTTGAGACTTCCAAAGCTTTCGTTAATGTGTCGTCTTGCTCAAGTTGTCCCATTTGAGGAACAGGAAAAGTGGAAAAAGTATGACTACAAGTCGCTGTTCCAAGGAAAGAATACATCAGTGTTCTCAATTTCTCTAATTGACCGTGGAGTCTCTGAAGTTTGGCTCACGTGTGACAAGAAGGATGTTGGCTTCGAAATGGTTATGAATTTGGGTTTAGCTGATTTTGTTCCGCTAAGTACTCATGGGACCAATGATGATGAAGGTAAAATATTCCCAATTCATTGACGTACTTTTGATCGACCTCAATTAATATTGCTAATAAATCTGATTGTGCGATATTACTATTGGATTAGATATTAATATATTGTAATTTATTTTTTTTTACATAATTTAGGGCCACAAATGCTTGGAAAGTATCCTCGATATGATTACAGTGATTGGATTGGACAGAAAATCGGAGTCTTTGGGACGAAGGTTTCAAAAGTGGGATCGAATTTCAAAGTGCATCTTCAACTTCATCCGACTATAATGGAGGCTGTTGATGCTGGATTGTTGAAGTATGACTCTACTTCCAAAGACGTAAGTAATATTACTCCTCAGTCACTACGAACTTCGTAGTCTTCACTTCGTAGTACGAAGTCAAGACTACACTTAACTTACACTATACAAACATAAAGTTATTCTATTCGTACCTTCTTATCACTCGATTATTTGTGTTATTAATAATGTGTACTGTTCTTAAAGGCCAAGGACTTTTCAAAGGATATTGGTGATGCTGTTCTTGTTGCGTATGGCGAGGACAAAATGAATTATCGAGCTACCATTTTTCAAAAGTCAAGGGTTGGGTACTTGGTAAAACTGGTAGACTACGGAGACTTTGTCAATGTTCAGGAAAAAGACGTAAGTTTTAATTGTAGAAACTCTAATGAAATAGTTCGTGCCGCATTAAATCGTATCGTCATCATGAATTATGTTTTAGATGCTCAAGATTTCGAAAGAACTCGTTGAGATTCCTGAAGCAGCCACACCCTGCTATTTAATTGAACTATTGGCAGCGGACCCGAGCAAACTTCCTTCAGATGAAACCACCAAGGGCAAATTGATGGAGTTGATTATTGAAAAAAATCTGGAATGTTACATTAGCCATGCAAATTTCATTGATGACGTGGATCCCCGAGAAATTCGAAAGTAAGATAATAAAGTAGAGATTTCTAATTATTTAAACTGAGTTTTAACCTTTACACTTGTCTCTCTCCCTCTATCAGGTGTGTAGTGACCCTCGCCTCAGAAGAAGGGATACCACTTCTTGATGATTTTGGCCTAAGAAAGCCAAACCTCTGCAAGTATTATACAAACGTTGACCACGAATTTCCCATGATCGACCAGGGTCTTGCAAAGGAATTATTTAGTGGCCCCTCAGCATACATGTCAGTTCAATATGAAGGAGTTGTGTCTTTCATAGAAAATTATGACTCGATTTGCATTCAGCTAGAAGGTGACAACCATCGAGCGGATGGACTAAGTGAAGAACTGACACAATTTTTTACTAATTGGAAAAATGCCCCTCAACTGGATCCTTCATCTCTGATCAATGGAACTTACGTCGCGGCCAGGCAAAACATTGAAGATGATTTACGCTACTATAGAGCTAAAATTTTGGAGGCTTGTCCAGACAAAGACGCGTACAAAGTAGTTTTTCTGGATTATGGAAATTATGATGTCGTTACTTCTACAATGATAAAACCCCTCCCGTCTTAATTTTGCAAGGATAAAGCCTTTGCTCTCAAAGTCTCAATCCCAATCAAAGTACTCCCCGGTGTAAGTGAAGACGAGGTGTATCACTATGTTGAAAAGTTTACAGAGGAACAAGAGCTTACGGTGTACCTCAAAACTGTGGATAACTTAATTTATGCTTGGATCATGTGCATGGACAAGATGCTTACAACATCTTTGATCGAGAGTAAGAATCCCCTCGTCATGCTGATCTTTCCAACCCCAATTATTCCATTGAAAAATTAAAGTAAAACTAAAAATGCTTTTGTTTTTAGTACTTATGAATGATAATGTTTTTATTTTCCAAATTTACTAATGGTTTGTTATCCTACTATGTATATTTACTTTACGAGTAGTTTAGCTACTTTTTAGAAGTTGTATACATGTAGACATACCTACATATGTTATAGCGGCTTATCTCATAATTGTTACGAATAAAATTATTAATTAATACAATTATTTCGACGTCGTTAGCGTATAAGGCTGGGTTTTGTATTTGTAGTATGAATAAATTAGAAGTTGACATAAATTCATGTAACTCTTGTCAATCAGAGAGTGAAACGTGTGGGAACCCACGATTGCTTGACCTTAAGTATCTAGGTAACGCTTCTCCCTTATAGACTGATGAAGTGTCAAATAACCTTGATCTTGATCTCACTGCTCGTTATTTGATGAATTGATATTCACTTGTTTGTATTTTCATAGCCATTTATTTCAACAACGGGAAAGTAAATAGTGAAAAATAATTGTGAAGGTTCCACATTAAAGACATCTAAACATTACGCAACTTGAAACAATGGAGATTGACGAAAGACTCAAAAAATATCCCCACTGCCCCTTGTCCATCTCGACCTTCACCACCTTTTCCGATGAGGGCAACATGCACTTCCGTGCCGGACATTTCAGAAAAGCTTTGTACTGTTTCGATAGAGTAAGTAAAATTACAGAAAACCCTCAATTTCTGAAGTTTTTGTTTTAAGTATGCCCGAATTATTTTAGGCATTAGAACTGCAGCCGGACAACAAAGGTGCACGTGTATCACGGAGTCAATGTCATTTAAAACTTGGTGACGCTGTGGCAGCCTTGGCCGACGCAGAGGCGTCGTTCGTCGAGGGGGAAAAGAGCAATATTATGGGTCTCTACCAATATGGCGAAGCCCTCTTTAACCTGGGACAGTTTGAACAGGCTTTGATGGCTTATCATCGAGGTTACCGGAGTCGAAAGGACAAGGAGGAATTTCGCGTAGGAGTTAATAAAGCGAAAGACGCTATTGTTACTGCAATCGGAGGTAATTCAGCATAATTATCTATTAATATTTAGTACATTTGGCCTCAGACTCTTAATTAATCACGCAAAATCTCCTTCAGATCAACAAGCAACACAAATTGAAGATTTGGACACGGTTCTTCCTCAAATAGATGAGATTAATGCGGCCAACCGAGGTACATACATATATACTTTGCATGAGATGACAAACTGACTATAGCTCCAAAATATCATTAAGATTATATGAAATATACAATTTACATTTACATAACACCATTAACATGATAAAAAGGTCCCGAACATTGTTGCGTCCTTTCCTCGCTGAACGAGATGAAGCAGTCACAGCAGAAAAGCCGAAAAGCAAATGCTCTAACGTTTGCCAGGTAACATTAGTGAGATTGGCTAATTAATTTCATGTCTAATGATCATGATTCTTAGGTCACGATGGGTTGACCGAGAAATTCTTGGTGTTCTTCAACAGGACAAAGATTATCTTACAAAGTTTTTGAAGCGGCCAGGTAATAGACCTGAATTCTTTAAAAAAAAACTAAAATTCACGAAGTTTATATTAATTCATTTTAGATATTCATGGCGATGCTCAAAGTAGCTCTGAAGGCTTGCGAGGTAAAGCAAACGAAGCTCTTAATTACTTAGAAATCAGACAAAAATTTTGGCGACAGCAGAATCCAATGTACTAAAATTTTCACTTTCAAAATACACAATAGTCATAATTTGAATTAATTAAAATATTAAATTTCCACATGAAGGTATGCGCGCAAGATTGGACTGACATTCAACAATGATGTAAAAAAAACTGATTGTTTTTATTCCATGCGATAAAGTTTTATCTAAGTAAAGTATCACTTAATAAATATATTTTTTAAATAGATGGTCCGTCAATATGAGTAAGTAAAATTATGTAAATATCTAAATCCTCATTTTGTAATTATTTGTCTCATTTTTCGAATTAAGACAACAAGAGAGAGAGAAAATGGAAGCATCTCGGAAGATTAAAATGGACGCGGCTCAGGGAGCGGTTGTGAAGAACATTTCGCAAATCGAGCACGGTAAGTATGATTTTCGATTTTTATTCGTACATCCAGAGATCGTGGAAGCGTGGGGACGGGGACAGAAGGACAATGTCCCAACGGTTATTCGATATCCTCATCATCTGCCTGTTATATAAATCCTTCCCTCCCATATCCTGCAGTGTTAATGTCCCCACGGCTTCCTCGGCCACTGCGTTTACATATGGGTACATTTGAAACAATGCTGTCTGAAATAAGTTAAGAGTAATAATTTATTTGACCATAGCACTTAAAATTGGAAGGGCTCATGATTGTCAACTCGAATGTGAAAGAGCTTTGCGCCAAATTAAAGAAATCAGTCAACGACTTCTCCCACGAAAACCTGAATTTCTCACGGAAATTCTCCACTTTAAAGGCTTGGCGTTAATGAAGCTGAAAAGTTACGACAATGCTGCAACAGCGTTTCAAGAAGAATTCAAAGTAGCTGCGGACAAGTATGCATACATTTTATTCTTTACAGAACATTTCCAGGCGTTTTTTAAAGCTTTTAAAAATAATTGTTAAGCAAAATGCCTGAAACAAAATCTCGAGCCCTGGACTACTTGGGACGCAGTTATGCACTGAAAGGGTCATTTGCAGAAGGTGCAGAAATTTGGGATTCCCGCCTTGCTATTTCGAAAACCCCGATTGAGAGGTAGTAAGATAAATGTAATTATAATTATAACTTGAGTATATTATATAATAATTCAAATTTTGATTATATTTAAATTTAGAGCTTACTTATTTCACGAGATTGGTCGTTGTTATTACGGTATTATTTGTACTACATTCCTCTAACTTTGTTGGACTAAATGAATTTGAATGTTATGCATAGTTTTATTCTAAAATCAATAAAACATCAACAGAAACGAACAAGTTTGACTTGGCCAAGATATACGGAAATCAATGTTTGGACGAAGCATCCAAAATCAACGACAATATTTGGAAAATGAATGCAGAGATTTTACTGGCACAGTGTGAAGGTTGGAGTTCTTTTTCAAATAGATACATGCAAAATAAATAGTTATATATACCTAATTATAATTTTTGTTCTTTCCAGTTAAAAGTAAAACATTTGATAAAGCTAATCAACATTTTGAAAAAGCAGAGGAATACGCTTTGAACTGCAACAATAAGGCCAATGTTGGAATGCTGAGGGAGGCGGAACAATGCATTAAAATTTATATGGAACGAGCCGATGCTGGAACCACACATTCGCACGAAGACGACGAGAAAGATGCCTCCGATGATGACAAAGACTTGGTCGAGTAACTAACTAACAAGCAATATTAAATGTGAGATTTAAAATTAAATATGCAAGATAAACATTTGTACTGTCGGATAATTTACCCCAAGAATAAAAACAAGATCCAAGATACATATAAAACATAATATTGTGTATGTACAACAACATTGATACTATTTCGACTTTAGTATTCTCCGTATGCATGTAAACATGACTGATTAGTTTTGATTGGATGAACGGTGTTTTTTGTCTGACGGAATAATTAATTAATAATTAATTAATGACCCCAACATTTCAGCACATTAACTTTTAAAACTCTTATAAGAAAACTCAGCACACTTCGAAATAAAATTTGTAAACACATGTTGCATGAGACATTGTACTTGCTATTTGAAACGATTTTTATAATTTGTCTCAAAAATAGCTTAGGCGAAAATACATACTTATATAGTACGATTATTGTGTGTTGAATATTCACCAATTTATTTTCTTACAGATTATGAGGTTACTTTTTTCGATAAATATGTAAGTAAAATTATTTAACAATTAGTCAAAACATTTATCTATATACAAAATAACCGAGTTGCTTACGAATATGCATACTTTATCACAGTCAGTCAACATTTCATATCATTTTATGGGTTAAAAAGTATATCATCAAATACCTACATATGTAATCCATCAAATGTTAAAATTGTGTCATTTAAACATTAACGAAGGCTCAAAGATTCTGAGTAGTCGTGATTCAAAATAAAAATTGTTCAATACAAAATCCTATTTGGTACTAACACAAATTTGTGCACATAATGGAATTTTCAAATTATTTAACTGTTCGTTTCTTAATTGTGTGATACATTTCTTTCAATTCTACTACAGCACTTTTACCAGGAGGAGTTCGCAACCAGCTTTCACGGATTTTTGGATCTTTCGGACCCCATTCCGACGTCGGGCGGAATGATTCCATAAATTTCTAAAAGTACAGATTGTCAAGTGAGATAACCACGATATCATTGTTATAAATCTTCATCAATTATTTAATACCTCATCCAGTGAACCTGCTTTTCTCGTCCAAACGGAATGTAACGCTGCGACCGGTAAGATCAATAAGGCCACTGCAGCAATCATCCATCCGCAAACTGCAAGAAACATAAAATTCTCAAAAAAGTACCGACCACATAAATATGAAAGACACAAAATTATGACTCTTATTTACCAACAGCTTCTGGAGGGAAACTGGCACCGTTGTACTTCAGAGTACTCGAAGCACTCTTGATCGTAGCTTGAATGAAAATGACCGACAAGCTGACCGGGATGAAAATTGACCAGCAGAATTTCCAGTACCAACTGATTTTTATATTCAGCATGAATTCGATATCGCGCACAAGGTTGTTCAACCCGTATATCCAGACAAATCCGATCATTTCAAGAAGAGCGACAATGAAAATTATAAATCCAGCCCCAAATGTGTCCACCAATTCTAACATGAATTGACCTATTTGACAAAGTCAATTTAAGGATTACCTCTAAATTAAGATTCAGACAGAAATAGGTATATACATTCCAACCATATGTACTTACCTCCAGGGGTGACATAGATTAGGCCGGAGAAGAAACCTACTATGCAAACGACTGTTGTTATCCACTTTTTCTCAATACTGCTAAACTGATCATGGATAACAGTTATAATAGCGTTGGTAAGCGAAGTGGCACTTCCAACTCCCTAAATATGCAAACAGATTTTACACCAATTTAGGTACTACTTATGTATTAATACATTTTTCATGAATAAAATGACTAACGAGTGTGAAAAGCATCAAGAAGAACAGTACGGCGAATAGCTGAAGTTTAAGAAAGTAAAATTGATTAGAGAATTGAGTAAAATTAGACGATAATTAGATGCTAGATTTGTACTTGTGGGACAAACTGAAACTTGCTGATTGCTTCTGGATATGATACGAACGCCTGAAAGAAAAAATAGGAGTTTAAAAAATGTTATGCATACATTTGAGTCAAGTTTTGATAAAAATGAAATGCTGTACCAGCCCAGGTCCTGCCGACGCAACGTCTTCAATTTCTTTACCCAATTCGTACGCTAGGTTCCCAAGAACAGAACTGAAATGGCAATTACAGTGTCATAAGCCTTGCTAAGCCGTAATATAATTATCAATAAATTATTACAAAATTGTAACTCCTGCTAAAATGCTCGTCAAAGTGTCCATGATGCTGATTATCATTGCATCTCGGTACACATTGTGCGAAAATTTGTTATACGAACTGAACATGATTATGGGTCCAAATCCGGTGGAGAGACTGAAGAAACACTGAGTCACTGCGGCTGATGATAAAATTCGTCAGTTAATTTAATTTTAAATGCAAATAAAATGATATTTCCAATGAGATCTATGTATAAAAAATACTACCTGCCCAAACCTGCAATAAGAATACAATTAGTATCCTTTAATTGAAAGTTTCATTCGTGATATACTAACCGAAGGGTCCAGTAATTTTTCCCATTGCGGACTAAAAAAGTACGAAATTCCGGTAGTCGCTCCTGGCAATGTCAATCCTCGTATGAGCAGAATAATCAGCACAAAATACTATATGCAATAGGTAATTACAATTAGTATAAGTAATTGCAATTACAGAATTATTTAATTATTCACTTAACTGGAAACAGGCTAGTGAAGTAGGCAACCTAATACAAAACCCAATAATTAAAATTATATTATCGCATAATAATAAAATTTTGCAATTAAAATCCACAAACTTTTCCAGCGCTCTTCACTCCTTTTATTAAAGAAAACAAAATTATGGCCCACGAAGCCAGGAGACACAAACTAAGACGCCACTCGGGTAGACCTATGCCGTCGTCAATACTGTCAATCTCTCGAAGTACGTCAATCCTAAAAGATGGTAAAAATTAAGGGATATTTGTCCGTCTTCCACTTTGTTTCGAGTAATTTACTTACTTAAAATAAAGTTCAGGTAAACTTTTATTGGAACCAATCACGGTATGATTCGGTCCACAGGTCAGGTTGTGGGATATTTCCCATTCTGGATTGCAGACTGACCAAGGGAGCTCCGATTGGAAGGATTGGAAAAAGTAAAAGATTGTAATAGCCATTAAACTGCAATAATAGCTGCAAACGCAAGCTGTGCCAAATGCCGAGGCGTATCCAACCCCTGCAATAAATGAATTATGCAAAACATTAATACATATCCATAAAACTAACACTCATTAAATTGCATCTGTATCATCGCACCTTTGAAAAACGGCGACATTTTCCATACTTTGACCTGTCCCTGTGAAGAAAATTGACCCATTGCCATTTCCAAGAAGTACATCGGCTTGCCGATCAAGAACAGGACGATAAGATATGGAATCAGAAATGCCCCACCCCCGTTCACAAAGGCTGGGGATCATTTTTTAAGCTTGAATTTATAATGCCACGACAGTAAAGTAAAATATAAATCGTACCTATGTATGGAAATCGCCCTGCAAATTAATTAATTAATTAGTTCCAGAAAGATTTCTCAAAAAGAAATTTTATTTACATATGTTTCCTAATCCTACAGACATTGCTATGCATGATAAAAGGAACTCGAGAGGGCTGTCCCACTCCTCCCTTGGATCCGATGGTCCTTGTACCACCTAAAATCATTTATCCCGAAGGTATGCACATTGGGGTCATAAAAAATTGATTACTCATTGCTTTTTCTTTCCTCATTGTGTGAGATTCAGCAGCAACAACTCACCGTTGAGGTCAACTGTCCACGTACATTGAGCTGCGTCGACGTCGTGGTGTTGTTATTTTGGTGAGGACCATCGTACTCAAAGGCTTGATTAACATTTCCATTCCCATTTTCCTGGAAAGAGGTTTTAATAATAAAAATGTTAAAATGTAGTTGTGTGCATGAGCCAGCAATATCATTTGCGCATATTTTTATCCTGCGTAATGATGGACTTGATTTTTTGCTTTCCTCATCCTTAGTCACTTTTACAATATAGAAACATCACGTCAAGTAGTAGTATACCGTGGCTACTTAATTATTGTAGACAATCTGTGCCATGTCGCTCTGATGTACGGGCGAGGAGTTGCATATTCATCATCCGCTTATTTGTGACTTGTGTAAAATGTGTAACGAATCGCAACTTGACATCTTCCACTTGGTTATGCAAGTAATTTAGCCAAAAATCAGCAACCAAAATGGCCACTATTGATGTCAGATGATCAAAATCCGCCAGACCTGGCTGGACCTGTACCGTGCCATTTTAAATAAGTGTCACGACTTTGAAAGTCGATCGGCATCACCACAACCTTACAAAAGACAAGGTCAAATTAAATGGAGTACCGAGTATAATTGCAATATTCTCTAAAATGCATGCAAGCAAACAGACTTTGATTGACACATAGTTTACGCACGAAATGATTCATATCCGTCCAGAGACCAAATAAAGTTGCTGAATACGTAGTTTACTAAATACATCATTATAAATCCATAATGAATTCCAGTAAGCGATGTAAAAACACTTTCCATTCATAAATTAAACTAACAAGAGTAGATTGCCAAACAACAGGCCAGCATAACTTCATAAATACGTATGCAAGTACAATTCACATAACAAACGTATGTGGGACTAGATAGAAAATATTGCAATTACCACACGGAATACAATGATTAGGTACTTCAAAGAAATGAGTTACTCTGAACGGAAACCAGGATCGGACTTTAGTCATTTAACTACTAGAAGAAACCTCTTTTTACGTCACGTCACATTTATCAATGCATGGCTCGATTGATGGACAACGTAAGACATATCAATGTCAAGTCAGCCTATGAATATATCTAATAAATAAGTAGGCATTACTGCCGAGAATGCATAGGACGGCCAACTTATCGGCATTACGAAGTACAAAGGTGACGTTAGAGTTGAAGATTAAATCATTGTCAAACAATTCACAAAGACCAAAAGTGCACAAAAAATTCCTGCTTGAAGCAACGTCATTTTATTGTTAAATTTGTTATCTAATATCTTAAGTGCGATAAAAAATGGAAAGGATCAAATGCTGAAAAATTGCGATTCGATCACACAATAAGCGATGAGATGCAGAAATAATCGAGATCTGCACTACCTGGGATTAGTTCTTCTGGACTTTTTGCTATGCATGAGAAATTCTTAAAAATTGCACAAGATTGAACATTATACAGGGATAAAAACTTGACTCATAAATAGAATCTTGATGTTTATACAGGTTGACTTTTTGATTTCGCATGAGCCAAGGCCATTTTTAGGCACGAGAAACTCATGGCAATTTTATTACATGAAGTTGAGTTTTTAATAAGACAAGCTGGGAAAAATCTATTATTTGAGTTCTTTAGTAATTCTATTGTTTTCCTCAGCCAAGTATTCGAATTTAATTAATGAGTATTTTTAAATATTTTGCGGTGTAACCGTCAGACATGCATTTTTGATATACGGATACTTGTTATATCCATTGAATACAGCTTAATGTTGAACTCTGTGATTTTATGTGTTAAGATCTTAACCTGTCTTTAAGGAACACAGTATAAAGCATACAAATTGCATGTCATCCTGGTATAATATATTACTACAAAGGTGAGACTGCATGATCTGAAATATGTACTTACGAACTATCTTTGTATCATTTGCACTGGACCCATGCAGATTTGTACATATGTATGTATTTAATAATACAAAGCCGACTGATACATACATATTATTACACATCTTTTAGACAATTCGTAAATATGACGTACACACACAGGTATTTATACGCAAGTAGTACCTGACATGTTTACGAGGGTATTCATGAACTACCAGGTAGTAAATTTAATTAGGGATGCATTCTTCGAATAAATTTCGCATGTGCTAAATATTCGATGAATCTTTGGTTCTGAGAAGTGAGCTGACCAATGTTCTATTCGGAATTAAGCATCTTCTAAAAATAGGTATAGATGGTAAGCGTTAACAGCCAAGCATAACAGGTTCATTAGCAGGTAGAATAATAATGATAAAATTGTTCGAGTAAATTCAATGTAAAGACAACACACAATAATTCGAGAAGGAATATAGATTTGCGAAAACCTTCCACAAGACAATTAAGCTTCACTTTCGCTATGGAATGAAGAAATGACAATAATGGGGCTTGATTATTCTTCAACCACAGCATGGCAACTTCCGTTACAACATTTTGTGACAAAATTGGGTTTCAAGTTAAGTCGTGACAAATTGAAAATGCACAAAATATTAAAGTTGAAAACACCCAAGCAGGTCCTACCACTTATTTTAATGGGATTTACCTACGGCTACGAAAATGTATGTACTGCCACCAGATTGGCGTTTCGTTTTCTCTTATTTACTTGCACAAATCAAGTATTTATGAGCTCATGTAGTGCATCCAATTTGAACAAGTGTAGTGCAACTTACAAGGTAATACATACACACATTGTCATTCATTCACAGGTCGATATTTGGCAAACCTACCAAGGGAAGATGGGTGGGCGTTCATTATATCAATTAAATTTTGCATAATCTTTTATTTTGCAGAATTAGACTATGAAAAATGGTGTCAGAAGTGATGAAAAGGGGAGGTCAACGCGATGCTTGTTATTACTTTACAACTAAGCGCAATTTTCCCATGATAAACGAATCGTTATCCATACATATACAGATAATTTTTGGCACAAGCTCAGCTCATTCATGATTTTTGCCAAGTTCACTCCTTGTGAATTACGTAATTAATAGCAATGAAATCACCGAAGATTTAAATTTACCTTAAAAAGATTTGTTTTAAGACGTGTTATCAATTGTGATTGAACAAAATGTGCGAGTAGGGAGCAAATACGTTCTTGAATCATTTTACACCATCCATCCATATAAGGATGTCTTCATGGACTGAATGCGACAATTATTTTTCCTATACATGATGTTTATAACTGAATATATGTAGCTTGAAGGCCGATGACACACTAAAGTATGTAACTGCATCAAACATTGTCTGATGTTCGCTAGCTAGTAATTCGAGTGATGGTGTTCAATACTAAAAGGGTCAATACCACACGAGAAGAATGGACACTTACTGTATCCCTTCTGTGAAGCGAAAGGAAAATTCTCATTTTAATCCCACACTAATAAAACCATTTAATCTGCACTTGTGTCCTATTAGTTTTATTATAAAATCAAATTCGAATGCAACTTTGCATTGCAAACTGCATGCATTTATAATGCAATTATGTTGACGTGCAATTTTTACTTACCACTTCGCTTATGCTGTACTTGTCTCTAGGCATTTTAAAAACTGGTTAGGAACCCGTTTTATTTATTCAATATCTGTGGTTTGCAAATTGTTTTCACTTATTTGCAACAAGTACAACAACACACTGACACAAATCCGAAATTATGAGAATGCGTCTTTGTTCAGGTTTTGTGTGTGCGCTTTAAATGTAATCCATTAATGATGCACGGAAGGTGTATGATTTTGTAGAACGATTTGATATACGAGTTCAATTTAGACAAAACACTGACGATGGTGCACAGACAACTGCAAATGGCAATAAGTTGGCTTTGCGTTTTAGCAAAATTTCCTCCATTCACTATTGAGATAGGGTATTGTTGCACCTTAGTTGACTGTTAAGTACGTACATACATACGCATACACATATTTGCTGTTGTGAGGTGTGCATTTCTGCTTCACTGACTTCCACATCGTCTCATTTCATGGGTTTTTGACGAGGTTGATGTTGCAAATGTGATAGTTCCCTGCAACAATTATAGTATTTGTTGCCTATCCTCAAGAATGGCACCATTGTCGTAGAGAAGGGCTAGGGGAAGGATCGAGTTGGTGAATTAGGACTCAATTTTTGCACGTTTCATTTTGTAGTTGGGCATATATGAGCGATCTTGTACGGATCTTGTACGGATTGCTATTCCATGGTAGTTGGGTGTTGTTTGTAATCACAACTTATAACTTTGAAAGTACATACATTACAGTAGCTGCGGAAGTCGTAGGGATATAGAATAACTGTGGAGACATTTTCCTCTGTACCCATGCTTCCGCGGCCACTGCATGCATACATTAGTAATGGGCAGGGGTGGGCAAGATACTTGGTCAAGATACAAGATAAAAGATACAAGATACAAGATAGTATCTTTATCTTGTATCTTCGTCGCCTGATCGGAGAAGTATCTTGTATCTTGTATCTTTTAGAAAGTTGAAAGTATCTTGTGAAAGTATCTTATCTAGATATGCCTGGCAGAAAAGTATCTTAAGATAGTTGACAAGATACAAGATACTTTTTTTCAAAATTCCGTCAAATTAAGTCAATTTCCTACTACAGTCAGTCAATTTGACCATGAATTTGTCGTAATCAGAGTTTGGTGAATTTTTATTTTATGTTTTGCCAATTAGTAACAAACCTGCACATACATACGCATGTTCACATACTCATGTATACATATATATACACACATATATATGTATATAAGTATGCTTGTTTATTCATTTTAGTATAGATTATATTCGCAGAGATGTATGTATGTGTACAATTATTCCTTTTGAGAAAAGTCTAAACGCCCAGCGCTTCACAAAATTGCCCTATCCGAAATATATAAAAAAAACTTAACCTATTTCGTAGTCCTACAGTAAAAAAATCTCATCCAGCTCTCGTCCGGCTGGAAGAGATCCCAAAATTGCAGCAACATTTCCACGCTGCACTGCCATACTCATCCTCTGTATGAGGAAAGATGTTGACCTCTTCTCCCCAGTGAGGATCGTGATCCTCGATCCGATTTCCTTGATAAGGGACAGACCCTCCTTACCCCACACTCCCATTGTTTCGATGGCTACGGGTACAAAGATGAATCGATCCTGGAGGAATTCGTATTTTTTCCTCTTGGCGTCCTCCGCTCTTTCGGCTGCCGCACCAGGATGAACGCACGTTTGAGGGAGGTAAGATGATGCGAAGGTGTCCGAACATGTAAAGTCCCATACAAGGGGTCTCCCTCGTGCCCACGGTACTAATGTTAGGCCGTCTGGGCGCTTTCCGTCTTGGCGAGAGCACCCTGGTGGCTGTTTGATAGCGGGGGCTCCAGCAGTGCGGAGTGCTCTCCAAATCACGTCATTGGCAGCAGTGTGTCGAGAATGACGACCGGCACTGCTTTTGCATTTCAGGCCATGATAGCCTTTTGATGTCACGCTAGCTCCGCATGGACATTTGTGAGGGTGGCAAACGTCGCAACCAAGACGAAGGCGCATGCTACCCGGAATGCCTCATTTGGGAGTAGCGTCCCCAGTTGTGGCGAAGGGACGGCATTGAGCCACGCCCCCACGTGCGGCTGTCCCATCGCGAGGAGACGGGCCTTATCTTCATGCGTCAGCGCCCCATTTTTGAGGTGACTTACGGCGGCCTCCTGTTGAGGCATCTCCCAAGCCGCTTGAACATCCCTAAGTTCGAGTGGGGGGAGTTCGGCGGGGCCCATCGGGTTCCACATTTCTTCCCCTTCCTGCCTGGCGGTGTCGGTGTCATGCAGGTAAGGTGGCAGAAGGCGCTCAACAAGGGGCAGGGCGCTGTAGGCGGACGCTAAGAAACACGGAATCGCCACGTCTACAGCATGCCTGACCCCTAGGCCACCTTCACTGACCGGAAGGGAAGACTGAAGCCACGAATGCGGGGAAAGGGTACAGTTGAGAATCCCTTCCATTGACTCCTTTAGTTTGGAGTAATATAGGGTGAGGGCGTCAAATCTTCGCCAAGTAGGGGCACAACGAAGAAAATATAAGTTAATGTGTACATATGTACACATACACATGCACAATGTGCATTGCACATTACATGATATGTATATAACTACGCTTAACAAATATAAGTTTATAGGGTTTAGTTTGATTTGAATAAGCAGGGAATATATTACAAACTTCGTAAAAATATTCGCATGTTAGTTACAGGTCTAGTTTTTCGAAACTTAGACATTTTTAAAAGTATAAGCACTGGCAACAAAATTTTTTACTAACCTTTTAGTTTTTTACTAACCAGATTTTTTCGTTTAAATTATTAAACATGACTAATTGGGCATGAATACCAGGCTAAAAAAATAAAGTATCTTATCTAATATAAAAGTATCTTAAGATACATATCTTGTATCTTGTATCTTGACTACTCAATTATTAGGAAAGTATCTTGTATCTTGTATCTTGTGTACTTGAGCAAGATGTATCTTTCATCTTGTATCTTATATCTTATCCTAGAAAGTATCTTATCTTGTATCTTGTATCTTACGACCAAAGTATCTTGCCCACCCCTGGTAATGGGACATAGTTTTACTCATCATGTGTGTTAAAGTCGTACTTCTTTTGATGCTCATGGCAAACAAGGAATGTTCAAAGTATATTTAATTCATGTACATATTAGCATGGTCTGTGTTTAGCCAGACATTAGGACTTATGGAACCATCATTTTTGTCTGTCCCTGAAATGTTGGCGAACGAACTACTGAACCAATTTTGATTAGCGTGATTTCGACAAGGCTTTGAATGACTTTTTTAAAGACAATTTTTACTACTAACTCAGAATTACTTTAACCAAAATTTGATTCCAGCTCTCGTATCCCTACCAGAGCTAATAGTATGGGAAGGATACCAGCGCGGGATAGGACAAGAAAAACTGAGTTGATATTAAACTTGTACACTTTTGAAACTTGGCCATTTTTTAAACTTACTAAGTTTTAAGTTTTAAATTTACCAAGTTTCAAACTTACCAAGTTTTAAATTTACCAACTTTAAACTTTACAAGTTTTATACCTAGTTACATTGGAACCGGTGTTCCATGAGGAACACGACCAGGAACACGTGTTTCAGTGATGTTCCATGAGGAACACGACCAGGAACAGTGTTCCTCATGTGTTCCTCAAGGAACAAGTGGCTTGCACGCCATGTTCCGTCGTTTCCTCGGTGTTCCTCATGTGTTCCTCAAGGAACAAGCTTGGAACACCTTGGAACAGTGTTCCGGGTCGTGTTCCTCGATGTTCCTCATTGTTCCTCGTGTTCCAAGCTTGTTCTCTGAGGAACACGCATGGGAACACCGGAGGAACACATGGAGAACATCGAGGAACAACGACCGGAACACGGTGTTCCAAGTTGTTCAAGCTTGTTCCTTGAGGACACATGAGGAACACCGAGGGAAACACATTGAGGACATCGAGAACACGCCGGAAACAGCGTGTTCCAAGGTTTTCACAAGCTTGTTCCTTGAGAGAACACATGAGGGAACACGAGGAAACACATGAGAAACATCGAGGAACACGACCCGGAACATGTGTTCCAAGGTGTTCCAAGCTTGTTCCTTGAGGAACACATGAGGAACACCGAGGAACACATGAGGAACATCGAGGAACACGACCCGGAACACGTTTCCAAAGGTTTTCCAAAGCTTGTTTCCTTGAGGAGCACATGAGGAAACACGAGGACACCATGAGGAACAATCGAGGAAACGACCCGAGAACACACGTGATTCCAAGGTGTTCCAAAGCATGTTCCTTGAGGAAACACTGAGGAACACCGAGGAACACATGGAAAACATCGAGGAACACGACCCGGAACACGTGTTCCAAGGTTTTCCAAGCTTGTTCCTTGAGGAACACATGAGGAACACCGAGGAACACATGAGGAACATCGAGGAACACGACCCGGAACACGTGTTCCAAGGTGTTCCAAGCTTGTTCCTTGAGGAACACCGAGGAACACATGAGGAACATCGAGGAACACGACCCGGAACACGTGTTCCAAGGTGTTCCAAGCTTGTTCCTTGAGGAACACATGAGGAACACTTAGGAACATCGAGGAACACGACCCGGAACAGTGTTCCAAGGTGTTTCCAAGCTGTTCCTTGAGGACACCGAGGAACACATGAGGAACATCGAGGAACACGACCCGGAACACGTGTTCCAAGGTGTTCCAAGCTTGTTCCTGAGTAAACATGAGGAACACCGAGAACACGAGAACACATGAGGAACATCGAGGAACACGACCCGGAACACGTGTTCCAAGGTGTTCCAAGCTTGTTCCTTGAGGAACACATGAGGAACACTTAGGAACACATGAGGAACATCGAGGGAACACGACCCGGAACACGTGTTCCAAGGTGTTCCAAGCTTGTTCTTGAGGAACACTGAGGAACACGAGGAAACATGAGGAACATCGAGGAACACGACCCGAACACGTGTTCCAAGTGTTCCAAGCTTGTTCCTTGAGGAACCATGAGCAACACCGAGGGAACACATGAGGAACATCGAGGAACACGACCCGGAACACGTGTTCCAAGGTGTTCCAAGCTTGTTCCTTGAGGAACACATGAGGAACACCGAGGAACACATGAGGAACATCGAGGAACAAGACCCGGAACACGTGTTCCAAGTGTTCAAGCTTGTTCCTTGAGGAACACATGAGGAACACCGTAGGACACATGAGGAACACGTAAACACGAGGAACACATGAGACATCGAGGAACACGACCGGAACACGTGTTCCAAGTGTTCCAAGCTGTTCCTGAGGAACCATGAGGAC